CAAGTCAACTTACTCGAGCTGGGGTGAGCGTCGTGTTCACTTTAGTGCTTCAGCAATCGCTTGCGCTTCCAAATCCGCCAATTTGATTGTCCTGCAGGGCTGTCAAGCTGTCGTCAGTGCACGGTTTCGGCAAGACGAATCCGTCACTCGATCCCATTCATCACTGCCAGTCAACTTACTCGAACTGGGTGAGTTTCGTGTTCACCTTGAGTGCGTCAGCGATTGCCTGCGCTCCAACATCACCAATTTGATTGCGCTGCAGGCTGCCAACCCGACGTGAGCACCACGATTCGGCTGCCCTGATCTGTCGCACCATCTCATTCATCACTGGCAGCCAACTTACTAGAGCTTGGTGAGCGTTGTGTTCACCTTGAGTGCTTCAGAAATTGCTTGCGCTCCAACATCACCTATCTGATTGTAGTACAGGCTGTCAAGCTACTGTTAGTGCCATGGTTCGGCAACCCGAATCTGTCACTCGATCTCATTCATCACTGGCAGTCAACTTACTTGAGCTGGGTGAGCGTTGTGTTCACCTTGAGTGCTTCTGCAATTGCTTGCGCTCCGGCATCCCCAAATATTTTGAAACGGAAACTGTCGCCTCATGTCAGTGTCATAATTCAGCACTTTCGTCTGTTTGTCTTTGCTCTCTTACAGGAGCTCACCGCTCGCATTCTTGACTTTCTCATACAACTCGCGCTGTTCTGGCGTCATCGCCTCGCAAGACAGCGACATGGCAAACCTGAACACAATCACAACAAATGAGTGGATTGTCTGAGTGATTCCGACCCTGCTCATCAGTCTCTGATCGCTGCTGCTACACGAAACAACTTGGCAGACAACCCCATTTGTCACTCCACCATCCGCAGCAGCAGCCGCCATGCCCCACCATGCCCCACGCTACAAGCTGGTTGATCAGTCTGTTGATGCTGTTGGGACGTCACAAGCTTCACGCGTTACATCCTCCCTTCCTTCCGGCCCCCCCCCCGCACCTCAGCTTTGCGTTTGGTGAACCGACAGTCCACCAGCTGCCTTCCGACGTTGTTGGGACGACAACCCAACAGCGGCCCTCAGAAGCAAGCAACGGCTGATCTTGAACGAGATTGTTGTTTTGTTTGATTTGAGATTTTGTAAACAAACCAAACCTACGTCACAACAATGCAGAAAGAGTGAGCTGTGACATTGCACATCTTCATTTGTACTGTATTGAGTTTGTTCTGATTATCCTGATTTTGTAGTTGGATTCATGAGCTTCGAAGTACGAGGATTGAAATGTAACCAAAAACGAACCAAAATGCGAGCCTTTTTGTGGCAAACTGAGACGGAAGAGCGTCTCTTTTGTAGCAGGGCAGTTCTTACACTATCACGATTCTCTGTGACCTTGTAGCCAGCTCTGGAGAAGAGGGAGGGAGGGAAGAGAATTGGCTCATTGCAACGTCCACTGATCTCAAAGTTTGAGACTGATTCCATTGGTTTTGGCATCACTCTCACGTTCTGTGGCCAAGCACCCATTCCGTCAGAAGCATGATAGAGTATCTGAGAATACATCTGAGCTGCTCAGTCCTTTTCGCAGTAGTTTCGTAATGGAGCCTTCGACGCAAAAGCAAACGGACGTGTTTCAGACACTCCGCCAAAGCAGTCGAGGTCAGCACTCTCCTGCTTGCGTTGTTGTGATCAAAATTCAAAAGCAAAAAATCCAATTGTAGCATCGATGTGAAACCCAAACATGATCGACAAGCGATCCACTAGTTTCGACAGGGAAATAAGCAAGAAAAAAAAAAAGCGGACCCCTCCTCCCGCTTTTGTTTGTCGCAACGTGCCGAGCACTGTATCAGATCAATCTTTACGAGTATTTCTGAGTTCTTTTTTTTTTCTTCTTTTTCTGAGTTCTCTTCATTCTACTTTTTGGTTTTAGAATTACCATGTTTCTGATCGATTGGTTTTGGAATCTGCTGAACGCACTCGGTAAGACGATCGATCGAGCGAGCGAGCGAGAGTTCGTTGGAGTTTGTGAGAGTTCGTTCGAGTTGGAGCTTTGAGTGAGTGAGCTCGAGTCAACCAGGGCTCAGTGCTCAGTGGAAGACGTGCAACGGGGACAGACTGGCTCGTGGACCATTTAGCAATGACTTGTTCTTCCTTCCCCACTCCTCCCCGTTTTTCGTCCCTCCCCCCCCATCTCTCCAACGATTGTTATCTCTTTTCGCTCGCTGTTTTCCCACTTGCTCAGCTCGGCCTCGTCTGTGTGGGCCCTGTTTGCATTGCGAGCGTGGCGACAACATCATCATCTTTTTTTTTTTTTTTTTTTTTTTTTTTTTTTTTTTTTTCGATTCGTTTCGTCTTTGTTCTATTTTGTGTTCTATGAGGCTTCCGGTCTTGGGCTGGGACGTCTGCTGTGTTCCTGGTGGCTGGTTGTGTGCCGCGTTTCCTCCTCACCTTGACCCATGAGCGTCCTTGCACGACAGCCCAGCTTGTTTGTCTCTCTCACGCGCTTCGTTCTCTCCATTAAATAAAAAAAAAAAAAAGCGCCAAATATCATGCGCTTTTCGCCCCTTTCATTGTTGGCTCGTTCCAGTGAGTCATTTCGCCGGGCCTTCCCTCCCTCCCAACCTCCGTGTCTGGCAGCACGATTACGAGCCAGGCAACTGGCAAAAAAGCGCGGCTGCAGCACAAACGCAGGCAACAGGGACCAAAAAACGCAAAAAAAAGAGCGTTGACGTTACCTCAGTCAAAAACGCAATGGAAACTCAATGGAAAAAAAAAAAAAAAAAAAAAAAAAAACTTGGCTGCTTTTCGTCGATTGGCATTGGGCGCTTTGAACCTTTGTTGCTACTCACCACACAAACCCATATACACTCACTCACTCATCAATTCAACTCTATTATTGTCATTGTTGGAACGCAGGCCTGTCGAACAAGTCGGCCAAGATTGTCTTCCTCGGTCTGGACAATGCCGGCAAGACGACGCTGCTGCACATGCTGAAGGACGACCGTCTCGCACAGGCCAACCCGACCTTGCATCCCAGTAAGGGCAAAAGCGAGCACACAAACAAGTGCAAGTGTTGGGAGGGCCCGCGGGGGTTTTGCGGCTGGCACAACAGTTGTCATTTTTGTTGTCAGTGTGGTTGCTCTATCAGCCGTTCTCTCGACGGATGGCTGACGATTGCAACAAGCCTCGTCGCAGATTCCACAAAATCGTACCATTGACTGGGCCGAGGGAGGTGGGGTAACATGAAACCGATCGCTCACTTCTTCTTTTTCGCGCTTCCCCTTTTCTCCAGACATGGAAGAACTCGCTATCGGCGGTATCAAATTCAAGACATTCGATCTCGGTGGTCACGCACAAGGTGGGTTTGTTGTTCATCTTGGGCGAAGACGGGTGTATTTGGGCGGTGCGTTGGCGCTTTTGACGTGGCGATTGCTCATCAGCGTTCACCTTGGTTTCACTCAGCCCGCCGCGTTTGGAGGGACTACTACCCGAACGTCGATGCCATCGTGTACTTGGTAGACTCTTGCGATCGCGAGCGCTTCATTGAAGCCAAGCGCGAGCTCGATGTACGTTTTTTTTTTTTTTTGTTTTTTTTCTTGTTCGAGTTTCGCCTCAGGCCCAGCGTGTTGTTTCGTTCCACCTGACAAAACATGCCTTACGCGTTGAAAAACCTAACATGCTTCTTTGCGAACGTTCCACTCGACCAATGAACTTTTGCAGGCTCTTCTCAGCGCTGAGGACTTGGCAAGCGTTCCGTTCCTGATTCTTGGCAACAAGATTGATAAGCAAGGCGCTGTCAGTGAAGATGAGTTGCGCAGCCATCTCGGTCTGCTCAACATGACTACCGGCAAGGTGAGGGACTATTTGTACATGCATTGAAAAAAAAAAAAACAAGGGAGTTTTCCTCACTTTTCAAACATTCACAACAAACAGGGCAAGATCCCCGTCAAGGAAATCCGCCCGATTGAACTGTTCATGTGCTCTGTTGTCATGCGCCAGGGTTATGTCGAAGGTGCGTTTTGCGCATACTCCCGCGATTTGCATCAGGGTTGTGCGAATTACTAACTTTGTCTTTTTTGATTTCTTAGGCTTCCGCTGGCTTTCTCAATACATCAACTAGAGCTTTTGTTTCAGCATTTTTCTCACCCCGATTATTTTTCTTTTTGGTGGAGATGGTCCAATGTTGCACCTCTGACACTTGAATACATTTTGTAGCATTTTGGTTTTTTTTGTTTCTCCTTCCAACAAGAGGCGACGACAATTGTTGAGCAACGTGAATTGTTATCTCCTTTTTTTCGTCTGGACGGCTTCGGTTTTGGGAATGGTCGCGAATCTCCCGACGTTGCGCACAGTTCTCAACGGTGTCGAGTGCATGACAACGGGTTTATTGACAAAAAAACAAACAAATCACCGAAAGTTCGCGTTTGCTACTAACCTCGAACGAGCAACAGAAGAACAAACATCAACCAACAAAACTGAACAACAAACCAACATGAAGAACGCCGACAAGAAACGAGCAGGCAATTTGGGTAACTGAGCATCATTGAAGAAACTCAGACGCCTCGAAGGATCGGGCCTCGTTGGTTTTCAAAGCATTCTGCAGGCGCAGGAACCGCCGGTAATATCTCTTGGACATAGGCTTCCCATGACCAATTCGAGCGGCTTTTGGGAGGCTGCAGGAGGATGTTGTTGGCTGCACACCAACCCCTAGGATGCAATGCACTCGAATTGCACGGCACCCACTGCCCGAAGGCCAATGACAACGACAGGCGAGAATGAGACAAATGCGGGACCAGTCCAAGCAACAAAATCGCAGTCCCCGCCCCACAGCACAGCTCAGAAACTGCGCTTGTGCCACCTTTATCACTGTGTACGCTACTCACATAATCATACTTGTCCGACCAGCCATCGAAGGTGATGTGAACAAAGGCTCCACGCACAGTCGCGACGGTAGCAACGCACTACGCAGCGAACAAAACATCCACAAGTTCCACAGCCGCACAGACAAGCAAAGAAACACCAACGGTGAGAAGGGTGGCTGTCAAACAGTACAGTGTGGGCCAGGCAAAACCACAAACAACATCAACCGGTATCATAAAACCAAAACAAAACGCACAGTCAAGAGGGAACCGGGCATAACATCCGCGGCTTCAAGCCGCATTCCGACTTGAAACCGGTTTTCAGGCGGATTCGCATACTCCCAGCCTGGTGGAGCGCACTGATCGTTGCTAAAATTGCTGACGTGAACGCGGGGTTGGCGGGTATTGACGGCCGAATCCCAGCTCCACGATCCACCGTTCGGAACAACCAGCTGCAGTCCGTTGAGCTTGCAATACCCGATCGGATGGAGTAGGGTCGATGTGGTATCGCACCAGTAATCGAGCACAGACGTCGGGTGGCTGGTAAAGTGGACACGGACTTGGGTGGCTGTGAAGTCGACGATCGTCGCCGGGGAAATCTCACGGGTGAGCAAGTTGGTAGCTTCCAGTTGGTACGCGATGCCCATCCCATGCGACGGCACCACGGACGGGTTGGCACGGGTTGGACGGCCAAACATGACCATTGAAATCCCAGAATCGCCGACAGTCAGACCCAGCTCGCTGAGACGGTCGACCGTGCAGTTGAGCGTTCTTGCTGCATTGCTCATCGCTGCCACTGCCGCTTCAGAATACGACATGACTGAGGCCGTCTCGCCTGTTGGGAAGGTCGTTGGCGGACGTGCGGCTCGTTCCCGCGCGACCGCAGCTCGCTCCAACTGTGCCGCGCGCACACTCGCCGCCGCCGCAGTGGCAGCAGCACCGGTAAGCTGGCTGGCACTTGAGCTAGCACCGGCAGGCGGGCTGAACATCCATCCGTCGACCGACTCGCCGCGGATTGCGCGTCGGAGTTGCTCGAGCGCGACAATCAACCGCCCGCGCTCGCTGCTTGGGACGCCCGCCTGCTGGAGATCCGCGCCGTCGCAGGACAAGAGCGTGGCGTAATCCAGTCCGGCAGCCGTCATGAGCGGGAGCAGCGTTGCCATCCCGAGGCGAGCGAGCACGTCATTCAGATTTCTTGGGATGTTCCGATGATGATTCGAGGCTGCTCCTGCGCTCGAGCTGTTGCTGCGGCCTGCGTTGTTGGAGCTCATGCTTGGTGGGGCAAATGGGGATGGGGGTCTTGTTCAACAAGGACGTTGGAGGTCGAAGGGGGGTGTTTTGAAGGGTGAGGACTTTTTTGCTGGATTTGGGACTGACAATAATAAGTGCTTTTGGCGTGAGAATCTCAGATCCAGCCAGGAGGGTTCCATCTGAAGTGAGAATCGGACGACTTTCCGCTGAACATCTGCGGATCAAAGCTTCAACTGCCTTGTATGAGCGACATGTCTTGAACATGTATTGTTGGAAATGACCCACTTGATCACTCATTGATAGATCAATCCGAGGCTCACTCTCCACTTTGCTCAATCTCCTATCATGAATGGCAGAGTGTGCATTGTGACTGGCGCCAACGCAGGTAAGGCCCTAAAAACAAAACGCCCAGTCCAACACCAACACCACGAGCCTCGTCACAGCCAACCCCTATTCACTCCAATGTCGAGCCGCTGCTTCAACTCTGTGTGGGAAAACGCGGACGCGGGACCGAAGGCAGCCCGCTGGCGTCACTTTGACTCGTGCTCGCACACAATTTCTCACTTCAACTTTCATTGGATTTGAACCAGGCATCGGATTCTCGACTGCTCTCCAACTGGCTGAGCTCGGCGCGCACGTCATCATGGGTAAAGCAAAGCACGCGAGGCACAAAAGCACGTGGAAAGAACAAAAAAAAAGCGAAACGAAACGAAACGGAAAGCAATGGAAAAACAAAAATCAGGCCACTCGACGATTCTCAAAATTTGTGGCTCAAATTTCAATGCTGAATCCAAAACAAAATTACAGCGTGTCGCAGTCAGAGCAAGGCAGAACAGGCAGCCACTCAAATCCGAGCTCAGATTACCAAGAAAAGCCCAGCACGCAAGCTCGAAGACATCAAACTGGACGTGATGGTGGTCGATTTGCTGAGCTTTGCTTCGGTCAAGCGATTTGCGGCAGAGTTCCGCGCGCGGAAACTGCCGCTGCATGTCTTGATTAACAATGCGGGCATCATGATGGGATCTGCCGACGGCTGGGTCACGCCCGACGGCAACAACAGGTTTGTGTGGCTCGTTTGTTCCCGCTTTTTTACTTTTTGTCCGTTTTAAGGAAACGCTAAACTCACTGACATGAACAACAAACCACAGCGTGCTGCAGGTCAACACATTGTCACACTTTCTTCTAACGCTGTCGCTGCTTGACATCATGCAAGCAACCCCGGGCGAGGCACGCATTATCAATCTGGCATCGCTTGCGCATCGTTTCGGCTGGATTGACTTTGCCAACATCAATGGCAAGGGCTGCACTGGATGTCTGTGTTATTCTCAGAGCAAACTCGCAAACATCATGCTCACCATGGAGCTAGCGCGGCGGCTGGAAGCTCAGCCCGAGAACCGGGTGACTGTGCACGCCGTCGATCCCGACTCGATTTACTCGAGCTTTTACGACAACTTGCCAACGCCGATGTGGGCCTGCTTCCGCCCATTCCTCTGGCTCATGAAACCCATCGAGATTGGCGCGCAAACCTCGGTCTTTGTCGCCTCGTCCGTCAATGTATACGGATTGACGGGCGTCCACTGGTTCCGCTGCGCCCAGACCCGTGCCTCCAGCGCATGCTACGACCGACAGCAATGCAAGGACCTCTGGGATTTGTCCCTAAGCTTGGTGCACTGGAATGAAAACCGACCTGCGGGTGTGTCGCTCAAGCTGCATTTATAAATCAACTTTGAAACGGTTTTGTGAATGCGACCTCGTCGCAAGTTTACGATTCAAGCAAAATTCACCACCACAATCACCAACTAGATGAAAGCATGGTAGATCTAGGGTTGATAAAAAACCCCTTTACTTTCAAAGCATGACAAAAATATCAACAAATGATAGAAAAAAAAAAGAAGCCACTCGAGATCTGCAGTGCTCTACAACCGAAATCCTCCAGTCGAGATTCGGTGATACAGCTGCTCGTCGAGCAATCGGTAAGTACCGAAAGCCTCGTGGCCAAAGAAGAGCATGTCGGACACTCCCTCGTTGGTCAGGGTGCTCGGATTGAATCCCTGGCGCATGTAGTCCTGCTTTTGGAACTTGAGAGTGGACGTTTTGGCATTGTCTTCGCGCCGAATTCGCAAAAAGACGGGACGAGCATAGGACGGGAGGTGCAAAGTGGCATAATCGTAGAACGCCTTCAGGTCTATCGCATCGGCAGCGTTGTCGTGCAAGACAAGCGATGCCATGCCAGCGCGGCCGTAGCATCCCGGAATAGACACGCCATAAATGTTGGCTTCCTTGATGGTCGGGAAGGCGCTCAACACGTCACAGACTTCGTTGGTCGAAACATTCTCCGCCTTCCAGCGGTAGGCGTCCCCGACACGATCGACAAAGTAAAAGAAGCCGCACTCATCTGTGGGAAGCGTGAAAAAAAAAAAAAAAAAAAAAAAAAAGAAACAAGGTCGGTGAGTGTCAAGCCATTGAAGCACGGTACCCACTCGCTCATCCCATCTCTCACCTATTCGGATCAAGTCGCCAGAGCTCCACCAAGCGTCGCCTTGCTCAAAGACGTTGCGGTAAATTTTGCGCTCGGTGGCGCCATCTCCCGTTTCGACATAACCATCGTACACGCCGTCCGTGAGTCGCATGATGAGCTCTCCGACGCCGTTGGTGGCCACCGGAACGCAAAAGCCAGCCTTGGTGCGAACGGGCTGGCAAGTGTCAACGTCGAAAGCAATAACGCAATCTACGCCTTCGGCTTGCCGGATGGCTGGCGGAACAAATCCACACGATCCGGGGCGCAGGTCGGTCCAGTTTAGCACTGCTGCTCCTGGCATTTCGGTGGCTCCATAGTGCTCGACAGCGTGATCGATGCCGAAACGCTGCATGACCGTTTGCCAGATGTCGGCTCGCAGGCCATTGCCAACAATCACTCGCAACGGGTTGACGTGGTCGTTTGCACGCTGCGGCTGGGCAATCAGGTATCGCCACAGCTCGCCAATATAGATGGCAGCCGTGCAGTTGAATCTTCGCACGTCGTCAAGAAATCCACTCGCTGTAAACCGTTCCCGTAGTACTGCCGCGCATCCGACGTGAATGCAGGGCGACAGAGCGACGACAAGAGCGTTTCTGTTGGGGTAGACCGTATGCAAAGAGTGAGGGCCAACAAACAAACAGACAAACAGACAAAAACAGAAAACAAAGTGCGGGCGCAACATGGACGAGCACAAGCAATGGTGAAAAGGCCTACCCATGATACAACGGCAAGGAAATGTAGTACTTGTCCGAGGAGGATAGTCCGCAAGGGCCCGACCAAGTCAAGCCCGCACCGATAAACCTCAAGTGAGAAAACTTGGCAGCTTTGCTGCGGCCGGTGGTGCCAGAGGTGTAAATGTAAAACATGGCGTCTCGAGGTTTGACTGCGGCTCGTAGTGCACGGTCTGGCGAGGCAGTGGACACGCCTTGCAAGCATGTCTCAAGCGCTGGTTGAACCAATAATGCTTGCTGTTCGGCGGGGTGGTGAGAGTTTATCCAATAGCAATCGAGCCGGGCAGGAAAGTCCACCGAAACATCCACAATGCGTGCTTGAAACCGCGATGACGCGATAATGTGACGCGCGCGCGCCACGACGAGTGCATGTGTCAGCATGGATCCAGACAGGTTGGTGTTGATCAGCGCGGCAGTAACGCCAATTTTTGCCAATCCGAAACAGACAAACAGAAATTCGGGGCTGTTTTCGCACATCAGCGCGACCTGCAAGAAGAAGACGAAGAAGAAGGAGAAGAAGAGGAAGAAGAAAAGTGGGTCAACAAGTAGAGGATGAGTGATCAAGAGGGGGGGGGGCGTTGTCGCATCATTGCATGAGGACAATCCGGTGAAAATCACGTACAACTTGGCCTGCTCGGAGGCCGAGCTGCGCATGCGCCCAGTTTGCAATTCGATTCGCTTGCGCATCCGCCTGCGCATAGGTGAATGATGCCAGTGTTTCGACCTTTTCGATGAAAGGGTGATTTGGAAACCTGTCAAAGTGGTTTTGACGCGAATGGTGAGTTCACTTCAGCGTTTCTCAGAATTCACAGAGTAAGCGGGTGCTTTGATTGTTTGTTTTCTTGTTGTTGTTGTTGTCCCGCTTTTTTCTGAGACCATTCAACATTGGGGGTTTTGGCCTGCGCCATACTCCAACAAAGTCATCATGGACGCATCGCATTGGCCAAGTTGGTCGCGTGGTTTGCCGTTCCAATATTCAATATGGGCTCACTTTTTGAAACGAGAGTGACTCCAAAACACAAGCCACAAAAAGTCCAACCAACACGCATTTGGAGACGAAACGCGTCCCAAGTGTCGAGCTCACAGACTGAGCTTTTGCGATTTGCCTTTGCTTTTGCATTTGCGTTCGGGTGAGCGAGTGAGTGAGTGAGTGATGTGGCTTCGGTCGTTGGTTGCTACCTGCGCACGGCGACTTCCCAATAGTCCGCGCCAGTCACCACGCCCGCGGCATCGAGCTGCTGCCGACACTTGGCAGAGTGCTCGCGGTACATGAGGTAGCGTCTGTGCAGCACTGCGGCAGTCGTGGTGGTGGTGGTGGACGGGGCTGCTGCGTCCGCGTCGGTCATCAGAATCGGACGCCACGCGCCCTGCACCGACGCCGACGACAGCGCGGTGGATGACGACGACGCACAACTCGGCTTGTGCTCGTGCTCATGCTGCGGCTGCTCGGTGTGGGTGTCCATCGAGTAAAAGGCCGGGTCGGTCGGCTTGTGCGCGGTGGCTGTGGCGGGCGATGCGGGCGGAGTCGGAGCGCCGTCCTCAATTGGACGCGACGCCGCCACCGCAGCCGTCTCATCGCTCTTGTTGGACACCAGCGGCGGCATTCTACTGAAAAGAAAGGAAAGCAAGTGGGAGAGTTATGTGACGAAGAAATCGTGCCAGAAAGTGGTGTGTGTGTGGGGGGGGGGCGTTGAAAGGGAAGGGGGCCTGAGGTCAAATGGGGATTTGCACAAACGGAGAAAAAAAAAAAAAAAAACTCTGACTGAGAGTTGAACGTAATCTATTTTACACGATAGAGGCGACTACTTTCCGGCATTGCTGTTTCCAAATCGCTGCAATCGCTTGGCACGCATTTCATCCATGTCGACTGGCCGTGCAGGCGCGGCGGGTTGATTGGCATTCTAAAGACAACAACAATGATAACACGACCCCGTTAGTTCGCTTCGATTCTTTTAACCTGAACGCCAATTTCAAAGCCACCTCCCCCTTGCTGCTGTTGACATTGGCGCACATACCTTAACACCGGCTGCCAGGGATTGAATGGTCTCGGGATCGAGGTGCACAGAATCGAGGCCAGAGGTGCCGGAAGAGTTATGCTTGGCGATGGTCTGTCCGCTCTGCGCTGGCGACGACGATCTGGACGCACTGAGGCTGGACAAGGTGTGAATGTTGCCTCTGGGCGCCGCAGATGGAGCTGCTGGTCCTGAAGTGCGAGCGCCCGAGTTGGGGATTTGCGAAGCCGGCAATTGCGAAAGCACAGCGTCAGCAGCAGAAGGTGGAAGGTTGCCTCGGATGACAAAGATCGAGTAGCCTGGGCAGTAGAATCAATCGCGATGGTCAAAGAAAAAAACCAAAGCGGGGGGGGGGGACGATGAGTGAGGTGTTCAGCTACGATGCTGAAATGGTTGTGATGAAACGCGAAAGGATGGAGGCCCATTGCCCACACTCCAAGTGCTGCTCAAACACCCTGTGACAGCAACAAAGTCGGGAAGAACGCACCGTCGCTCTGCAGTTGGTTCAAAAACAGCGTCAAATAAGTGCCAGTGATGAAATTTGGGCCCTTCAGGGTCGAGTCCAAGTTCGCCCAGTGTGGACCAAACCTCCGAATCGAAAACCAATGTTGACGGCGATTGCAGATAAATCCCTGTTCGTGTCTGTACAAGGGATGGCATGAGCGTGAGCGGTTTGAACAAGTCCAAAAGCGAAACAGCAGCCGAGACGGCTCACGTTGGATCTCGACGCGCATCCACGGCGTCTTCGCTCATGAATGGCACACATTTGATTCCCCAGACATTCAGAGCCTGGGTGATGACTTGGATTGAAAAGAAGCCCGAGTCGTCCATGTTCGAGCTGCCTTGGCGCGCAAACTTGGCGAGCTCGCGCGAGTAGCCGCCTTCCGCCATGGCGCTGAGCTCTGCTGCGTCCAGCTGTCTCGCAATATCTGCCAGATCGACAGCTGAAAAGTACGACCCTAACGGTGATTCGAGTCATCAGTCGAGGCAGTCAGAGTGCGCCCATGATGCCCCAATGCAACAGAATTCGGGAAAACGAAAGCACTCTTCTCCGTCTCGTCGCAATCTGTCGAGGCCAGAGCCAGCACTGCGATAGGATTTTGTCCAGAGCGACGTGGGTCGTACCTTGCAGCATGGCATTGAGGCAGTGCTGGGCACACAGGGCTCCTTGTTGCTGTCATCACAAAAATCAAAAAAGGCGTTTCTCAGCTACTCATCGCGCTACCCATGCCAACTAGAATATCAGGATATCAACAGCAAAGTAGAAGAAGACGAATCAAAACAAACATAAAAATCGATCGAGATCGGCACCTGTTCGTGGAACACGACTTCGGCAGCAGACAAGGCCATCGAAACGACGAAATGTGGACTGGCGCTATTGAAATCTAGATCCCATCCAAAGCAAGCGATGCATTGGTTTGAATCTACGACTGGAGGAAGGGGGAGAGAAAGTTGGAGTTGAGAAGAAAACGCAGTCTGAGAAGTGTCAAGCTAATCAATCATAGGCGAACGATTGAGCGGAAAGAGCACAAGGACATGTCGTTCGCTACGCTGGCATCACGGCCACTTGCTACCAAGCTGGTAGTCGTGCTGCTGTTGTTGCTGTTGTTCAATCTGGCGACAGTGGCGCTGCTGCTGCGGCCGTCGTCGGACGCGACGCGCTGTGACAACTCGATTCTTCGCGCCGAGCTTTTGGAAGCCAAGCGCCAGCTCGCTACCGGTCTTGCTGCTGGTGCTGCTGCTGGTGGTGGTGCTGGTGGTATGAACGCATCTTCGGATGCCGCCAAGCTGCAGTTGGCAGCACAGTTCCTGGATCTCAGTCAGGTCACTCGGATTTTCGCGTCCGACTTTCCGCCGCCCAGCCCGCCAGAGACCCAGCCACGCATCTTTGTCGCGATGGCTGGGCACTTGCGAACACAGGGCAAGAATTTAGGCAACTTTGCAAGCTTTGTCAAAGCGATGCGTGCGCAGGGAGCGCAAGTGTATTTGGCCGAGTACACTTGGCACCTCCTGGACGATCCGTACCGCGACACCTGGTGGAAGGAAAACTCTGCCACATACGTCGCTGATCAAACTCGCATCCACGGCACTCCTGTGAGCATTTTCGAGAACGAGATTGAGCCGGCACTCAAGGCGCTCCAGGTACCATACCTTGCCGTCGTTGGCGATCAAGAGATGGTCCGCGGAGCGTTTGCATCCGAGCGCTATCGCAGCTGGGTGGGCGTTCATCGAGCGCTGCTCATGCTTTCCCAGCTTCCGAATATCGGCGCGCTGAATCCCGGCGAAAGCGACATTGTCATGTCCTCGCGACCGGACATTTTGTACGAAAAGGGCTTTCTCGTTCAGCCGCTGCTCGATTTCCTCAAGCGCAACCCAATGACTGTTTTTGTGACGTCGCACTTCAGTGATCTTGCTGTGACTGTAAGTGGAGTCGGGGAGGTGCGGGCAAGAGGAGATAGGAGTCAGTCGATCTAGTCGTTTGTTGTTTTTGTTTGTTTGCTTGTTTTTTTGTTGTGGTTGATGGAAGCCTGACTTTTTTTTTTGACGCTGTCGTGTTCTCTCTGATAGGGCGCTCATCTCAACGATCCCTCTGAACTAACGTGGATTACATCATTTCAAGCGTACTCTGAAATCATCCGTGCTGGGCAAGTGTATGGGACTGGCCGGTGCTCGCCGCAACCAGGATTGCACGAATGGCAGACTGTTCTTTTCTACTGTGCGCCCGTGTCCATCCGGTACATGTCACCCGAGTGGACTGTTTACGCTCATCGACTACACGGGGAGCTGGCACCATTTCCGAATCACGGCAGCTTTGACTTTGAGCTTGGCCCCATCGCCAGGAAACCCGTCGACATTGTCGCGACTCACGTGTGCAAAAAGCCGTTTTTCGGCGTTCGACATGTGCCCATTCGTCCGACGGACCAGAACGGGCAGGAGCTGACCACTGTCAAGCAGCGATCGGACGACGGGATCCAGGAAGTGACCCTTCCACCTCTGGCTGAGCAAGTCTGGCGATCGCCAAACCAGGATGACAACGACGACAAGCCGTACTGTCCCTTCCTAAAGCTAAAGGACGAAAAGTATTACAGCGCCGAGGGGTTGTTTAGCCATGGCCAAATGGTGTGAATTATTCATGCAAGTGTAAATTAGAAGAATTAGAATTACAAAACATGCAGATGTGAAACACCGACAACTTCTTTGAACATGGTTGTGGATGGACTTGAATGTTCGATCTGAAAGCCAAGTTCGCTTTGTACAGAACAAGGAAATCACGAGCCAATGTTGGAGATTGGCGACTCACTGCCAAAGGTCTGGCAACGGGATGAGCTGAGTCTCAACAACTAAACGATGAATGAAACTATCTTTTTGGAACGAGGGCGCGCCGTGTCCGCCACCGTAAAGATGCTGGGTAAAGCCAAACTGAATTGCGTCGTTCACGAGTGCCTGGCCGCGCTCGTCGGTCGTCGTTTGCCAAAATTCGTCAAACTTGTCCATCACCCCGCGCCAGAAGGGGCCAAACATGGCATCCGCAGGGTAGACTTGGAGTCGCAATCTTTCGGCCGCGGTTGAGGCCATGTATGCCTTGTTGACAGCCACCGGACCAACACAGCTAAAGCAGTCGGGATTGTAGGGCTCTTCAAACACTTGCATCATCATGAAGATGAACGGATCCCGTGGACCAAACGCCAACAAGCCGGGAACGAGGCCAAAGTCGCCGCGAACCACATACGGCGTCAGGATCATCGCGCCTCCTTCGTCGACGGCCTGGGGTCGAGTGACAATGACTTCGCTGCAAGACAGCAATGATGACACACCATCCATCCTGGTGTACTGCACACGCAAGTGGTCGGGACGCATGGGCTCCATGGTGAACGCCCGGTTGAGGAAATGCAGCGGCCGAAGCAAGACCGAGTCGAGATCCATGTAAATGCCACCGCATTGGTACATGAGAATGGTTCGAATCAAATCAGACATGTGCGAGCGAACGTTTCGGTGCCCTGCGTGCTGAACACGGTCGTGGCGCAGCCAATTTCGGCCAGGCAAGTTGCCAAAAGTTACGGCGCGAAGTGCGTCAAAGCGCACAACGGCAATGTCGAATCCCATCGCCCGAAGCTCGTCGAACTGGTCAAGAGGCAGTGTATTCGAGTGAACCAGGTACGTCGAGTCGGGGTGATGGCTGAATACCGTTGAGATGGCGCTCAGATACAGCGGAGGGAGAGTCAAGTTCATTGGACCATCCCAAAACCCGTGGAACAGCTCGGCGAGCGACTGGTGCTCCTGAAGCGGCAAACACTGCAGGCCGGTGGTCTGGAGTAGCTCTTCGCGTGGCACGAATGCTCCCAGCGGTCGTCGAGCGCTCGAAATATTCACTGCTGGTGGAGCAGGAACGCGGACTTCAAAACCGTGCACTTCGACGCGCGCCCAAGCCGGTTTGGTGCCAGCTGTTGGCAGTTTTGGCATGGACTCGTAGAAGGAAATCGCCTCTTGGGAGAGCGGCGGTGGCGGTCGCCGCAAGTTCAAGCGCCGTGCTGCAGCGCCTTCAACCTCGCACTGATGGTGCATAGTCAGGGCAATGTCCCATGGCACCTCTACCAAACAAAGTGTGTTTGTGTTTTAGTGGTGGTGAGTAATTGCTCGTCGGCGTTGCCTTCGCTTTTGGTGCCGACAGGTTGCGCCTTTGTGCGTATGATGTTTCCCGAACAACCTGTGTTGACACAGCTTGTTGGATAAGAGAATCAAATTTTGTTGCTCCGTTTCCAGCTCCCCCTTCCCTTCGTTTCGTTTCTGAGAAGCTTCTGTCCTCTGGTTCATCTCCTCACAAACGCGTTCCAAAAAAGCAAAAAAAAAAAAGAAGAAAAACACAGAAAAACACAAAAGCACGCGTCTTCCGTTTTCCTTGTTTGTTGTTTGGACAAGGAGGAACTCCCATGTGAAGGGGGGCTCCTTGCTGCTTGTATGGAGAACTCCAGAACTTTCCTCACTTGACTCTGAGTGTTCCTCCTCCAGTTTGGATGCATTGCGGATGGAGGGAGAGAAGTGGGTGAATGCAGTTTGATGAACTTACCATGCGAGATCTTCAAGCCAACGAATGCGATCACCGCCACTGTTATGAAGAGGGCTGCAATCTGCGTGCGGCGACCACAGCGCTTGCATAGGGTGCGCACCTTGGAGGGACGCTCGCTGAAGCCGAAAGTGCCCTTTGGTTGACAAAGTTGGTTGGAAGCAAACAAGAAGGCAGAGAAATGGCGGCAGTTAGCACTAGAATATGCACAGCTGCCCTCCACGAGTCCCCAAGACACGGTATTTATATCAACGACACCAATGCTGGAGCCCTCTCCACTTGAACCACGGAGGGAGCGCCATTGCGGCGAAACGACGGTCGAACACGGCCACTTGACTTGAGTCCACCCGCCCCCGCCGCCGTTCCAGCTGGCTTGGCACCGCGAGCTCTTCCTTCAAGCACCCGGCACGACGCAAGGCAACATGGATGCACGAATTTGAACTGCCGGAAGGGCTATAGGGACGTCAAAAAAGAGCCTCTCATGCTGAAAGCGGAAAATGGGGGGATCGTTCACTTTTTATTTGTTAAAAGGTTGGTTGACCTGTCAAACTTTGACAGGTCGGTTGTCGCGTATCGCCCAACACACACCCCGCCGGTCACGCTCGTTGTGCTTCAACTCATGGATGGCATACGATACTGTGGGGAGTGGCGGGTATTGAGGAAGGTGGGGGTTCATACCATAGATCAAGCTCAAGAAAGACAATGACGCGTTCCGTTCAACCGTCGCGTAGCACACGAGATGAGTGATCTTTCGATAACGCCGTTTTGGTTCTCTTAAGGTTTTGACAACGGTGATTGGAACTCACACGACCAGCCGAACAAGCAGCCCGGTATTCCGTCTGCCATGTGGAGTCGAGCTGCCTGTGGGGGGCTCTACCTTCGATAGCACATTGTCTTGTGTGTGTACATGTGGTTTCTGCAACGAGGGCCTGTGTAGCTCCATCCAGAAAGCAGATCCAGTGGAAAACAAAACAACAACCAAAAAACCAAAAACGCCCCCCAAAAAAACCCGAAAAAACAAACCCTCCTACGCCTTGCCATACAGTCCTCGCTGGACTATGCAACCATACCCCATGCACATGTACACACAAACATACTCCTACGACGCCTTTGCACGCGGTTGGCGGTTGGGGAGCGAGAGGGACACAAGGCGTGTTGGCTTTTTATTTTTTAGCGGTATTTTTTTAATTTTATTTTTGTTTTATTTTGCTTTTATTTTATTTGATTGTATTTTTACTTATTTTATTGAATTGAATTGAATTTTATTTTATTTTATTTTTTGTGTGTGTCACCATGACCGAAAAACCTGTCCAACAGGGTCGAAGGGCCAAAAACCCTGTGTGAATAAATCGCAACGGTGGTGAGAATGCATTTCAGCTTTTATTGATGGAAGAGAATTGGGATAACTAAGAAACCAAAACAAAAAGCAAAGTCGTTAAAATCAACCACCAAGACGTCTCTATTGCCAAAGGTCTGGCAACGGAATGAGCTGTGTCTCAAGCACCAATCGGTGAATATAGCTGTTGTTTTGGAAGGCGGGGGCGCCTTGTCCGCCCCCATACAGATGCTGGGTAAAGCCAAACTGGACTGCCTCGTTCACGAGTGCCTGGCCGCGCTCGTCGGTCGTCGTTTGCCAAAATTCATCAAACTTGTCCATCACCCCGCGCCAGAAGGGGCCAAACATGACATCCGCAGGATAGACTTGGAGCCGCAATCGTTCATGCGCGCTCGTCGCCATGTAGGCCTTGTTGACGGCGACCGGACCGACACAGCTAAAGCAGTCGGGGTTGTAGGGCTCATCAAACACTTGCATCATCATGTAGATGAACGGATCTCGTGGACCAAACGCCAACAGGCCGGGAACGAGGCCAAAGTCGCCGCGAACCACATAGGGCGACAGGATCATGGACGCGCCGTCGTCGACAGGCTGTGGCCGAATAACAATGACTTCGCTGCAAGACAACAATGATGACACACCATCCATCTTGATGTACTGCACACGCAAGTGATTGGGACGCATGGGCTCCATGGTGAACGCCCGGTTGAGGAAATGCAGCGGCCGAAGCAAGACCGAGTCGAGATCCATGTAAATACCACCGCACTGGTGCATGAGAATAGCTCGCATCAGATCTGACATGTGCGAGCCAATGTTGCGATGCTCTGCGTACCGAACACGATCTTGGAGCAGCCACCTTTGGCCAGGCAAGTTGCCAAACGTTAAGGCGCGCAACGCATCGTAGCGCACAACGGCAATGTTGAATCCCATTGCCCGAAGCTCGTCGAACTGGTCGAGAGGCAGGGTATTCGAGTGAACCAGGTACGTCGAGTCGGGGTGATGCCGGAACACTGTCGAGATGGCGCTGATATAGAGGGAAGAGAGCGTCTGGTTGATTGGTCCATCCCAAAACCCGTGGAACAGCTCGGCGAGCGACTGGTGGTCCTCAAGCGGCAAACACTGCAGGCCAGTGATTTGGAGGAGCTCGTCGCGTGGCACGAATGCTCCCAGCGGCGGTCGAACGCTCGAAATATTCACTGCTGGTGGAGCAGCAGGAACGCGGACTTCAAAACCGTGCACTTCGACGCGCGCCCAAGCCGGTTTGGTGCCAGCTGTTGGCAGTTTTGGCATGGACTCGTAGTAGGTCATCGCCTCTTGGGAGAGCGGCGGTGGCGGTCGCCGCAAGGTCAAGCGCCGTGCTGCAGCGCCTTCAACCTCGCACTGGTGGTGCAGAGTCAGGGCAATGTCCCATGCCACCTCTATCAACACAAAGAATATGTTGTTAGTAGTGAGCTTCCGATTCCTGTTCGATTTTCCACGCGCTTTTTCAAGCAGTGTGGCTGAAAGTAGTGCGGTAGCGAATGCTTTGGCACCATAACTTACCATGTTCAAGCTGCCAAGCAATGAATGCCATCAGTGCCAGAGTTAAAAGTACATGGAGGGCTGCAAGCTGCGTGCGGCGGCCGCAGCGACGGTACAGAGAGTGCGTCTTGGTGTGACGCTCACCCAAGCTGGAGGTATCCTTGGTCTAATGTGAGAAGCCGGAGCAGGTGAGCGTTGAAAATATTGCAAATCAAAAGACAGCACAAGAACGCCGTGGACGGTGATGGCAGTGCAGCTGCCATCGACCACGCATAGACAGGGCACTTTGTATTTCTGACATCAGTAATAGAACGCTGTTCATCTGCACCCCCGAGTGTGCGGCGTCGTGAGGTAGGCGAATCGACCAACGAGCGATCCAAACGCACACGGCCTCTTTTGGACTCGAACGCCGCTCCCGTTCCTCCAGCTGCCCATGACACCGCGAGTTGCCCCATCAAGCGCACCGACAACTAGAATCAACGATCATGCGAGGATCTGAACTGCCGGCAGTGCTACAGGGACATCAACCAGAGCAGCTAATGCTGGGTAAGGAGCGGTTTGCCATGGCAAAGAACGGAGATTGCACATTGCACCCCCCCCCCCTCCACCACCACCAATCATTCCCGTTTCACTTTTAATCACTTTTTCGCATAAGCTTCTGTCGGGGAAGGCGGGTACTGACAAAGAGGGGCTGCGGGAAATCTTACCATAGCACGAGAAAGACAGGAGGTAGGAAGTGCGTTTTCGATTTGGTTTCGATTTTGTTTCGATTGCCAGTTGGTGGTTTCGCTCAACGTCAAACGCGGCACATGAAAAGGAGTGACCTAGCAATCAGGTTGTTTTTGACTCTCTTAAAGCTTTTTGGATCCTCGTATTTGCGGGTTTTGTACCTGCTTGTTCTGACTTTTCTCTTCCTCGTTTCTGCGGGTTTTGTCCCTCATCTTCTCTAAGGTTTTACTTTTCAGACGCTTTTTCTCCGCTCTCCACTAAACTGAATACAAACAACCAAATTTAAAGAGTCAGAACAAGAGCGTGAGGATTGCCCTCAAGCGTGCAGTAAAAACTTGGGCAGTGGTCGTACGGGCGCTGCTCGATGACCCGGTGGGCTCGAGGAAACAGATTTTGGCGGCATGATCGGCTTCAGCTATCCAGCAGGGCAGGGAAGCTCGAGGGACTTGCTGGGACTGCGCCAAATGGTGATTCCGCTGTCAATCCACATGAGCTTGACACCTAGCTGCTCCAACAGTAACCGAAACGATCGCTCTGGGACTTTTTGAATCTCGACATTATCGGCGTTATCCTCGAGCCATTGTACAATATTCGTGGCGACAATCTTGTCCATGACCTGGCGCGACGTGGCAAAGAACAAGTCAGACATTCGAAACTCGCGCCAGCTGTCGGACTGCCCGTGGCAAGTGCCAAAGAACAGGTTCGGGTCGCGGTGGATCATGTCGCGGACTTTCGCCATGTCGGTTGGGAAGATGGACAAGTCTGGGCGCAATCGAAAAATCACGGCGTTGGGCGCCATGTCGCGGCCGGCAGCCAGCTTGATGTATTCCTGAGCCAACGAGTGCGTGTATTGCAGCGTGTAATAGTAGCTTGCGAGGATGCGCGGATTGATGCCCTCGATAATGGTGCGACCAACATGCATGCGTCCGCTTGCAGTGACAACACTGTCATCTTCCACCATGGTCACCATGTTCTTGACAAACGGCTGCTGTAGGTTCAAGAGGAAGGTTTCGGTGGGTCCTGGATGCGTCGTATTGTATGCTACCGGCGCGCTTGTGGGGGTTTCGCCAGTGTGGTGCCACCATGTCAGCTCGTGGTGGTCTGTTTCAGACCAGGTGTGCTGGAAGACGCGGTACGGAACGCCAGCCGATGCAAAGAACGCTTGCAGCTTTGGCGCAGTATGGAAGAGCGTCCGGATGTGTCCTGCCATGTAAAAATAGACCATCTTGTCGTCACCAACGTCGTCGATATCGACTGTGGTCTCGCCAGCATCCAAGCCGGACGCTTGGGACGTGACTGCTTGGATGAGATTGACAGAAAACTGCATGCTGCCCAGTGCACGGTACCGCGCGCCAGGCACCTCGCCAATGCCTGTGACGTTGGATGGCTGGTCTAACACGAATGACACGGGGAATGGCGCGGTGGGGCCAGGCAGCAGCGGTTGGTCGGAGAGCGGCACTGGAGGAGCAGTGGCGAGATAGAGCAGCGCGCAGACTGCCGTGCTGGCCAGCACACCAAAACCGACCCAGCGGCGAGCGTGCGTCACATTCATCGGCCTACAAAAGCAACGGCGAGAGAGGACGGGAGGCACAGGTCGTGGACGGGAGTGAGGGGAAGCGAGAGTGAGAGGAGATGCGGCGAGCGACGTAACAAGTTTGACAGGTCCAACAAAGGAGAAAACTGGGGTCGCGTCCCAATTTGTTCGTTCCATTGCGCTTCTGGCGGTCTTGTCAGGCTCTTCGATTTCGGTTTTTGGTTTGTTAAAAATTGCACTTGCATCTCACTGATTGATGGAATGGTGCACTGTGGCGGAATTGTGGCTCAACCGGCAACAAAATGCATCACCCCCCCCCCCAGAAACTGCATCGGCCATTGAAACTTGGATTGTGTCGACTCCTCTGTGTAGAGCTCCAAAACGTCAATCTCCGCTTGAACTCAATTGCTCTTGTCTCGAATGTTCTCAGAAATAAATTTCAGTCCTCCTTATTATCATTTTTATCGACGTTTCGCTCTCGCTGCTGTTTTGAGTGTGGATTCCTGCATCAATACATACAACACCTTACCACCATAATACCATCATGGATTACTACTGTGTCCTAGAAATCTCACGCACAGCGACGACCGACGACGTCAAGCGAGCGTAAGCAGTTGAAACACAACGGGTGGCGTTGTTGCATCGACGAACGCTCATCCATCCAACCCCCTTCTGAACTACCAGGTATCGCAAACAAGCACTCTTGTGGCATCCAGACAAGCATCCCGAGGAGACGCGCGGCGAGGCGGAAGCGAGGTTTAAGCTTGTTGCAGAGGCATACGAAGTCCTATCCGATCGTAAGTACATCACAGCCAGAAGGCAACTTGCTCTCATCGAAAGGTCACTTCGATGATGATAATGATGATGAGAGTGTGTGTGAATTGAGCTTGAGCTGAGAGTGGAATTGGAATCGTCTCATGCCCCCCGCCCAATTGCCGACACTGCAATCTCAACTGCCGACACTGCCTGCTCTGTTCTACAGCTGTGAAACGCGCCGAGTTTGACAATTATGGCGCATCTGGCGCTACCAGTAACACGGCCCAAAGCAACCCCAGGGCACAAGACCAATACCAATACCAGCAGCAGCAATACCGCACGACACATCACTTTGTCGATCCGTTCGAGCTGTTTGCTCAGTTTGCGCAGTTCGATCCCATGTTTGCTCAGGTCCTCAACCATCACATGAGCATGACCCAGAGCGCTGCCTTTGGAGGTGGGTTTGGGATGCCATTCGGCGCGATTCCGCCTCGCTCGTTCCAGCAACAACACGCTCAGCTCCAGCAGCAACAACTCCAACAGCTCCAACAGCAACGCCTATTGCAGCAGCAGCAGCAGCAGCAGCAGCAGCAGCAGCAACAACAACAACAACAACAACAACAACCGTATCAACAACAGATGCAGCCGTTTGCGATGCAACAGCAGCAACAAATGCAAACCGGCTTTGGCTTGCCGATGGGCATGCAGTCCACGTTTGGCATGCCCATGATGATGGGCTTTGGGGGCATGGGCATGGGCCCCATGAATATGGGCATGGGCGGTGGGATGGTTTCCACCAGTGTCTCAACGCGGATTATGAACGGCCAGCAAGTGACGGAGCGTCGGGAAACAGTGGTACGGATTCTTGAGCGTTGTCTTGCGAATGTCTTGGAGTGTACTCGTTTCCGCTAACTCTACTTGTTCTGTGCATCCCCAGAATGGGCAAACCACCGTGACAATCGAGCAAAATGGCGTAGTGATTTCCAGGACTGTGAATGGGGTTGCTCAGCCCAAATGACGGAGCGACACTGGTTTCTCTCGTGCAGGGTGCGATCGCATTCACCTTTTTGTTTTCGTTTGTGGTCTGCTTGTTCGATGCATCTCCATTGATTTTTCGAATGGCAGCAACTTTTGAACTTGTTCTGTGTTGTACTTTCAATTTGCATCCAATTCCTATTCCAATTTCAATTGTCATTCCAGTCCAACATTAATACCACATTTTCACTCGACACTCAATACACGCATCCGCTGATTGTCAACAATGGTGCTGTGGAGCTGGTACTTGTACATGCTTGAGCGTCGCCCGATTGTCATGAGCGCCATCTCCACCGGTACAGCTCGCGTGCTGCGCGCTGACCCTTCTTGGCGCTGCAATCCCCGACGAATGACTCTGATGCTGACTCTGACTCTCCCTCTTCTATCATGACAGGGACGCTGATGGCGACGGGTGACTTGATTGCCCAGCAGGCCATCGACCGCAAGGGCAGGGATCACGACCTCGTTCGCACAGCCCGCATGGCTGCCATCGGCTTTTGCTTTGTGGTATGAAACGCTGGGGGGTTGTTTAGTGGTATTTTGTTGGATGGAGTTGCAGGTGGAGCGGAACTTGAGCGCGCGGCAAGAAGCTGAGCCAACGTTCAAACAGAAAGCCGGCTTCTTCCCTTACCTCACGACCTCTCCCTTTTTTTGTGTTTTTGTGATGTTGATATACTTGGATGTATTTTTTTTTTGGTATTGGTTTTTGTGGGGGGTGGGCAGGGTCCAGTCATGCGACTGTGGTACACTGGGCTCGAGAAGATTGTCCCAGCGAGCAAGTTGTCGACGCGAACGGCTGCACTGACCAAGATGGCGATCGACCAGACAGTGTTTGCGCCGTTCATCATCTCGTCCTTTTACGTCAACCTCGGGCTCTTGCATAACGACTCAATGGCGCAGATCGAGACGCGGCTACGCTCAGAGCTCAAGGACACGCTCATTGCCAACTGGAAGGTCTGGCCCGCCACCCAATTGCTCAATTTCTACTTTGTCCCCATGCAGCATCGCGTGCTGGTGGTCAACGCCGTCTCGCTGGGGTGGAATAGCTATCTCGGCTGGCGCGCGCACCGCAAAGACCCTTCCATCGAGGAGGTCGTTGCCGCCAGTCCGGCTCCAACCAAGTGAACCACAAGGCGATTCGTCAAGCAGGGCGTTTGCAACATGGTTTTGCCTTGATTGTTATCCGTTGATTCTTTTCGTTTGCCTCTTGTCTGCCTTTTCGTTCGAGCCTGAATAAGTTACTCGCGTTTTTGCAACCGACAAACATCTGCTCCTTTCCCCCGGCTCCCGTCTTGGCCGACTGCCTATTGATCTAAACAGGAGCAGCATCAACCGTCATAATACTTGCTGCTGTGCATTTCACCCCATCTCGAATCGAACCCAGACCAGTCTTTTCTTGTTGAACTTTGCATTTCTCTCAATCGCGCTTTCTCAGACTCTGCTCCTTTTTTTTTTCCTTCCTTCCTTTCTTCTTGGAATCATTTGCCGATGACTGACACACAAACCACAACACCAGCAACAGCGGTTGCAGACTCGGCGTTGTGGCACCAAAACAAGCCGGTAATCCGAAAAAAGCTCCAACTTCGTGTCTTGTCGCTCGTCCCCTGAACGATACATTTCAAAAGCTCATTCAAGCCACTTAAACGAGTGCTCTTGGGCTGAGAAGTGCATTGGCGAACTTTGGAGCGGGTGGAACGTTGAGGGGGAAGGGTGGTTTCTGAGGCGGTTTGAAAATTTGAGACCCCCCCCCCTTGTCGACCAACGCGCGACCCTCGCTCACCTGCACTGCTGCACGTTCATGTATGGTATGGTATGGTATGGGTATGGTCAGGTTGTCCACACGGGCTGGCTCGTCAAGCAGGGCGGCAGGCGGAAGAACTGGAAGCGCCGCTGGTTTGCCATTTCGGCCAACCAGATCTTTTACTTTAAAGATCCCAAGGTAAACAGCCAACGCTCAGCGTCGGTATATCTGCAGTGTGCGGACGTGTGGTCCTGCTTGGGATTGAGTTGGTTGGCGGCGGCGGCGCTGGGTGGCCGAGCCGCCTCTCCGCTCCGTCCTCAATTCTCACTCAATGACGACACATCCATTGAAACCCCCTCTCCTCTGTATGTTATGGATCGAAAGGACGCTGTGCCGCTGGCTGCCATTCAGCTGTTTGGAAACGAGGTGCGTGTCATTCCCGAGTCTCAGGAGCCCCGCAAGCGATTCTGCTTTGAGATCATTCCAGGCGGCGAGACCAAGACCATGATGACAGACAACCATCGCACATTCATCATGTATGCCGCCACCAAGCCCGAGATGGAAACATGGCTGTCGTACATTCGCAAGGAGTGCTATGCGGTAGGGGGCCCACTGAGCGATATTGTTGCTGTTCTCGGGTTTTTTGTCGCATAAGTTTTGCCCGACAAACGTTGACGGATGAAACTTGCTTGGTTTTGCTCACACGGTCGGTGATTCTCTTTTTTTATGCTCTGGGATACCCTTGGAACAGCCTCGTGGAGGTGGCATGTTTGGCACGGATTTGGCCGCGACGCTGGAGCGCGAGGGCCGCACGGACGACCAAGTGCCCATGGTTGTCGAAAAGACCCTCAACTACCTGGTGCAGTTCGGTGAGAAAGATGCCTTGTTGTTGTTGTTCACATGACTCGAGTTGAGAGTTTGGCCTCAGATGACAGCGGTTCCCGAGAGGTTGGTCTCTTATTTTAATTTCGTTCTCGAATCCTAACCACTGCCCTCTGTTTGCCTTCCCTATGCTTACGCGCACACGCAGGCTTGAAAGAGGAAGGCCTGTTCCGCAAATCGGGACTCGCCGCTCGTATCAACAAGCTCAAGGAGCAGTTCGCTAAAGGCGAAAACCCCGAGCTGGACGGCGAAGCAGATGTTCACGTTGGCGCTGCCCTCTTCAAAATGTACCTCCGAGAGCTTCCAGAGCCGCTTCTAACCTTTCAACACCACGGCGAGTTTATCGCTGCAGCGCAGAGTACGTTTTGTCCCCCATTTTTTGCATGCGTTTGGCTTTTAATTAACGTTTTTATGTGTTGAAATTTCTCACTCACTTGCTGCTCTTCTTTCACTCCTTCTTCGCCATGACAGTTTACACGGACAATGCCGCCACTACAGACCATGCTACTCTACTCGTGCCCGTTCGGGCGCTATTGAGTAAACTGCCACCTTGCAACGTCACTCTTCTGCGATTTTTGTGTCAATTCCTGCGGCAGGTGTTGGTCCACGAAGCAAGCAATCGCATGGGCATTGACAACTTGGCCACCGTGTTTGGCCCATGTCTGTTGCGCGACCGCCAAAACCACGACGATCCTCTCACGCAGCTCGGCTTGTCGAAAATGATCAATGTGGTCGTCAAAATGTTTCTGCAAGAGTTTGACATCCTGTTCTCTGATCTCAGCGTCCCAAAGGCTCTTCCCCGGTAAGCGTGCCGTGTTCATGGCGAAAACGTGGACCTATTGGCAACAGAGTTCCACTCACTTTTTTTTTTTCCTTTTTTTTTCTTTTTTTTTTTTTTTTTGTTTGTTGGTTTGTTTGTTTGCTTGTGGGACTATCCGTAGGAGCACGTCTTGGCGCAAGACCACCCTGATTGAAGCAGACTTGTCCGACGACTCGGACGACGAGGACGCAACCGCGCGCGACAGACGCAGTGGTCGTGTCAGGCGAGAGAGCTCGCAAGCAGAGTCAAGTCCCACGTCCCCGACGCCATTGTCCCCTGGCCCCTCGTCCGCCAGTCCCTTCCTCCAGCCTGATGCGTTTCCAGTGCAGCATTCAAACACTGTGCGTGCATCGGTCGCCGAGGTAGCAGAGTCGCGCGTCAAAGACCTCGAAGCCAAGGTTGCCAACTTGGAAGAGCGACTCAAAATGGCGGAAATCAGGTATCTCGAAGAATGGCAGACACGCCAACATCTGGAGCTCGTTTCAGCAGAGCTCCAGCGGAAGCTCAAGGACTACGAGGAGAAGGACGGCTTGAAATCAGCGTCGTCGTGAACAAGCACACACAAAAACAACTGTACACAGGACTGACAGCTCGGCCGCAGGCGGCAACAAGCAGTTTTTTTTTGTATTTCCTTTCCCTCCCCCCCCCACTCCGGCTAATGTATCTTTCCAACAAGCTAACAAGCTTTGTGATGTTGTGTACTTGTCTCTTTGTCAGTTTTCATGAGCTCAACTCCTGGCGAGTGTGAAGAGTGAATTTTTGCCTGATATCCTTTGTCTGTGTTGTTTTGTTTTGTTAAGAAGAATCAAACCGTCCAACAGCCGTTCGCCTTCAATTGTACGAATTGATTTCAATTTGTAATTTTTCGATAGTCCCCGTACCGCATTATTGTTGTACTCGCAGTCTGATTTGTTGCATGGTCGTTCTTGGACGTTGTCTGCTGTGCCGTAGTTTTTGACAACAAGTACCGCAAAAATGACCAAGACTCGGGTTGCCGTGTTTATCGCGTGCACCGCCTTTGTCATCCTCGGCGGACTGTACTTGACACAACCCAATCCTACCATGTGGTTCAACCAAGTCATCACCGTCGAGCAGAATCCGGGGTATACCGAGACACACGCGACGTGGACGTTTGATGACCCAGCCGCGCTGCTGCTCGAGCTCGAGACCTGGCGCCCAAAGTGGCCGGTCGGTCCACCGCATACTAAATCGCTGAGTGATCGTGCTGCGAACGGGCGGCCGGCAACGTGGTCGTACCCAGAGTCAGTGTGCACCTCCCACGGGAGTTGTGACACGCTGCTTGAGCATCTGCCCTGTCCCAATGGACCGGCTCCAGCCACCGGATTGCACGATCCACGGTTTACGCAGTTGGCATTATCGACGTGCTCGTATCGCCGGATTGCCTCGTGCTTCCCAAAGGACCTGCAGGAGTGCTTTTCGCGGCGCCTCAACCGCAGTCGCTGGCTCATTGTGCTGGGCGATTCCGTCACGCGGAATACGTTTCACGAGTTCTTTACCCATCAAATGCCCCAGGATCAACAGAAAAGGCTGCTGCTCTCGGCGGAAAGAGTTGGCGGTTTCGTGCCATTCAAGCGATACTAGTTGAGTTTCTTGATCAAAAATGAAGAGAATTTGCAAACATGCGCTCCTCGTTGCTGCGAGGTCATGGTTATTTTTGGCGCAATCTTACTGCACTCACTTCTGTCTTTGCTCGGCGTTGGTGGTGCTTGTTCAATGCGTAACAAACACAGCAACCAAGATTTCCTGGTCTTTGGAAAGTTTCTCGTTACGATTCGGTTTATTGGAACCTCGGGCGGCCAGCAAACCATCGACAATATCGTCGCCGGCATGTCTCTCTCAGACTCGGAGCGACAGAACCTATTCTTCGAATTGGATGCCGAGTCGCAAGCCCGAAACGAGTCGCTGATTCCGGAAGCTAAACGCGACAGCCTGTTTCGCAAGCCCGACGTGGTCGTCATCAACGCTGGCCTGTGGGACACGCGCGTCATGCCTCCATCCTACTTCAATTACAGCATGACCTGGTGGCAAGAGGTGTTCCAAGAAATGCTGGGCTTTGAGCCTCAGCAGCTGTACTGGCGGAACATCAACCCGGTGTCGACCATGCTCCCTCACGTCGACCGGACCCGCCAATGCATGACAAACGAGCGCATTGCCGAGCTCAACTGGATTGCGCACAATTTGCTCATACGGCAAGGCGGTTGGCATAGCATTGACGCCTTCACCGCCATCGGCGGCTTTGTCCCGCCCGCAGAGGCTCTCAGCCAAGACTACTACCATCCCTCCACGCTCGAATTGTGCAAGGTGAATGACATGGTATTCGGCACAATATGCGACGTCGAGGCGTCCCCGCAGTAGTCGCAATATTGTTTGTGGGCAAAAGTTGCGCAAAGCACAGTATTTGAAACAGACAGACAGCATCGCGAGTTGCTTTCTGAGATTTGACTATTTATTTGTTGTTGTTGATCGAACGCGACACACGATGAGATGATCGAGTGATCTTGTAATAAAGCTGCTTTTCGGCTCTCCTGAGGCTTCAAGCAAAATGAATGGAAATGCAAACAGAATCAAGCACAATGGGGTTTCCTTCACTTTCATGCCGCGCCAGAGTTGAACAGCGGAGTGATTCTTGTGGTTTTTTTATTTCTGAGTGGTTTTTTTATTTCTGAGATTATTTCCTGCGACCAGTTCTTCATATTCAGTCCATTCTTTTTGTTTCAATATCAGCAATGTCAACGCAACGCAAGCAGGTTGGGGAATTGAAAATTTTACTTTTGGAAGCTGACTTTTCAACAAAATAAAACCTCCGCCAACGAATGAGACAAAGAATGACAGATGACGATTGGAGGATGCTGTAACAGTCGGATGTGATTGGGATGGGAGCGGTAAGGGAATACAGGTGGGGGGGTAGGAGAGGGGAGATGGTGGTGTGTGGTGGGGTGAGATTCAGATGGCGTGATGTTCGTGTTCCAATTCGTGCTTCAGCATCATCCATCACAGTCACAGTCGCAGTATGCCGTTGCTTCTTCATCTTGTCGTTATGAACTCTTGATCGGTCGGATTTCTCGGTGGTGGGGGTTGGGCACAGTCGTCGTCGTCGTCGTCGTCGTCGTCGTCGGCGTCGGGATTGAAGGCGCTCGTCATTGGCGGCGGCGGATTTCTGGGACGGCACCTCGTGGACGAGCTCCTCGCGCGCGGCTGGCAAGCAAGCGTGTTTGACGTCCGCAAGACATTCGACGACGCTCGCATCCCGTTCTTTACTGGCGATCTTCGCAAGGAGGAGGTGAGCAGAACTGGAGCAAAAACTCGCCTCAGAATTCACACTGAGAGCAAATTTTGTAACACTGAGACTTGACATGTCTTTGTGAATTTGGTTGTTTTTGGGCAGGATTTGCTGCCAGCACTCCGCGGCATTGATGTCGTGTTCCACTGCGCGACTCCTGCTCCATTGAGCAAAAACCGGTGCGTTGAACACGTTGTGAACGTTATCAAGTGTTTTTTGTGGAAGCAAACTCACTGACATTAAATAATACAGAGCCCTCTTTATCGATGTCAATGTCAATGGCACAAAGACCATTGTCGCGGCTTGCAAAGCTGCGGGCGTTCACGTAAAGCTCAGAGGATGTTGATTTTGCGATCGTCATGATTGACTCGAAAACTCACCAACCAAAACACAAAACTCTCCCTCACAGCGAATGGTGGTCACGAGCAGCGCAAGTGTCATTTATGCTGGCGCCGACTTGGAGCTGGCCAACGAGGATGTGCCATACGCCAATCCCCCGATCGACGCGTACACTGAAACCAAGGCCGAGCAGGAGCAGATTGTCCTCGATGCCAACAACGACACGGGCAAGGAAGCCACCTCGTTCCTCACAGTCGCCATCCGCCCACATGGCATCTTTGGTCCTCGCGACCCCCATCTCGTGCCGACACTGGCCACCATGGCTCGCGCAGGCAAGTCGAAATACATTATCGGCAACGGCAAAAATGTCGTCGACTTTACCTACGTCAAGAACGTTGTGCATGGCCACATTCTGGCTGCCGAGAAGCTTACGTGCGGCTCCAAGGTCGCGGGCAAGGCGTACCACATTACCAACGACGAGCCCATCCGCTTCTGGGGATTTATGGAGCAAATTCTTGTCGGTCTCGACTATCCAGCGCCGTACCTGCACATTCCGTACTGGCTCGTGTACTTTATCGCCCTCGTTCTTGCCCTCATCACCAAGCTGCTCAGCCCCATCACCAAGCTCAACCCGACATTTACGCCATTAACGGTCGCGCTCGCTGGAACGCACCACTCGTACGATTGCGCCCGTGCCAAGAAGGATCTCGGCTACGCTCCAGTCATCAGTCTCAAAGATGCCATCGCAGAAACCATTGCCACCTGCGAGCAGTGGCGCAATCCCAAGGCAGCGCCCGCAAAGCCCTCCAAAAAGCAAAAGTGATTGGGGTTTTTTTTTTCTTGTTTGGTGTTTTTCTTTCCGGTGCGACTGTTTGCCTTTTGTTTTTGGTTCTGCGCCATGTAGAAGAAGATGTCCAGAGTGGTGAAACTGAAAAGCACTTAAATTGATTCACAAAATAATAAACAAAATCAAACAAAATCAAACAATAGCCCACGGGACAAAACTGTCGTATCAAATGGAAATGTACGCATCAATCTACAGGGTTTTGACGTGTGCCTCGGATGGGGGAATCATGGCTGGAGGCAATTGGAACCAGCCAAGCGGCGAAGATGCTCGGCGACTTGGCGACCAATGACCACGGGGAGTGAATGGTTGCGAGCCATCGGAGGCAAGGAATAGTGGCGACGCCGTCGGCACAATGATTGGCGAAATGGCAACAACTTGAGAGCCTTGCGAGGGATAGGCGTATGTGAAGAGTTGGGGCTGCGGTTGCTGCTGGGGGTGCATGTGCGAATACTGAGGGTAGAATGGCATCAAGTGCGGCGAGGCGGGCACAGAGTTGAACTTTGGTGCACCGTTCAACGCCCACGGGATGTGCGCGGCAGTCTCGCTTTCACGGGGAACATGCGCAAGAGTTTCGCTTTCACGGCGCGCACGAGCGCTTTGCTCCTGCATCATGCACACTCCGGCGAGAGTTGCGAGCGACATGAGACGATCGACTTTGGGCTGCGGTGATTGTTGCTGGGGTGCGTGTTGCTGTTGAATAAAGTGTTGTTGCGGGTGGGGGTGCTGCTCTTTCGTGGGCTGTGCCAAATAGGCAGGCTGCAGAGGCTGGTACGTCTGGCCCTGCTGCAGCTCGTCGTCGTCTCCTTCGGAGGCGGTGTCGTCACTGCTGCAGCTGCTTTCAGAGTACGAGACGATGCTCGGCCGTTGTAGTTGTTGTTGTTGGTGCTGCTGCTGCTGCTGCTGCTGCTGCTGCTGCTGGGACGCGCCAAAGCGTTGTACGGAATCGACCGATTCAGCGGTCGCCGGATAGGGTGAAACGCGAGCGTGCTCCTTGCTGGCAAGCTTCCGCGGAGGAATCGCGCCAGTCAGGCCTGTGCGGCGGCTTTGGCGCTGAATGTCGCGAACGTGGTGATCAATCAAACGTGGGCGGGTGTTGGTCATGGTGGAAGTGTTTCGGGATTCGCTGTGTGCCGATGACTCGATGACAGTGCCATCATCGGTGTTGTCGGAGGCAGCAGCAACGCTCACGTTAGATTCTTGGCGATGCTGGTCAGCCTGGTTGTTGTTGTTGTTGTTGTTGTTGTTGTTGTTGTTGTTGTTGTTGTTGTTGTTGTTGTTGTTGTTGTTATTGTTATTGTTGCTGTTGTCCAGTGGAGTGCCATCCTGGCTGCTGTCCGAGTCGGCAGCGCTCAGCTGAAGGTACGAGTCCGCCTCACGAATGGCGCTGCTACTGACCGAGTCGCAGCTTTCAACGGATGCTGGGCCTGCTGTCATGCGCACCGCGCCAGAGAACGAGTCAAAGTCGGCAAAGGAGGAAGACATGTCAAACATGGACGTGTCGGCTCCCGCTGGAAGGAAGAGCGCGTCGCTGATGGTGTAGGGAGCAGCCGCGCCAGCGACCGGCCTGGGGTGCACGCTTGGAGTGGAGTGTGTGTCCTTGGACTTTTTGGTGCCAATGCTGACGTGATCAACGTCATCCTCGAGCTCGAGGTCAGAGTTGCCTTCCTCTTCCGAGTCATAGTCGCTTTCGTCCGAATCCATGCCATCGGCGCGGCGGCGGCGGGCGGCGATCGAATATGCGCGGCCAGCGCCCGTGCGTGTCTTGAGCGCGTTGCGGCGCAGACGCGATGTGGTGGTGCCCATAAACTCGTCGAGCGGCAGGACGAGGTGTTGGACGAGGTCTTTGTGCAGCTTGGCGACGTAGGGAACCGTCTCCGAGCCTGCCGTCGTGCGGCGCAGGTGTTGCATCCAGACGTGCGACTCGACGTTGTTGCGCTTGTTTGGCTTGACGCGCTTCAAGCAATCTTCGTGGCCGCAGACAAACTGGGTACGACGAACCATTTCCAGAGCAGCAGCAGCAGCGGCGGCGGCAGAAGCAGAAGCAGAAGCAGAGGTTGGGTGGAAATCGAAATGACTCGTACTACTACTGCTGGTGGTAGAGTCCGAGTCGGAGGTGGACGATGATTCAATAGTCTTGGCGGTGAAGGAGGTGGTGCCAAGCCAGAGGTGATCCGCGCTGCTGGGTGGTGGTTGTTGTTGTTGAAGCTGGAGTTTTGCTCGAAGATTGGCGGCTGTTTGCAATTGCAAGTGTAACTGCTCCAGCTGCGATCGTCCTAGTTGAGTGGAGGTCGTCTGTGTAGCAAGACAAGTTGGTCAGGGTGAGTACTTGGTTGTTGGTGGTTGGTGGTGGAGTGGTGGGCGGAAAAGCAGAGGGTGTGAGGTAAATAATAATAAAAAATCTCGTTACCTCAGCCAGGCGGATGTTCTTGTCAGGTTGACCGGTGTTCGAGGTGCCAGTAGTAGTCGCAATCGCAAGAAGCGTTGATGATGGTGATGACGATGTTGATGATAGGGAGGTGGAGGAGGCCACAGTGGTAGCAACGTGAGCGGCTGGCGCGTGCGGTTTCTTGGCGGAGGTTGGTGTTGTTCGTGGTAGCGTCGGTTTTACAGCCGCCGGCGAATTGATGTTGCTGCCGTTGTTCTTCCCGCCGGTAGTGCTGACACGACTGCCCTCGCTGGTGTCGAGGAGTTTGGATGGGTGCGAGTGGATCGGGATGCCAGATCGATCTTGATGCTGAGGGTGATGCAAAGGGGCAGTGCTGGCAGGCGGGCTGTGAACGGACGTACGTGCGGTTTGAGCAGCAGCAGACATGTGGCGGCAAAAGTGCACGCAGCAGAGTGAGAAGGCGTTCAATGCACAGCAATGGTCGCCGCCCGCCGTTCCAGTCGCATCAGGCGATGATGATGGAGAGGGAGGTGATGAAGCAGCGATTTGCATGATGGTTGGTTGGTTGGTTGGTTGTTGGGTGTCGGGTCCAAGCGGTTGAAATACACTTCAAAAAACAAAAAAACACGCCGCAAGCCAAACCAAGCCAAAAAACGCTCGGCTCTTTTATTATTGTTTTGTTGTGGATGACGGGTGGTTGAGAGCAGTGCTGAAAATCGAAGACCAAAGATCAACGAGATAAAGAAGCTGCTCAAATGATAAAGAAGCGAAATGGAAGGAAAAAATGTTGACTGAACAGAAAGAAAAGAAGAAGAAGAAAAAAAAAAAAACAGGCAGAACGTGATTTTCTTTCACGCTTTTTTTTTTTTTTTTACACCGGGTTTTTTATTTGTTGCTCGTTTTTATCAGTTTTGCTGCCGCTGTTCTTCTTCTGATTCTTCCATTGTTGATGAATTCAGAGAACACAAACAGATCGTTGAAGAATCACATCACAAAACTTTCCCCCCCCCCCCAAACGAGAGCAATCGCTGGGTAAAGAGGCGCGCAAAGTGAGGTGAGGGTGAGAGCGTGAAAATGACACGGTTGGTTTTGTAGCATTGAATTCGCACTCTGATTTGTCGCATATGACAGCCACAAGGGTCAGCAGCGATTATCGTTTGACAATCCGCTGTTTGCGGTGACAGTTGTCAGTTGGGTCCCCCGAACAGAAGGTGATGAATCGAAACTAAGGGAGGAAAATGCAAGGAGGGAAAAATAAAAACAAACATTTATATCCATAATTTTGTTTTTGAAAAAAAAAAAAAACACCATAAAAAATTAGAAATGCGAGAATCTCAGACAGAAGAGCGGAAGTTTTGTTGTTGTTGTTGTTTTGTTTTGTCCAGCTTGTTGTATTCATTCACTTGATGAAACTCATGAGTCGCAAGCCATAGCAGTGAGCGTTGAAAGACCAAACGCTTTTGTTCCCCGCTTCAACGCTGAGCACCTCAATACACCTCGCTCTGCACCCCCTGCAGTGCGCGTTGTCTCAAGAGTGTGGGCACAAAAGGACGAGCGAGTGCGCGACGAGCAGAACCCGTGTCATCGAAACAAACGCAACACTGGGACATTGGGATTGTTGCCAAACTTCCACGCCGTCTATCAAGCCAGGAGCAGCGAGCCGCTTTCTTACCAGAGCAAAGCACAGCAGCAAGGCAGGAGGTGATCTCGCTAAACCAACGTGCTCTTTGAAAACGATGTGGTGGCTGAAAAATAAAAAAAAAAAGACTGCACAAAGCCATGATTTAATCAAAGGCGTTTTCCGAGATTGAAGGCGCATGTTTCAGACAACGCATCCGATTGGACGCCGCGCAAACAGTCGTCACACCACCGTTGCCAATCCGATTCCACAGCCACCAGGCTCGGGCGGTGGACGGGATTGGCACCAGAGTTCTATTGGGGCAAAAACAAAAATCCTGGATTTGCTGGCAGGGGGCTGGACGTCAACGGAGGTGAGAAGCAACGCAAAAGTGCTGGGCGCACAGAATCGAAAGTGGGACGACGAGTTTGGAGCTGTGTGTGGTTGAACGGCGTTCGCGGCAATGATGACGCATGAATTAAGCTGCAATAACGCTGGTGGGGAAGAGGGTGTGACGGAGAGCGAAAGAGCGAAAGAGAATGGGGCTGAACTCGCAGCGCAGCAAATAGCACAAACCGTCTCGTTCACTTTCCCCTTTGACCAAGCTCGTCGTGTAACATTTACAATAATCATCGGCAATCACCAGCATAAAATTGTGTCAGCTATTGGAGTTGGTCGTCTCCAATGTGTGAGTCCTGCATTGGAGGCTTTTTCAGCCACTGTAAACGAGCTTTTCGATTTCCTTTTTTTTTTTTTTTTTTTTTTTTTTTTTTTTTTTTTTGTTCCTTTCGTAGGGCCAAAGAAGCTGTGCCGCCCGTCTCCCTTGAGTGCATTGCGCTCCGCCACCAGCATGGCTTTCATCACGACTTTATTGGCATCCTCGAGGCGCACGCGGCAAGCATGCCCGACCTGCTGGAAAGGCGCTGCCCAAAAGCTCCCTCAGGAACAAAAAGTCAACCCAATTTCGTAAGCCTTTTTTTTGCTTGATTTATTGATTTCGCTGACAAGCTAGATCGAGCTGTTGTTTTATTTTATTTGAAAAGACGCAGTCATTTTCATTTAACTTTGTCTTTTTTTTTTTTCTGGAGGAGTATTTTGTTCGATTGCTTTTGAGTTGTTTGTTTCCTTCCTTCCTTCCTTCTCTTTCTCCCTCAGCCGCGTCTTTCTCCTTGTTCTCTACATCACAATATTGATTATTGATTGAGCTGCTTTTTGATTTTGAAAAGCTGCAGTCATTTTCATTACGTTTTTGTTTTTTCGATTATTTTAATCGATTTTTTTTTTCTTTCTCCCTTCACGCTGCTTGCTCCCTCAAACACCTTCTTCTTCTTCTTCTTCCTCCTCCTCCTCCCCGTCCTCGTCTACATTGCATTTATGTATCACATGGAAACCATGTCGTCTACCACTCAGTCGGGCGCGTTCAAGCCACCAGCAGTGAAAACCCAGCCAACCTCCAAGCGCCGCCGAACCCAAATATCAGAGCAACAGGTGAGGGAGCTGGAGATGCTCTTCGACGTCGACCCGTGGCCGTCTGCCGAGGACAAGATTGCTCTGTCCAGGAGACTCGAGCTGAGTTTCCAGTCGGTCCAAGTGTGGTTCCAGAACCGCCGCGCGAGAGCCAAGAGGCAGGACGAGGTTTCGCATGCACGCGTTTACAGTGTCGACTCCGACGACGACGACAACAACGACAATGACAATCAGTCTGACAAGGCCGTTGAAGGTTCAGCGAAAAGAGTCCCTCCTAAGGCACCTGAGAATTCCGTCCAACGCGACGAGATCGATGTCAGAGACAGACCATGGCGTGCTATCAGGCCACCGCTAAACCCAATGCTTCAACGCATTTCAGCAGGACCGATGTGGCGCAAAGATCCTTGGAGAGATGATGAATTCGATGTCGACGCTTCAACTGCTCGTTCTGCTCCGGAGTTGGGAAAGTCAAGCGATGGCAAGGAATTCCTTTCGCCAATTTCAAGCATGGAATTCCTTTCGAAACAGCCGAGACTTTTCGAATTCGATGTCGACGCTTCAACTGCTCGTTCTGCTCCGGAGTTGGGAAAGTCAAGCGATGGCAAGGAATTCCTTTCGCCAATTTCAAGCATGGAATTCCTTTCGAAACAGCCGAGACTTTTCGAATTCGATGTCGACGCTTCGTCGACTACGACGACGACGACAATCAGTCTGATAAGACTGTTGAACAGTCATCGATGTCTATCAATGTATCGGGATTCCTTTCGAAACAGCAAGGACGTTTGAAACGTCGTCCTGTCCAGTGGCAGAGATTCACTGTGGTGGGTGGTGTGCTCGAGTAAGTCATCCCCTCGCTGATGGTTATGAATGAATCTTGTCAAGGCGAAGCGCTCATTGAAAGCGGTGCCAGCTTGCAGAACAATCATATCGGCGCTGCTGGAGCGCAAAGGACTGCTGAAGAACTTAAACGGAACACAACGGTGACCAAACTACGGTAAGACACTTTACTATGACTGATAGCTTGTGAGTGATTTCAGAGGGCATTCAAACTGGCTCACTGGTGGAGGGGATTGACAGTATGCACGATAATCAAATTCGCGATGCTGGAGCGCAGGCGATTGCGGAGGCACTCAAGGTGAACACGACGTTGACTGTGCTCAGGTAGTGCATCTCACTTTTGACTATGTTCGACAGAACATTCAAAGTGCTCACTGATGAAGGATGGACAGTCTGAGTGAGAATCAGATTGGCGATGTTGGAGCGCAAGCGATTGCTGAAGCACTGAAGGTCAACACAACGCTGGTTGAGCTCGAGTAAGGCATCATTCGTTAACTGACGCATATGAGCGGGTGGCTTCCGCAACGGGCAGTGAGAGTGCTCACTGATGGAGCGCATGGACAGTCTGCATCAGAATCAGATTGGCAGTGCTGGAGCACAGGCGATTGCCGAGGCACTCAAGGTCAACACGACACTCACCAAGCTCGAGTAAGGCATCTCGTTTTGATGTTGACGCTTGCGAGTGGGTGATTTTGCAGAGGACAGTGAGAGTGCTCACCGATGGAGAGATGGACAGTCTGAACTATAACAAGATTGGCGAGACTGGAGCGCAGGCGATTGCCATTTCGCTCAAAGTGAACGTGACGGTGACTTTGCTTGAGTAAGGCACCTCACTTGAACCAAGGCGTGTGGGCGAGTGAACCTGCAGATGGCATTTTGAGTGCTCACTGACGAGGACGGGAACGGACAGTCTGAGCTGGAATGAGATTGGCGAAGCTGGAGCGCACGCAATTGCTGATGCATTCAAGGTGAACAAGACGGTGACAAAGCTCGAGTAAGGCACCTCACTTGAACCAAGGCGTGTGGGCGAGTGAACCTGCAGATGGCATTTTGAGTGCTCACTGACGAGGACGGGAACGGACAGTCTGAGCTGGAATGAGATTGGCGAAGCTGGAGCGCAAGCGATTGCTGAGGCTTTCAAGGTGAACACGACGGTGACAAAGCTCGAGTAAGTCATCTCTGTGGTTGTGAGTGGGTGATTGTAGCAGAGGGCAGTAAGCGTGCTCACTGATAAAGGATGGACAGACTGAGTGATAATAAAATTGGCGATGTTGGAGCGCAAGCGATTGCTGAGGCTTTCAAGGTGAACACGACGGTGACAAAGCTCGAGTAAGTCATCTCTGTGGTTGTGAGTGGGTGATTGTAGCAGAGGGCAGTAAGCGTGCTCACTGATAAGGGATGAGCAGACTGAGTGATAATAAATTTGGCGATGTTGGAGCGCAAGCGATTGCTGAGGCTCTCAAGGTGAACACGACGATGACCGAGCTCATGTAAAGCATCTTACTTTCACCGATGTATGTGAGTGGGTAGTTTCCGCAAAGGGCAGTGAGAATGCTCACTGATGGAGCGCATGGACAGTCTCCACCATAGTCAGATTAGCGATGCCGGAGCTCAGGCGATTGCTGAGGCCCTCAACGTGAACAAGACGCTGACTCGTATCAAGTAAGGGATGCCACTTTTACTGAAGCTTGTGAGTGGTTGATTTCAGCAGAAGGTAGTAAGCATGCTCACAGATGGAAATGCTTAGTCTCGGCCGGAATCAGATTGGTGATACTGGAGCGAACGCGATTGCTGAAGCACTCAAAGTGAACAAGACGGTGAAGAGGCTCTAGTAAGGCATCTCACTTTGATTGATGCATGTGAGTGGTGTTTTCCAGAGAGTACATCGAGAGTGGCTCACTGATTGGGGCGACAGCTTGTTCGATAATCAGATTGGCGATTTGGGAGCGCACGCGATCGCTGAGGCACTCAAAGTGAACACATCGCTGACTGATCTCAAGTAAGGCCTCGCTTTCACCGATGCTTGTGAGTGGGTGATTTTTGCAGAGGGCGTTCACAATGCTCATTTATGGAGGGACGGACAGGTTGGGGAACAATCAGATTGGCGATGCTGGAGCGCTGGCGATTGCTGAAGCACTCGAAATAAACACAACGCTGACTTCTCTCTGGTAAAACACCGTCGGTTTCGTACGTCAAACCATTTCTACCGCAAGATACTGACACTCTCCTCTTGAATACTGATCCGTACAATAGTGCCGCTCAAGATTCCATCTCTGACCTCGACTTGCGCAAGCATCTCAACAACTTCCGAAGAACGTCGCACTCCTTTAAGCCGAGGTGGGTACATCATTAAATCAGTTTTTCCACTTTTCATCATGTCACTCACAAGCAGCAGTACAAGTAGTGCTGCTGCGCCATCCGTTCCCGAGCCAATGGTCACGAGTCCAGAAGACAACAATCCGGGCGCAAACCTGGAAATTCTATCCGCAGTTGCCGAAGAATCACGGACCTTGGTGCCAATGGACACACGTCAAGCTGACGAAACAACTGACTTGGGTCGAGCGGTCAAACCCCCGATCGCAGAGATTCATGCGCAGACAATTCTTCCAGGGGCTGTCCACGACGAACACAGTAGTCTGATTGAAACCAAGGTTTCTACAGCAGGCATTCCCAGCATGAACTCAAACGTAAAGATCGCACATTGGCATCGTCTGTTCGACATGGCCACTCTGATAGCAGCCGGCGAAGGCTTGCTGAAAGAACAACCCGCGAACTTTGCTCAAGGGATGCCGATTACTCCGGAACAACAGCTTGTGTACCATGCTAAAGAGCGATCGTTCAGTGTCGAGTCGGTCGCCAGTATGACTCAGCCAGCAAGCATTTTTGCGCAGCCATTCGAACTCGATGCCAAAGATCAAGAGCTGGAACAGCTTCGCCACGAGCTTGCTGCCAAATATCAGGAGCTTGCTGCCAGAGACCAGAAGCTCGCTGCCAGAGACCAGGAGCTTGTTGCCCGAGAGCAGGAGCTTGTTGCCCGAGAGCAGGAGCTTGTTGCTAGAGAGCAGGAACTCACTGCCAAGGAAAGTCGGATCGACAATCAACCTCTCAACTCTGACGGACACATCCCGCAAATTCCTCTCGCGACTCTTCTCACCGCCACGAACAATTTTGCTGCGGATTCCCTGCTCGGCGAAGGAACTTTTAGTCGCGTGTATGGCGCCAGTTTGCCTGTCGCCATCAAGAGGCTGCCCGCCGAATTGATCCAGCATTATGTAGAGTTTCAATCAGAGCTGGAATCTCTATCTAAATTCCGTCACCCCAACATTGTTGCGATTCTGTCTTATGCCAACAGTCACGATGAGTATTGCTTGGTGTACGAGTTTATGCCCAATGGTTCTGTTCGCGATCGCTTGGATCGCAAAAACGGCACGCCTCCGCTGACCTGGTACCAGCGCCACCGCATTGCGGCTGGTGTCGCCCGTGGCATGAACTACGTCCAGACAGCCTTTCCTGATCATGTTCTGATCCTTCTCGATCTGACGACAGACAATGTTTTGCTAGATGCCTCTCTCGAGGCCAAAGTATCTAATTTCGGTCTTGCCCGTGCTGCCCAACATCTCCATGAGACGAGCTACCTGCCCACCCCGCACCTTCAAGGCACAAAGGTGTACATGTGTCCCGAGTTCTTTGCGGAGAGCAAAATGACCGTCAAAACGGACGTTTATGCTTTTGGCATGATTTTGCTGGAATTGGTGACGGCAGAGAAGGCCAGCATTCGCATGAAGTCAAACGCGCGAAAAGCTGTGAAAAACCAAACCATCAATGACATGCTGGATCCAGTACTCATTCTAACTGAGGCAGAGTGCCAGAGCATCCACAAGATTGTCGTTCTTGCACTTGAGTGTCTTGAAGAAGCAGCTGAAGATCGCCCATCATTCGGTACCCTCCTTGCTACATTGGATCATTGATGCCAAACTACAATTGTTGTATTGAATTTAAAGCATCGTGGCTCTGCATTTCTCGTATCCATGCGAACACAAAGCATCTTTTACAAAGTCGCGCATTTCTCCTTTAGATGACGAACATAAAGCGCCGAAACGACAAGTATCTGTACAGTTGATTGCCACACTCGGTGCTAGGGTGGCGACCCCGCCCCTATCGAGTCGTCGTAGGAAGGAGGCAGCTCCCGCAATGTCAATTCACGTTCGCTGCCTTCCGAGTGCATTAAATCGATCAATGAGATATCCGGCGACAAGCTCGCGCCAGAGTTTCCAGATGATGATGCAAGACGATGGGCAAGTTGCTGCGCGGCATGGACGGCATCGAGCATGGAAGGGCGAGCAGCGACTGCAGGTGGGTACGAATGGGTGGATGAAACTGGAGCAGCAGGTGCGTGTGTACCATCAACGCTTGTCGCTCGAGGCAGTGGTCTCGGAACTGTTGGTGATGAGTCGGCGGAAGTCGTCGGGTGCGCGATAGTGGGTGTGTACTCTGGCGGTTGCTCGAGGTCGTCCAACTGCACCGAGTAGCCCGCTCGTGGCGGTGCGTCTCCAAATAAGCTTCGCCAATGCTGCAACAAGGCAGTGGCGTTCGGTATAATTCCAGATAGCGCAGCGCCGGCAGCGGCATCTGCCGCTTCCGAACTCATTGGCTCTCGAGTCGTCGGCCGCGTCCGCCGCGGAGGAGGAGGAGCACCAGGCTCGAGCACGACGCGAGTGGCTCTTGCATCGATACGGCGACTACCGAGATTGGCATGCATCAAGCGAGGTGAGTTTGTTCAACGCAAAGTAACAACAACAACAACAACAAAAAAAAAAAAAAAAAACAACAACAACAACAACAACAACAACAACAACAACAAAAAAAGCTGATTCGCTGCTTTGCGTACATGTGAATCGAATTTGCCAGCATGACAAAGGCTACGATTGTCAAAAGCACAATCAGTCCAGCGCAGCTGAGCCCGAGAACTGTTCCAGAAATGGAATCGGAGGACGACGAGTATCCAATAAAGAGCCGTTTTTGCGAGCAGTCCTCGCCTTCATGAAAATCATCGCAATGACATGTCATGCCAATGCACACGCCGTGTGACGTGCACTTGTCTGTGCGCAAGCAGGAGGCTACGAGGTGCAAACCGACGATGAGCCAAACACAAAGCTACGAATCAGCCCCGCCGCAACGCAGAACGACCAACAATCCAATCCTTCCATCAAAGCAGCTCATACTGATAGGGTCGCAGTTGGCACCGGCATAGCCCTTTTGACAAACGCATGCGCCTTGAACGCATTCCCGGCGCCCATAGCAATCCGACGCACAAGCCACTATTGGAATGGAGCAATCCTCGGCGCCTGTCCATGGCGGATTGCAAACGCAAGAATCAAAGCCAGTGTTGTCACTGATGCACTGGCCGTGCCCGGAGCAGCCTGCAGGGCAGTCGCCTGCAAAGTCCACGGGCGAAATTGGTTTCGAGCATACACCGGCATCGTCCAATTTGATGAGTGAGATGAGCAACGCAAAAAGGCTGGTACCTGTCGCTTTGACGCCACCACGATCCCATAACACAAACGGCATCCAACAGCAAAGCAACGTACCTCGGTCGAGAATGACGCAGGGCATCTCGGAGCAATAGCCAATCGAATAGTGAGCGACAGAGCTGGAAGTCGACGCAGACGCTGGACGTGGCAGTGCTACCGTCAAGTACACGGGGTCGGCACTCGACAGCGCATAGGAGAGAACGCGCGTGACGGTCGTTGCCGATGTCAAAGTGACCAACGGATTCTGGGAACGACTGGGGCATGCGTTTATGCCCACAAACAGCCGCAGACCCGAGTTTGGCACGGCAACTTGCAACGACAACATGAATGTATCGCTACCGGGATAGATGACATAGGTCTGGCTCTGGTACGGGTCGAGAATGCCGGCAACGCGGATTCCGTTTGGCAACTTGAGATTGGCGATTGTGAGCTCCTGGACAACCAGGGCATAGTTGACCACGCTGCTTGCACCACTCGAGCCTGCGACTGCCGCAATGGTTATCACCTCGTATGCGGGTCTTGCGGCGGCGGCGGGTGACGGGTTGTACGGACACGTCCACCCGACAGACGGCTGAGCAAATCCTTGGACGCCATCGCAGCACACCGTCGTGCTATCTCGTGTGTAGCTCAGCGTGGCCAGATTGCTGAACGAGGCCGAGACGCGGTATGCGACGTTGTCTGCACCGCTGTACCACAGCACAAATCGCTGCGGTCCTGCCGTCGAGTTGAGCGCGCTGAGCACCGGGACGCCCGCAACAATGCTCTGCTGCGCCAAGCCAGGGCATGCGAGTGCTGCGACAAGCACAACCACAGCAGCAGCAGCCGTAGCAGCAGCAGCAGCCGTAGCAGCACTCGTAGTTGTGTAGGCGGTCATCGCAAAATGAAAAAAACAAAAAATCCGCAAACTCAGAATTGCTCAGAATTTGCTCAGATTGATGATCAAATTTGTCAGAGTTTTCAGATGAGAACAAAAGAAAGCGGAGAGGTCGCTCCAACGAAAGCAGACCAAGTCTCGAGACCAGTACGAGGCGTATGAAGCGTTATGACGACTTGAATGAGCGAGAAAGAGGATTGACTTCATTCAAAGCGTCAAGTCGGTTTGATTCAACCGAGGTACAGTAGTGATTGACTGTCAATGCCCTGAGCTTGTCTCGATGCCTCCAAATCACCGTCACAAAATGAGCACCAGAGCGAGCGAGAGACGGACGAGAAGTTCAATTCGATTCAACGCGCTCTCACTACCCAGCCCCCCGCTCAATACAACCCTGCTCTCTGTAGAGTTAGAACTTACATGCACGAAATTGCTCCAATAAAATAGCTCAATGCTCAGTTCCCATTCTCAAAGGCGTTCATCCAAAACTAAATCACCGCAAAACGAACCTTAAAAACCAACGCTCAGAACCTCAGAACCTCAGACTTCAACCCCTCGGAACTCGGAATTCCAAACTCAAAAATCAAACTTGTGCTCACGATCGCCAAATAACCCATGTCGCACGTCGTCGAGTCTGCGGTTGCAGCGCGTGTGCTTGGCGGCCGCGGTGGGACGCAGCTTTCGCTCAGTCCGCCGAGCACCGACGGCGGCATGGCGATGCAAAACCGCTCCCTCGACGTCTACAACAACAGCCACAACAGCAGCAGCAACAGCAGCAGCAATAATCCCAGCGCCAAGGCCAGCGGGAGTCCGGACAGGTTCGCACGGCAGCCGTCCAGCCAGAGCCTCAAGTCGGCGCTCGCAGCCGGTGCCACAGACGGCCGAATCAGCCCAAGGCGGTCCCCGTCGCCACGCCTGCCTGACGAGGCGTCGCCCAGTGTCTTCCACGATGACCCAGCAGCCGTGCCCGCGACGGACCTGCGGGTGCCCGGTGCGACTGGCGCTTCGACAACGGCCGCTGCTTCGACTGCTGCTTCGACTGCTTCGAGTCACACCGCTACTTCTGCACAGACAACGCCGCTGCTGCAGGCCCTGCTCGAGGCGCAAAAGTGCGTCGAGGCAAGACTCAAGCTGGCCGAGCAGGCGACCGAGGCCAAGCAGGTCCTCGACAGCACGCAGGACGCCGCAGAGCTCCTCGCTGGGAAGCAAGTTCACACGCTCAAGCAGCGCGTCTTTCAATGGTTGTCCGATCCAAACTCATCCAAGTCGGCGTACTTGTGGTCCATCTTTATGATGCTGCTCATCGTCCTGTCGACGTTTACCTTTTGTCTGGGCACGGTCGAGGCGTTCAACTTGACGAGCGCGCAGCGGGATGCCTGGTTTGGGCTGGAGACGTTTGTCATTGTCGGGTTTTGCATTGACTACTTTGCCCGCCTTGCGACCGCACCAAACCGCCTGGCGTTTGCTATTCAGCCCATGAACGTTATCGACATTCTGGCCATTCTGCCGTACTTTGTCGACCTCATCCTCGAGGCGGCGCTCGGCAGCGGCCAGATTGGCATCATTACCATTATTCGTATCCTGCGATTGATTCGTGTGCTGCGGCTGTTCAAAATGTCCAACAAGCTTGAAAAGCTACGGCTCATGGGCATTGCCTTGAAGCGGTCCAAGGAGGGCGTCGTGATGCTCTTGCTGCTCGTCCTGATGGCGCTCGTCGTATTCTCGTCGTGCATCTTTTACGCCGAGACCTCGGTCTGCACGGAGGACGATGCCTCGAACCTGTATGTGTGCGACTTTAACGGCAACCAGTACGAAACCCCGTTCCAGAACATCCCGGCCTCGTTCTGGTGGTGCATCACAACACTCACCACCGTTGGCTACGGCGATGCCTATCCCGTCACACCCGGTGGCAAGCTGGTGGGCGCGCTCACAATGCTGTGCGGTCTACTCGTGATTGCATTTCCCATCACCATCATCAGTGCCAATTTGGGTGAAGTGTACGACGAGTACAAGCTGGCCAAGCAGCTTTGGGACTCTCGCGACAACAAGCTTCGCGCAGGTCTGTATGCACTTGAGGATGCTCCGGTCCAGGCGCTTGGGCTGATCAACAGACCAACCAAGCTGCTGGCCAGCCCGCTGCCCCAAGACTATCCTGACACGGTGCGGTTGGTGGTGCAGCTCACGGTCGCCACTGCGCAGCGCATCCAAGCCATCCGCGAGGAAATGAACGAGCTTGAGAACACGCTGGAAGGGTTTTCGGGTATTATCGACTCCATTCTGGTCACGTACCCGGAGCTTGCCAAGCAGTTCTCAGCACAAAACATCCCCGACGTCAAGTCAAGCAAGCTGTAGCATTGGTGGGTGAGGTTTGAAGTTGACAGTTTTGTTATTGAGTTTTTTTTTTTTTTTTTTGTTGGTTGTTTTTTGTGCTTGATTGGTGAGGACATGAATGCGAGTGTTGGTCAATTCTTTTGTCGAATGCTTGCTACAAGTGTATTTTTTTCTGTTCGTTGTTAATTGCTGTACCACTACATGATGCAAAGTCAATTGCCGAACAACCGAAACTTTGCATTTTTTTTTTTTTTTTTTTACTTGCGCTCGGGCTTGCGAACCAGGAAGAACATCATTGGCGTAAAGATCTTGGTCTGACCGCCGGCCACAAGACCCTGTGCAGCCTTGAGAAGCACGCTGCTAATCTTGGCGGTGCCGGAGGGAGCAACACGCAGGGTCTCAATCACGTTGACGAACGCGTGCGTGCACAGACGACCGAGCCAGGTCATGCGGAAGCCGCTGAGCGACCAGCTGCCGGCAAGAGGCTGGTACCACGGAATGTCGCCAGTCTCGGCCAGGTCGGAGATTTCGACAATTTCAAACCCGGCCTTCTTGAGCGCGTCCACCACCTCGTGGTCGTAAATCAGGTCGGGCAGACCGTCGCCCTCCTCAATGTCCTTCTTGATTTGGACTTGCTTCGGGTCGTTCGGGTTGTACTTGCTGGTCATGACCCACTCGTACCCGGAAAAGTATGCGCCGGGCTTGAGCGAGCGGAAGACCTCGCTAAACACGGCAACACGATCCGGGGCGTGGCAAGTCGCCTCGATGGCATACGCGCCGTCGAACGACTCGTCGGGCACAGGGACGTGCAAAAAGTCGGCCTTGATGAAGGAGCACTGCGCCTCCAGCTTGGCCTTGGCGTTGTGGATGCCGCCGCGCTGAATCTGGTAGGCGTTGTTGTTGATGCCGACCACATGAGCGCCCGAGAAGCGTGCAATCTCTCGCATCGGGCCGCCGACGCCGCAGCCAAAGTCCTGGAAAGTGAAGCGTGTGTGTGTGTGTGTGTGTGTGTGTCAGTGAAGTGAAAGGTGTAGAGTCAGGCGTGAGTGTTGTACCAACATTGTTCGGATGTTTTGTGTTCGTGTGGTTGTTTGAGCTTTCTGCTTACAGCAATCTTCTGGCCAGGCTGCAGGCGCATCTTGAGAGCAAGGTAGTGCTCGTGACGCACGATCGACTGCACAAAGCTCTCGGTGGCGCATCGCGGTGCAAAATGGAAGGATTGGCCCCAGCCGTACTCGTAAAAGTCGGTGGCAAGGTCGTAGTAGTGGTTGACCAACGTCGTGTACATGCTCTTGCGCTCTTCCACGCGGTCCTCTGTCAATTCATCAAAGAGTGCAGCCCATGTTGAGTGATGGTGAGGTACAGGAAGGATGACATGGAACAGAATACTGCAATATGGTCTGATGTTTTCACACCCAAGCTAAAAACCAAACAAACAAAAAAAGGTGCGAAACGCTCGTCATTGCATTACTTTTGGAATCGTCGTAGAAGGCCTCGTACTCGGAAGCAACCGTCGAGACATTGTCGCGGGCAATCGAGCCCTTCAGGAAGGCAGTCGGCACGAGCGACGTTGCAGTCGAGGCAACCGGCTTTTGAGAATCAGACATTTTGTTGTTTTTGTATGTGTGTGTCAATGATCGGGGGGAAAATATCGAGTGGTGCTGGTCACGGAATAAAAAAAAACTATTGCTTTTCTGTCGTGACGGGTTTTCTTGTCCTCGGAGGAATAGCAGGCAAAGTATAGCTGAAGGGTCGAAAGGGTATCAATCGCTGTTCCAACGAAGCGAGCGTATGCCGAGATGGAGCTTTCCTTGTAAAATGAAAGAAAAAGAAAGAAAAAAACGACTGTCGGGTTTTTCAAATAAGGGTTGGCGAGCGAGGCAATGTGTCGGGCATACGTTGCATTGCTGGACGGCGCCGGGCTGGAGCGAACTGATTGGCCAAACCGAGCTCAGCGAACAGTGGTGTGCTTTTTTTGTGCTTTTTTTTTTTTCTTTTTGTATTGAATTCCGTCGTTTGTGCCTGACGTTGTGGGGGTGGATGAGTGCGTAATCCTATGTGCATGTAATGAACGGAGACTGCGAGTCGAGCCAATGCAATGAATGGCAGCGAGCGAGACAAAAAGCGCGAGTGAAAAATCCCACCAAGGCAGTTTTTTTTCCCCTTTTTTCGCTTTTTTTTTTCTTTTTCTTTCCCGCTCCAATGCGACCAATGTGAGAACAGGAAACGATGAGCACAAAGTCGAGTCGACAAAAAAACAGGAGGAAGACCGCATGGCACGGAGGTTTTTGTCTTTAATTGACGCTGATCGGCGTTTCGCTCGTACATGTCAAAAACTGAAATGTGTGATCTCAGCGACTGTGATCCACGGTGTCATCATGGTATACTGCAGTGTGAGATTCACCAGCGATTGTTCATTTGTATTGTTGTATCAGCAGCAACGAAGCGTGGCAGGCTTATCCCAGCATTTCAGCGCCGAACCGTCAAATTGATCCTACGTCGCTGAGCCTCGCTCTCCATCGTCCCTCTGCTCAGTGTCTCAGTGTCGGTTCATTTCAATGTTTAAACTGGCAACATCTTTTGAGCATGTAGGTCCTTTCATGGGCGTTCCACGCGTTCCAGCAAAAATGTGAGTTTCAAAACTTTTCGGCTTGGTTTTCCACCGTTCCTCGACATCACCGTCGGCACTTTTTTCCATCCCCACTGACGTTCGTACCATGTCTCTCTTTTGTTGCCTCTGTTGTTGTCCATAATAGCATTCACTTCATTCCATCTTTTTCTTTACTTTGACAATGAAGCTTTCCATTGCTATTCTTTTCGCACTCCTCGGTCTCGTCGCTGTGGTACGTCTTCCAACCCCACCCCACCCACATCAAACCTTCCTCCTTCTTCACCCTTTGCGCCTCCCTTCGCTGGCCCTCTGACCTCCCCCTCCCCCTTTCAGCACAAGATCAAAAGCGCGCCCATATGTCGTCGTTTCGCCGCATTTTTCATCTTCCTCCTTTGCTCTTTTTCCCTTCTCCTCTTGGCCCCTCCCCCCGCTCTCCACACGACTTCCCCTTGCCTCTTACAAGCAAGCCGCGTCTTTGACCTTCTCACTCGCCTCGCGTTTTGCGTCACTGTCGCACCGTTGCCTTTTTTTTTTTTTTCTTTGTTTTTTGGTTCTTTTGCTTTTGCTTTTGCTTTTGCTTCTCCTTCGCTCGCATCCCCTCCCTCGACCCCCCGCCCCCGCCTCCACCCCCAAAGCCACCTTGCTCTAAGCTTCCCACTCTTTGTGCACTGTCGCTGCGGTGGCACGCGCTGCACGGAAGCAACGACGAGCAACAAACGAACAAAAAAAAAGGCAGTTGTCGGCGATTGCCTTATTATGGCTCCCTTTCGCCTCGTTGCGCCCCTCAAACCCCCCCCCATCTTCCCCCAGTATGTGGATGGCGCTCGAGTGCTCGGGCGATTTCCCTTGCGGCTGGAAGCGGTGGACGCAGCAGCAGCGACGCAGCATTGAAAACGAACAAATCCTATTACAAAACCGATGACGTGTTCGGATTTTTTTGATCTTGGATGCCTAGGATTTGCTTGGCTCTGCTCCTCCCACTTAGTGATTTCGCCGTATGATTCTTGAAGTTTTTTACCGATTTTTGGCATACTCACCTTTTTTTTTTTTTTTTTTTTTTGATCTTTTCATCACAGGCCTCAGCGCAAGACGTCGACTGTATCTGCCCCGCAATCTACAGCCCGGTCTGCGTTGGCGATTTGAAGTTTGCGAGCGAGTGCATGGCCCGATGTGCCGGCCACACTGACGCGTCCCTGTTCACCGAGTGCCCTGCTGAGGTGGATTGCAGCAACGTCCGCTGCGCCATTCGCCTGCCCGAACTGCCCACCGACATCGACTGCCCGACTGAAACTCACTCCTGGCAACCCGCTGCCTCGGAGGGCAAGTGCTGCAACGACCACTGGGAATGCCAGCCCAAGCCCGCCGACGAGGAGCCCAAGCTTCAAGGCTGCCTGATGCCCGGCGCCTCGTGCGGCCCGACCCAGCATTGCGTTGAGCTCGATTCTGCCTGCGACGGCGAAAGCTGCCCCCGCATTGGCGAGTGCCGTGAGCGCGAGCTTGACTGCACTGCCGTCTTGTGCGCCATGCGTCTGCCTGATATGCCCACCGACCTTGTGTGCCCCGAGACCCATTCCCTGCAGCCCGCTGCCTCGGAGGGCAAGTGCTGCAACGACCACTGGGAGTGCCAGCCCAAGCCTGTTGATGAGGAGCCCGAGCTGCAAGGCTGCTTGATGCCCGGCGCTTCCTGCGGCCCGACCCAGCACTGCGTTGAGCTCGATTCTGCCTGCGACGGCGAAAGCTGCCCCCGCATTGGCGAGTGCCGTGAGCGCGAGCTTGATTGCACCGCTGTTCTCTGCGCCATGCGCCTGCCCGAGATGCCCACCGACATCGACTGCCCTGAGACTCATTCCCTGCAGCCCGCTGCCTCGGAAGGCAAGTGCTGCAACGACCACTGGGAGTGCCAGCCCAAGCCTGTTGATGAGGAGCCCAAACTACAAGGCTGCTTGATGCCCGGCGCCTCGTGCGGTCCTAAACAGCATTGCGTTGAACTCGACTCTGCCTGCGACGGCGAAAGCTGCCCCCGCATTGGCCAGTGCGTTGACCGCGAGATTGCCTGCGCCACTGTTCTCTGCGCCATGCGTCTGCCCGACCTGCCCGCCGACCTTGTGTGCCCCGAGACCCATTCGCTGCAGCCCGCTCCCTCTGCAGGCCAGTGCTGCAACGACCATTGGGAATGCCTGCCCAAGAACGACGACGACGAAGACGACGACGACGAAGTGCACAAGCCGCGCGGTTGCTTGATGCCTGGCGCCTCGTGCGGCCCGACCCAGCACTGCGTCGAGCTGCTTGGCTCGTGCGCGAACGGCAAGTGCTCTCGCGTTGGCGTGTGCCGTGACCGCCCCACTTCCGGCAACTGCGCTGCCTCCGCCGGCGCTTCCCAGTGCCCCGCCGGCTCGTGGTGCGCCTTCTCCAACCCTACCGAAGGTTTCTGCGCTCAGCCGACCATGATGCCCTACCCGCACCCCATGTGCCAGACGGTCTCGTGCCGCGTTCTTCGTCTGTCGTGGAACCACGGCGATGTCTCGGACGCCATCGCCTCCACTGCCTGCCAAGCCTTGAGCCACCGTGCCGCCCGCCACCACAAGTCTCGCCACGTCACTTTCGGCTGCCGCTTTGAGGTGACTGCCGCCGGTGACGAGCCTGCTGACGCCTTTTTGCTCGTCGCCCTCGACGGCTCCCGCCACGACACTGAGCACACTGCCGAGCACCTCATCAAGGCCATTCGCAAGAACAAGTTCCGCAACGACGCCATCTTCCAGAGCGTCTCGAGCGCCGAGGTCATTGCCACCCCTGAGGGCGACGATGATCACGATGACGATGACGACCACGACGACGACGACTTTGGCTATCTCAGCCAGCACACTCGCCGCATCCTCCGCTATGTTGGTATTGGCCTTGGCGCCGCCATCGCCCTCGGCACGCTGATTTGCGTCATTGTTTCGTTCTGCCGCCGCAGGAAGTGCTGCCAGGCCACCGCCTCTGGTGCCCAGCCCCGCTGCTTCTTTGCTCGCTTTGCCCGCCACGCCGGCTTCCATCGCCTGCAGGACGAGCACTCTTCCGACGGCAAGGTGGCTGTCAAGTACCTGTCCGGCACTGCCTCGAGTGGCTCGTTCGCTGCCGTTCCCTTCGCTGACAAGAAGTCTGCCGAGGCCTCTGGTACTTACAAGCCGCTCGAGTCTGTTGTCTTTACCATGCCGGCGACCAAGCAGTCGTCTGACATTTGAAGACAGCCACGACGGGAATCACAAGCGAAAAAAAAAAAACACAAAAAAAAAAAACCAAAAGCGTGTTTGTTTCTTTTGCGGTAGCTTTGGCCCAGCCAGAACGTCTTTTGTCAATTACTTTTTTTTCTTCCTTTCTTTCCTGCTTGTTTGAGCTTTTCCATCCTTCGAGGTGAAGAAAGACTCGGTCGTTGGTTGTTTTCTTGGTTGTTATTTTGTCGTTGGCCAAAACTCGTTGATTTTTGCTGCTTGCTGTCCTTCTTGGAGTAAAAGTCGGTGTTTGCTGCTTGAATTTATCATTTCGTTTTAATTTTAGCGCTCCGCATAAACTGAGATCGAGGCTCTCAGAAGCCGTTTCACTCCACTTTTTTTTTTTTCTTTTTTTTTTTTTTGTCAAGGTTGTTGTATGCTGCACGACACGTTCGAGTCGTTGGTGGCTGGCGCGCTGGTCGTCGCTGGCCTCGCAGTCCTGCACTCGCTGGTCATGCTCTACCTGCGCTCTCGTCGAGTCGATATTGCTGGCAAGGTTGTCTTTGTCACTGGCTGCGAGTGAGTCCAAATTTTGCTGCAATTTCAGCCAAATTGTGGTTGAAAGTTCTGTCATTCTGCCAACCAGTCGTGATCACTGTTCACTTACCAATGCAACCCACTCGACTTTCATTTCACGCTGCCTTGCTTGCTTGTTTGTCTCTGCTTGTTCTGCGCCCTACTCTGCCGAGCGCAGCCATGGCTTTGGCAACCTGGTTGCTCGGCGGCTGGACGAACTCGAAGTCACTGTTCTCGCGGGTTGCCTCACCGAGCAAGGCGCTTCGGCGCTCCGCGAGCAGTCGTCGTCGCGGCTGAAGACGTACATTCTGGATGTGACGGATGAGGCCAGCGTGGCAAAGGTTGCGCAACAGCTCAAGTCGCAAAACGTCAAACTCTGGGGTCTGATCAACAATGCTGGGTGAGCATGGCGAGTTTTCTCAGATTTATTACGAAAAGCGATCGGCTTCTTCTCATTTTTTCTGTTTGTTTTGTTCTTCTGTGCCTCTGCTATCTATTCGACACACACACATATCGCCTTGTGGGCCTCGACGCTCAGAATTATGGATGGCGGGCCGATCGAAACCACTTCGCTGGCAGCGTACAAGCGCGTTTCGGACGTGAATGTGTTTGGCATGATTTCCGTCACAAAGGCCCTGCTCCCGTTCATTCGCGCATCAAAGGGACGCATTGTCAACGTGTGCAGTGTGGCGGGACGAGTTTCAGCAATGCAGTTGAGCGCGTATTGCGTGTCCAAGTACGCTGCAGAGGCGTTTTCGGACGTGCTTCGTCAGGAAATGGCCGTGTTTGGCGTCAAGGTATCCATCATCGAGCCCGGATTCTTCCGCACGCCGCTCATCGACCAAGCTCGTGTGAATGCAGCGCTGGAACGAAACTGGGAGAGCGCCAACGACGAGGTTAAGGAAGCCTACGGCTCGGAATTTGTGCTTGCCATGCGCGGCGTGTCCCAGCGCATTTTCGGCGCGTTTGCCTCCAACAATCCGAGCAAAGTCGCGGATGGCATGGTTCACGCCATCTCTGCCGAGTATCCGCGATCGCGCTACATTATTGGCTGGGATGCCAACCTGCTGTGGATTCCCTCGACCTTCCTCCCGAGTGTTGTAGTTGACACTTTCTTTAACATCATTGTCAAGCTCTCTCCGCTGCCCCTTCCCCGCGCCGTGCTTTTGGAAAAGAATGCGGCTCGCAAGGCGAAGCGCATCTGAGCAACTGACGTTGTCCTTTTGTTGTTGTCTTTCAACAATCGGAGCTGCCTTGCTCGTCTGCTGGGCTGGGCGTTAATCGGGAGAGACTGTACCAGATTCATCATACCAACAATCAACATGTTCGAAAAAGAAAAATAAGAAATAACAACACATGAACACCGCAACATGAGCATTAACCAATTTTGAATCACTGCGAAGCGACTTTGACATCGCTCACACACAGACATTCCCCCCAACCTCTCCATCCACATCCAGAGCCAGTGCGTTACAGCAACAACAACAAGAACAGCTGCTGATGCTGCTCCCGCGCAAATAATACTGCTCTCTCAGCTGTTCAGAGCGCTGAGATCTGCATCCATAAAGTCGAGAATCCCTGCAATCACACACGCAACAACAATGACCAGGACGAGCATGCCCAGCATGTGTGCCCACGAGTGGTGACGCCACGAACCCGCGAGATGCTGGTCTGAGGACTCTTTCAGATGGTGCAGCGTCCTTGAGAGCTGCTCCAGGCGTTGTGAGCTTGCAACGACGCTCGGCAGCTCGTACGCGCGCTCGTCGTCCTCCTCGTCCTCGTCCTCGTCCTCGTCATCATCGCGGTCCTCCAAGTCCTCGTCATCGTCGTCGCTTGAGGTGACTGCAGCAGCGCCCTTGCGCCGGTGAGCGAGTCGTGCTGGTGCCGAGTCCTGCTTGGCGGCGGCGACTGTCTTGGCTGGCTTGGTCGTCGCCGCCACCCGTGTTCCTGATCCTGCGCCTACTCGTCCTGACGCTCCTGACGCTCCTGACGAAGAGGATGAGGGCGACGACGATGCTCCTGCTCCTGCTCCTGCCGCTGATCGCGCGTGGCTTGAAGCGCGGCTCGCATTGGTCGAGTTCGCCCCGTCGTTCGATCGCCTTGACGCTGCACCCACACAAAGTCATCACATCCATCCATCAATCCATACACCCGGTGAGTCATCATCGCATCCCCAACATTGAGCCAACAACGAACGAAACGAACCAACGAACGAAACGAAACACTTACATTTGGCCATTGTGAATTCTGAAGGACTGAAGGCGACTCCTGACTGAGATAGCGAGGGTGATTGCCAAGCAATGTTGTTGATGTTGTGTGAGACTACATCTCAATAATCATGGTAGAGCTGAATCCGGCGGAGAGTGTCTTCACTCATGGTTCTTTGGCAGCGATTGCGAACGCACGCCAGTCACCTCGTCCCACTCTGCTCACGGCTCGCCACCACACGGAGCAGCAGCAGCATTCACAGAATCATCAACGGCAATACAGGTCTCCATTATTACTACAACAGCAGGAGCCGCAACGGCATGTCCGCAGACCAGCTCGTCGGCATCTTCCAGCAAATGCACTCAGTAAGGGGTCCAGCTATCATGATGACGACGACCCACCCACTCTCATATAAACTCACATATCATGTGCGTGCGTGCTTGTTGTAGGCTGCTGGCACTCAGTCAGTCGTGCCGCCGTCCGAAGACGTCCAGCGCAGTGCTCCGCTGCCAGAGCCGGGAACTTGGCCGCGACTTGTAAGACAGACAATGGAAAAACGTCGTAAAAGGTTGTCAACTCACTCCTGAGCTAACCGGGGGGGGGGTTGTCATGGTTGCAGTTCCACCAGCTCAACTTTGACAACACGTTCGCGCGGCAGCTGCCAGGCGATGGGATTGAAGCAAACTACACTCGTCAGGTAGACAGACCTTTTTACAGATTTTGCGCACACATCTCAAGATGCATGTGACAATGTTTGTGTATGGAGAGTTGGTGTTGCATCAGCTGAACAATGGCCTGTGTATTTGTGTGCGACAGGTCCGCGGGGTGTGTTACTCGAACGCGGTGCCAACGCCGAGCACGAATCCGAGGTTGGTTCATGCAAACGCCGGTGCCGCCGCGCTCCTCGACTTGAATCCAAGCGAGCTGGCAACGCCTGAGTTTGTGGACGTTGTTTCTGGCTGTGCTCTCCATTCCACCGCCAAGCCGATTGCGCTGACCTATGCTGGTAACAATGCAAACTGTGTCAACGTGCCCGTGATGCCCCAGCAGCTGACTGCTATTCCGCTACGACCAGGTCATCAATTCGGCTCCTTTGCTGGACAGCTCGGTGACGGTCGTGCCATCAGGTGAGTGGCAATTTTGCCATTGTTGATTTTCGAGAACAACAATCACACGCACTCACTCGCGCGACACTCTTCTCCTGTGACACCCAGCTTGGGCGAGGTCGTCAATCACCACGGTGAGCGGTGGGAGATGCAGCTGAAAGGTGCTGGCATGACTCCCTATTCCCGATTTGCCGATGGTCGAGCTGTAAGCGTTGGCTTCAACCGCAGCATCAGATGTTGTTTCCGCCTGCTCATGACTTTTTCATGCCCTTGTTGTTGGCTCAAGGTCTTGCGATCATCAATCCGAGAGTACATGTGTTCAGAGGCAATGAATGCCCTGGGAGTGCCGACTTCACGGGCCTTGTCGCTCGTTGTGACGGACGAAAAAGTTGTCCGCGAAACCGTCGAACCTGGTGAGCGTTACTGCTTGTTGCTGTCTGCTCCTCTTATTTCAAACTTCACTCGAGCATCCTGCTCTCATCTTGCTTGCCCTTGTTTGTTGCCTCAGGAGCCATTGTTTGCCGCCTGGCGCAATCTTGGATCCGTTTCGGCTCGTTTGAACACCAGTTCTACTTTAAACAACCCAAGGTCCTCAAACGCTTGGTGGACTACACAATCACGCACCACTTTCCGAGCTATTTGGAGACTGCCATGCCCGGCGCGTCCGACGAAGACCGCTATCTCGCGTTTTATCGCGAGGTTGCACGCCGAACAGCACACACCATTGCTCTTTGGCAAGCTGTCGGCTTTGTCGGCGGCGTTCTCAACACGGACAACTTTAGCATTCTTGGTCTGTCCATTGGTACGGTTGTGGGCCGAGTGCGACCAGTTGCGCCAACAAACAAACATTCTGTGCCAAAAACAATGCCTTTTTGGGCTACCCCACCTCTTGCTCACTGTGCTTGGTTGGCTGATTCTTTCTTGACAGACTACGGACCGTTTGCGTTCATGGAGGCCTTTGACGACGATGCCGTGTTCAACCACACCGACTCGGAGGGAATGTACGCGTACGGCCGCCAGCCTGATGTGGGCCACTGGAATCTGAGCCGCCTGGCCATCGCCCTCAGTCCTGTCCTGGAGGTTGAGCGCGCAAGAGAGGTGCTGCTGGAGTATCCCAGCATGTTCCACAAGGCGTACGTGGCCAAGATGAGGAGCAAACTTGGTCTGCTTGCTGCGTTGCCTGACAAGGACGAGTCGGACGCGGCGCTGGTCAAGGAGCTTTTGGATGCAATGCAGTCACAGCCAGGCACGACCTCGGGTGCTGACTGGACCATCTTCTTCCGCACGCTCAGTGAAGCCGCCCCCTCGCTGTCCGCGACAGACGAGGCGAGTCAGCAGCAGATCGAGGCCGATTCCAATCTCAAGCTGGCCACCACCCGCGCGCGCAAAGCTTTGGAGTGCATGTTCCAAGATGAGAAGGTCAGCAGCAAGTGGTCGGCATGGCGACAAAAGTATACGGCTCGGCTCGCGGAAGATTCGACCGCGGTGCGCGAGCACTCAAAGCTTGGAGGCGGCCTGCTGCTCCCTGGTCTGTCATCGAGCTTGGACGCTTCCTCGACCGCCTTGGCCATTGGCCTTGCCCGGCGCGACGTGATGAAGCAGCACAACCCAAAGTACATTTTGCGCACCTGGATGGCCCAGAAGGCCATTGACGCAGCCACCGCCAACGATTTTACCGTCGTCGACCAACTCTTCAAGCTCCTGCAGCGCCCGTACGACGATCAGCCTGAATTTGATGATGTCTACGCTCGCCAGGACACTGCGACGGGACCCGTTTGTCTGAGCTGCTCGTCGTGAGCCTCGCTTTTTCGACGCCAACTGCGACCACCACGAGTACAGCTGCATCTTGTCAAGGACCACCGGGGGACTGGTGACTGGCCTCGCAAAAGAGGCAAACATCGAGGCTCAACCTTTTGTTTTTGTTTCCAGCCAGCCAACCACTTGCCTTTGCTCGTTTTGTGTGTCTTTTTTTTTTTCTCTGTCCGCTGTTCTTTGGCCATCATCACCGTGATTGATTGCTCATCATCTTGACTTGGTTGATCGATTGACTGATGCTCGGATTTCGTTTCCTGAACCACTTGCACTCCAACTTTTGATCATTGTAAAAACGCAACCTTTTTTTTTTTTTTTTTTTTTTTTTTTTGTGAATTCTGATTTTGCGTGGAATCAACCCATAATCATCAACAAGCACGCGCGTTTTTGGTCCCTCGACGGCGCTGATGAGAATGTCGGCAGTCTCAACAATGACTGAGTGATGAGATTTGTGACAGAGAGAGAGATCGAGTGCGAGAACCTGTGTGGAGGGGCGGCGGATTGAGTTGAGTGGAGAGAAGCCGCTGTTGCGCTGCTCTGTCTGTGCTCGCCAACGGATGAGAAGCGCCATGCGATTGCATGACAGCACGTTTGTTGTCCCCGTCCCGTTTTCCCCTCTTGCGCTGGTCTAAGCCCCAGAACGGTCTCCCACAGTCGCAGTTCCCAACAGACTCGGCTGCAGGCAGGCAGGCAGGCAGAGATCTCTCTTTTTTCTTTTTTTTTTTTTCTTTTTTTTTTTTTTTTTTTTTGATTGCTTTCTTTCCAACAAACGACGCCACGATCGCAGCGAGTTTTCTTTGTCTCATCCAGTCCCTGGTGTTGCACTCTATGCCGCTGCCCAAGCCCAACAACAATCCACTGCAGATGATTTCAAAGCCGGCTGTTTTCGCTCACTTTTTTTTTTTTTTTTTTTTTTTTTTTTTTGGTTTTCGCTGTAGAAATGTTCCATCAGCCGCAGCAGCAGCAGCAGCAGCAGCCGTGGCAGCCTGGCACTGGTCCAGCAGCGCCGATGACGACGTTTGGACAGGATCCAACTCAAGGTGCTGGTAGTGGTGGATATGCTGCTCAACCGCTGTATGCTCAGCAGCAGCCGCGACCAGCAGCAGCTCAAGCGTTCGATGCGAATCATGGTGGTGCCGCCGCGTATGGCCAGCCGATGCATGCCCCACCTCAGCCACAGCAACACTTTGCTCAGCAACCAATGCAACCGCTGATGATGCCGCAGCAGCAGCAGCCGCAAGCCGTGCACGCGCAGCCGCCGCCGTCGCAGCCAACTCCACTGCCCTCGGGTGGCTCGACGCCCGCCCCGATCGGTGGATTGCCGCTGGGTGCCCCGGGATTCCCTGAACAGCAGCAACTGGGACTGCGCACGCAGTCTCACGTGCTGCCGCAGCAGCCGCCGTCGTCGGGTGCCGCGTGGACACCTGCCAACGCAACAGCGCCGCCGACAATCGCCACGTCCATGAACCCTCCTCCCCCGGCAATGTCAGCAGCTGGGCCTGCCGCTCCCGCGCCGTTCTCTGGGTTTCCCCAGCAGCAACAGCAACATCAGCCGCCGCAAAGCTTTCAACAGCAACCCTTCCAGCAACCGCAGCAGGCGCCGACTGCATTCCCTGCGCAGCCGCCGCTCCAGCCCGCTCAGCCACCACCCATGCAGAGCGCCACTGCAGTGTCTGGTCAAGCTGCTCCTGGTCCTCCGATCCGAAGCTCCTCCATTCCTGGTCAGTCGACGTTCGCCTCCCAGCCCCCGCCGCCTCAGTCGCAACCCGCCGTGTCAAACAGCCAGTTTGCCCCTTTCAATCCCAATGCTCCGCCGCAACCAGTTGCCAGCCAGAGCCCACAGCCGAACGCCCCCTTCCAAACTCCCGGTGGTCTGGGTGGGATGCCCTTCCAGCAGCAACCACAACAACAGTTCCAACCATCACAGCCATCACAAGTGCTTCCCGGCACAGCACTTGCATCCCAACGTTCGTCGTTGACTGGAAGTAGTTCAACCGACCTCCTTCAGTCGCAACGCTCCGCGTCCGCTTCCTCCTTCCCCCCAGCCACTCTGCAACAGCCTGGTGCGCCTCTCTCGAACGGCAGCGCTCCATCGGTGCCAACAGCCTCTGGCAACGTTGCGGGCTGGGGCATGCCGCAATCGAATGGCAACAGCACTCCTGGTGCCATGGGCGATGGCCCGGCACCGGACGTTTCCCAAAACGCAGGACCTGTGAGCGCTGCCGCACCCGCAAAACGGCGCCACTACCCGACAGCGGGCGCTGGGCAAGCTTTTGGCGCAACTAACACTTCCCCTCCGATTGGCAACGCACCGGGCGCGTTCAATCCAGCCGGTCCTGCATTCCCTGCACAACTTCCTCAAGGCGGATTTGCGCCAGGCGCTATGGGTGGCCCCGCTTTCTTGCCATCCGGGCCTGACGCTTTGTCGACAGGCATGGGCAACATGAGTCTGCAGCAGCAGCCGTTGCAGCAACCTTCGCAGCAGCTCCCATTCGCAAGCTTGCCAACTGCCCAGTTTGGCCAACCCGCGCCTGCCCAGTTTGGCCAACCTTCAGCCGTCCCGAGCGCTCAAGGCGCAGCAGGCTTCATCCAAGCGCAACCACAAGCCTACAATCCTGGCTTTGTCGGCAATCAAGCTCCCATGCTCTCCAACTCGCACAACCTGCTCCTTTCCAAGAACACGATTCCCGACCGCAGACCCCGCCCGCCGCACCCGATGGTGCCGCAGGATCGTGTGGGCATGAACTGCTCGCCCGACGTGATGCGCTTGACAATGAACGCCATCCCCCGCACAGCCAACCTGCTCACCAAATCGCGGCTACCGCTCGGCTTGCACATTCATCCGTTCGCAGATCCCCGCTCCACATCTGACGGCATTGCTGGCGTGCCGTCCATCCCAGTGGTTACGTCAACGCTCATCATCCGTTGCCGCACATGCCGCGCCTACATCAACCCGTTCGTTCAGTTCATTGACCAGGGTCGCAAATTCAAGTGCAATGTCTGCTTCCGAATCAACGACATGCCGTCCGAGTTTGATTACCAACAAAACCCCGATGGATCCAGCACTTACCTGGACCGAGCAACGCGGCCGGAGCTGACAGCCGGCTCGATCGAGTACATTGCTCCATCGGAGTACATGGTGCGTGCGCCCCAGCCTGCCGTCTACCTTTTCCTGATTGACGTGAGCTTTGCGGCCGTCCAAAACGGCATGGTTGCGTCGGCCTCGCGTACGCTTCTGCAACACCTCGATCAGCTCCACGGCGACGCTCGTCTGCGTGTCGGCATCATCACGTACGACTCGACTGTGCACTTCTACAACCTGCAATCGTCGCGCTCTCAGCCACAGATGCTTGTCGTCTCGGACTTGGAAGAAATGTTCCTGCCCTCGCCCGACGACCTCCTCGTCACGCTTGCCGAGAGCCGTGAGCTCGTTGTGAGCCTGCTCACCAAGCTCCCGACCATGTTCCAAAACACCCAGAACGCTGTGTCCGCGCTTCCTGCTGCGCTGACTGCAGCTTATCAACTTTTGGTGCGTGTGAGAATGAGGCTGAGTTTGTTGTGGGCAACGCTGTTCCTCACTGCAGTTCTTTGTTCGTTCTGCTCTTTGGTTGCTTTTTTTTTCAATCATTCTACAACAGAGTCCCACCGGCGGTCGTGTCACCGTGCTCCAATCCACTCTGCCATCGACAGGTCCCAACGCCTTGCAAGTTCGCGATGATGCTGCATCGCGCGGCACTCCCAAGGTACTGCACCTTTTTTCCTCTTCTTTTTTATTTCGATGTGTCTACTTCTTCTTGCCAGAATTCGCTTCTTATGATTGTGATTATGTGTCTCATTCGCTCTCGAATCACTCTCTTGATTAGGAAATTGCCAACTTGCAACCAGCCGACGAGTTTTACAAAAAGTATGCCGTTGACTGCTCCCGCCAGCAAATTGGCATTGACACCTTCCTTTTCTCGAGCTCGTATATTGATGTCGCAACGATCGGTAAGCCCGCTGATTGAACTGGCAAGGATGGGGTTGTATATTTACCTTGCCTGCTCACGTTGCCGTGTTGTTTCGACTTTAGGCTCTTTGTCGCGACATTCGAGTGGCAGCTGCTACTTTTATCCAGGATTCCATGCCGCGCGCAATCCAGACATGAACACAAAGTTCATTTCTGAGTTTGCTCGGAATCTGACGCGTCCACTTGGTCTAGAGGCTGTCATTCGTGTGCGCTGCACGCAAGGTATGAACAATGTGCTGGCCAGTTGCTTTGCCACGACTGTGGGGTTTTATTGGTATTGGACTGCCTTCATTGGACCTGCATTGATTTTTTTTTTGTTTTTGTTTTTTCGCTCCTCCAACAAAACAACACAGGTTTGACCCCGCATTCTTTCCACGGCAACTTTTTCCTCCGCCAAACCGATCTGCTGGCTCTCCCCACCGTCAATCCCGACCATGGCTTTGGCATGCAAATTTCGCTGGAAGAAAGCTTCACCAACATTTCGCAAGTCGTGTTCCAAACCGCGCTCCTGTACACAACGACGTCAGGTATATCCTCGCTTGCTTCCTCTGTCAGTGTGTCTTTTTGTCTCCATCTCATCCCCTTTTGCTGCTGCTCAACGCAGGAGAACGCCGCATCCGTGTCCATACCCTTGTTGTACCTGTCGTTGGCAGCATTGGCGAGCTGTACGACGCTGCCGATTGCGAGGCACTCGCTGGGCTTGCCGCAAAGATGGGTACGCAGAAGAAGTCTTTGTTCGTCTGGAGTCGTCGAAGGTTGGACTTGTACTGACTTTCTGTCGTTGGGTGAATGCTTCTCTCCGGTGTATGTGTGCTCTGCTCAACCAGCCGTCAATCGCATGTTGACAACCAAGCTTTCGGATGCTCGCGACGGCATTATGAACATGTGCCAGGATATTTTGTCGACCTACAAGTCTGAAGTGCTTTCCAGCAACGCGGCTGGCGGCTCGTTAATGATTTCCCCGACTCTCTCGCTGCTGCCTCTCTACCTGCTAGCTGCGTTGAAGAATGTGCGTTTTTTTTTTTTTTTTTTTTTTTTTTTTTTTTTTTTTTTTTTTGGATGGCCTGGATGGATGGAGGAGTGAAGGGAGGTTGTATTCTGACTTAGCTTTTCTTCTCTTTTTTTTTTCTTTGTTTCTTTGTGAACCCAAATCATCTTCCTCCGTGCTCTTCTTCTTTTTGCTCCACAGGCCGCCCTTCGACTTGGCAAAAACACGAGCAACGACGAACGCGCTTACGCGACAATGCTGATCCGGACGCTGCCCATGCATGATTTGCTGAGATTCCTGTACCCCAGCATGTACGGCCTCCACGACTTGCCCACCCAGTGTGGCGTGCCCCAAGGCCAGGACATTATCCTGCCCCCGTTGCTGCCGCTCAACTCTGAGCGATTCGAACGACACGGTGTTTACATCATTGAAACATCGCAACTCATCCTCATCTGGGTTGGTCGCAACGTGGCGCCCGAGCTCTGCTCGGCGTTGTTTGACGTTGCCAACTTTTCTGCCATTCCCGCTGGCATGGTGAGTGCTGGATCTGACTGGTCAACGTCATCGTCTGCGTGCCTCTCGTTGAAACTTTGTTGCTGCGTCGTTGTTTAACTTTGCGTTTCTCACGAATGGTTCTTTTTGGTGTAAATTCACAGATGTCACTTCCTCAGTTGGATAACGACTACTCCCGACGAGTGCGCAACATTGTCAAGAAGATTCGCCACTCCTCTGTGCTCCATCCGCTTCTCCTTGTCGTGCGCGAGGATGACATGCGGCTGCGACCTCTCGTCATGTCGTACCTTGTTGAAGACAAGGGCGAAGCCTCTCCTTCGTACTTTGAGTTTTTGACCCAAGTGGCCAAAACCAACTCTTAGAGAAAGAAAAAGATTGCTTGAAAGGAAGGGTTGTGTTTGGGGGTTTTTTGCATTCATTCACTTGTTGTGCTGTGTTGTTTTTTCTTCGTTGTTGTTTTAAATTTAAAGTTTCTATTTTCTATCGAGCGAGCAGTTTGGAACAATCCATGTAAATCATGCAAAATGCATTCGGGCAAATATTCGGATTGACACTCGAAACACTGGCTAAACACACCAAACCTTCAAGGTGACAACCACATCAGACAACAAAAAACGCAACAAACCTCAACAGTAACACTGATAAAAAAGTGCAGCGTCAACCCTCCACCTAAAAAGTAAAAGGAAAAAACTACAAACAGAAGCGTACAAACACCGAAACATTTAACCACCACCAATCACCAGCGACCTGCGCCAGTTGGGCGGACTCGACTCTGAGTTCTGAGACAGCAATCCGGAAATCGGCTATTGAGTAGGTTCGCGTTCGTTGATTCAAAATGAGCAAGGAAAAGCTAGAATTCACAAAAATTCACTTGGCAACCTGCTGCGCCTTCCCCAGCCGGATATACTTGCGTTTGAGCCCTGAAATTAAAATTGGTGAATGCTTGACTCAAGTACTATCGAAAAATGTCAACAAAAAGTGGATAACGGCCAAGTACGCACAGTGGAAAATTTTTTCCGAATTTCGGAACGACCGTTTGCAGGGCATCCTGTGACTACATTGTGTAGACATCATGAGAAAACGTCAAACACTTCAAGTAAATACGCTCAAGTGAGGGTAGATGATGATCTGAAATTGAGAAGTTATCAGAATCTCGACCTGTGGTGTGCCATCCACCACCGACCAAACTCAAAATCCAACGCGGGGCCTTTTCCCCGATCATCCAGGCTCTCTCTGCCCCGAATTCGTTATCTAAATCGAAAGAATAATATTTCACACTCTACCCGCCCATATCTGTGCCCGAATGAGCTGTAGTCACTCTTTTCCAAGTATCGGCAGCAACCCAATTGTAGAATGGCAACTCAGGTTTGTTGTTTTCCGAGTGTTGCCAACGCGCTCGCTGCTCTTTCGCCCAGCTGATTCCATTTGTGCTCAGATCTGCGCTTCTGATTGCACAGCGAGGGTAGTGAGGATGAGGATGAGGTGGTGATAGGCAGATATAGGCTGGGCGATCGTTCTCCAGCTGTTCCCTAGTCTCACCAACTGCGCTTCGACTCATTGAATGCTGCTTTCTAACTTGTCGTATTTCTGATGTGTGTGTTTGTATGTGTGCCCAGACCTCGGACGCGCGCAAGGAAGAGTTCCGCAAGTACCTCGAGACCAACGGCGTCATCGACACTCTGACCCAGGTCCTCGTCGGGTTGTACGAAGAGCCCAACAAGCCAGACAACGCCATGGCATTCCTGAAGCAGTCCTTGAGCAATGTGCGCTCGGACGGCGGCGCTGCTGCAGAGCCAGTCGATGTCGACGTTCTCCTCAAGGTCAGTAGTGATGGTTTGCTTGTCAGATCATCATCGAGATACTCTGACTTGGAATGATGCACATAGAGCATCCAGTTGCTATTGGTTGCATTGGAGATATTCATTTGCCGGGATGGGGAAGGTTTATTGAAAGCTTGTTTTCATGCTGTTGTTTTTGCTCACTTTCCTCAAATCCGTTGTTGCACTGGTGTGCTTGTGACTTGCCATCCCAGGAAAATCAAGCGCTCAAAGCGCGCGTTGCCGAGCTCGAAAAGGAGCTTGCCAGCAAGTCGTCAGAATGAAGTGCTGCTTGTGGTTTTCCTTTTGTTATTTGATACAATGCGTATTTCTTGTTGGAGTTTTGTTTTTGTGGCACCAACGACCACGTTCACCGACCAGAAATGCGCCCACTCGGGAGCATGAAGCAAACATTACTTGAATCGGGTGGTGCTGCGCTGATCAGCCAAAGTTGCCGGATTAGTCTAATTCCAATTCCACTGTTGGTCCCCCAACTCAGGGCAGTTATTCCCCTCGGCTTGCACACTTACATCTAAAGCACCGCGCAAATTCAAACTCAAACTCAAACTCTGATATTTCCCGTCAGTCCAGTCCATCTTTTGTTTCGTTTGAGGCCGACGTCTTCAATGCCGACAGTTCGCGCTGCCGTGCTGCTCACACTCGCCCTGACGGCAGTCTATGGAGAGTTGCTAATATACCGGATGAATGTCCAATCCTGGCAATCCTCTTCACACTTAATTCGATCTCCAACATTCGAGTAAAGTGCTTGTTTCAGAATTTGAGAGCGACGCGTTTCAGATTGTTGAGATTGACATTTTGTTGTGAATCATCTTGGAATCATCATAGCGGTCCACTCGACGATCAGAGCAAACTTCATCTATTGATCTTGTCAAATCCAAGCATTGACGGTAACGCGAGCTTTTGCTTGTGCTGTGAGACGCGTGTGGATTGATTGAATCAGCGCGCTCAATATCGAAACAACCGGGATTGGCTTGGGCGTCTGCTAGTCCCGCAGCTCGAGCAGGACTCTGTCTTCTCGCTCGGCGGGCAATCTCCAAGTGCATGGGCGGCGTGGGCTGCCGAGCGACATGCGCGGAGAGCGACCGCGCTCGCCATCGACCACTTTCGTCCAGACGCGATTGTCATTCTGGGCAACATCATGCAGTCTGGCAGCGCATATTCAGATGCGCAGTTCAAAGTAAGACAAGAACGTGTGGATTGTAGCCTTATCGTTGCGCAACGTCATTGATGGGGTTTGAGCTGATTTGGCGGTGAAATTCTCACTCATTGTTTGGGATTTGTTTGTTTGTTTTGTTGTTGCTCAGAGCGGGACGGAAACGTTGCAGAGCATTGTTGAAAGTAACCTGCCTACCATCACGGTGCCTGGAGAGAGCGACATTATTGATCCAAGCTCGATCGCGAATACCTTGTACGCGTTGCAACGATGGCAAAAGTCTTTCAACGCATCGCTGAGCCAGCACTACTACCTGCATCAGTATACGCTGACAACAATCGACTCGGTTAGCTTGCATGGGCACCCGCACTTGGAGCAAAGTGCCGGACCGGCGGACGCCTTTCTCATGTCTTTGCGAAATCGACTCGCCAAAGCACCCGACTTTCACCGAGCAGGCACTGGGAACCGCGTTGGAATGGCCGAGGCGGGTCCAGAGATTCCGCCGTTGGTGCTATTTTCTTACTTTCCCATGCACGAGCTTCATGCCGACACTCGACGCTCCATTGTCAATGATCTGCAACCGCGGTACATTTTCAGCGCCCGCGACCGCTCAACCAAGCCGTCTTCAACAAACATCTTCCCCGCCGGAGTCACCGAGATGCACGTGCCGTCTCTGATGGTCGATTTCTCCAAATGGCTCTTTTCGGATTTGGGGTCGGAGAGCGGGTTTGCCGTTGCCGTGCTTCATAACGTAAGAAAAAAAAAGAAAGGGTCGAGCAATTTCTACCGGTGCCTGCTTGCTCCTTTTACACAAAACCCTCACTGAAGATATTGCCTTTGTCTTGTCGTTGTGTTATTCTGTTGATTGCGGCTGGACAGGACAAAGTCGAGGCAGCAGCACTTCGTATTTCGTCCCCTCATCCTTTTCATGCGATTTACATGTGCTTGACGCTGGTGTTGCTCCTCCTATTCACAAGGGACGCTATAAGATTCCTAGCGGTGCGAACCAGACCAAGCCGACCGTCGATCGAGCGACTTTCGCGACGCGACGCCAACACATTGTCCCGGTCCGTGACACAGCCGGGATTTTGGCTTCGCTGGCTTCCATACAAGCCGAAATCTCGCATTCAATAATGATGGGCGTGCTTGTGATAAAATAAACCTTATGTTCAGAGCGATCCGCAAAAGAGTTTCACGCAGCAAATGGCCGACAATCCCTATAATCCCTACAATCGCAACATCAACTTGGACATGTCCAGCGACACTTTCGTTCGCTCAGTGTTGGGGGCAGAGAACCTGAGGCTGCTACAGAAGAGCTTGAATTGCTCCACCTCGTCGTCGAGCATGTCGTCCTCAAAGTCGCTGCTCTCTCCGGCCAAGTCAGTCAAGTCCAAGAGCGGGATCTCGGCATCTGCAGTTGGGTAGGCGTCGGAAGAGCCATCTATGGAGAGGAGAATCGCGAAAGATAACAGTGAGTCCGACGAAAAACAAGACCAAAAAAACATGAATACACCAGAGATCCCATGCAAGCAAAGAAACCAACAACAAAAACAATAAAAAAGCAACAACAAGCTTTCATCACGTACCGGAAACAATGGTAAACGGATCTGGCAGCGACGGATCTTGAATTTGGGACGGTTGAGATGACGAATCACTCGCAGGCAAATCTTCCTTCGAGTCGTTGGATGCAAGAACAACCTTGAGCGTCGTCGTTCCGATGCGCACAATACGCTGCTTGTTTGCCGCGATCTTGGCTTGGTCTCGCGTGGCAAACACCAACCGGTACTTGTCACGAGGTTGTGAAGGGGGCAGAAGGCGAAACTTGTCTTGATCGAGAGTGTGCCGAATCACCACTTGATCCATGACTGCTTCGCGGAGCGTTGCAGCCGGAATACTCGACGTCGGGCCGATCAACTCAACAGTTCGCAGCCACACATCTTCTTCGGCCGGTTGGAGGCTTGATGCAACCGACGCGTCCATCTGGGCTTGGGCATTTTCTTCCAATTGCTTTTCTTCTGCCTTGCGCTGCTTCTGTCGGAGCCGCTTGAGAGCTTTGGCGCTCATGCCCTCAGCATTCAGGGCTTCGTCTGTTGGATCCGTGTGACCAACCGTATTGTTGGTAGTGTCTACTACCACGGCTGGCACGATGGCTGGCGAGGCGGTGGCGGCAGTAGTGGATGCGCCAGAAGCCTTGGATTTGTTCCCTTTCTTCTTCTTCGAGGTTGAGGCGGTGTTTCCGGTTCCGACGGTTGCTGAAGCAGACCCACCGGTAGCCTCTGCATCATTTTCAATGAACAACAGCAATTCGTCCACTGAACGCAGGGCAGTCTCGTCCGCTGCGTTGCTCCCGCCGTCTGGTTCTGGTTCTGCTGCGGCCGCCTGGTTCTGGTTCTGCTGCGGCCGCCAGGTTTGACCTCTTTTCCAGCTTTTGGCGTAGCCGATCGCGCATTTGTTGCTTGGTCGAAGGAGGGACATTGGAGGATGCATCGTCAAAGTATTCCGTGGATTCGTGCCTCGAATCGGCATCTGAAGATTGGTGCTGGTGTGGATGCTGCTGCTGTTGTTGTTGTTTTTGTTGAGATTGTTGTTGCAGCTGCTGTTGCTGTTGCTGCTGCTGCTGATGATACAGCTGCTCTTGCTGCTGATGATACAGCTGCTCTTGTTGTTGCTGTTGAATTCGAGCCGCCTCGGCTTCGTACGCGTATTCGTGATCGTGCTTGGCGCTTCGAGCGAGGCCTCGACGCGAGTTCCAACCGGTGCGCTCGTCCATCCACCGCGTTTTCAACAAGAAGAGACCGTCCCCATGGGTCGAATTTACCGGCACTGGCTCCATGCTCGGCGGGTGAGGATTGCAGGTCGGGCAGTCGCACACGCCCAAGAGGTGCAAGTCCTCGTACAGAACGAGCGTGTCCTCGTCGTCTGAATCATACTCATCGCGATCGAATTCATCTCCGCGAGGAGGTGGGCCACGGTACGCAACGTGCTGGTGGCGGGTATGGGCAAACGACGCGTGGCCGTTGCGGCAGATGCTGCTGAGCTCCTCGTCCTCTTCTTCGTCGTCGTGACTGTGATACTGTTGCGCGTCCAGTTCGTGCGAGTGTGGTGCCGCCATGCTGTCTGGCATGACCGGAGGCGAAGGGAGTTGCTGCATGGTGGAGGGATCGAAAAATCGCTCGAGCATACTCGGTGGGGCCTGCGTCGCGGGTGCAGCCCCCGATGACGCATTTTCGTCTAGAGAAAAGGGGAGTGGTTCTGGGATTGCAAAGTCAGGACAGTCGGGTGCCGCATCGAGTTCAGGCCATGGCTCGTCATCCGCGAGGTTGTTTGCTCCGAGGTTTTCGCCCGCCACATCGCTCGTGGCTGCCGCAGAAGCGTTCTTTGGCGTTGTTGCTCTGTTGAAGAATGGATGGCGGGACGAAATAAGGGACAAGCAATAGATGAGAGAACACACTCACAGCAACACATGCACATAATTCCACATCCTCTGCTTTTGCTTACGTTGGCATGGGATCGCGTGAAGCATCCGTGAAGCGAGCGGCCCGCATCTCCTGCAAGAGCTCGTGCCGGGGAGGCAGCGAGGCAAAGTGCGTTGGGCAGCGCAGAATGCCCTGTTCGACAAAGACGGTCGGGGAACCATACGCCAAGATGCATGAAATGCACTTGCACAGGTTCCACGGCGTATCAAACATGTTGGCATGGGTGCTACGAAGAATCGATGCGCGCAGCGTTGGATTCGTCTCCTTGGCGGCGCGATTTACCATCGCAGTGGTCATTCGCTGACGGGCGCCGAGCAGCTGCTCTGCTGCAGCGATGGCTTCACGCACCGCAGCCGTCGTGTTTCGAGCAACAGAGGTCGGAGGCACCTTGCCTTCCTCCAACACAAACTTGGGGAAGAGGCGGTGCAGATCGGCTGCATACGGTTGCGATGACTCGTCCGAGAAGAATGACTGCACGGGGCTTTCAAACGAATCGACAAACTGAAAAGCAAAAAACCGGAGACACAAAAGTTGTGAGTGAACCAACTGGGACGTGCGGCCTCTGACCATTTTTGACTGGCTCCATGAAACACAAAAACAAAAACTCACCTCGGACAGCAATTCGCTCGCTTCGTCAAAGGACATTTGGTGCGGTGCGTGAGCGGGCTTCCCTGGTTGATCTGGCGATGCATTCGCGGTCGTTGCTTTGGGTGCCGCACTGTCGGACGAATTCGCCTCTGGTGGACTGGCGTTGGAGCCGCTGCTGTTGGTAAACTCAACCAGTGGAATGGCATGAAGGGGAAGCGAGAACACACACCCTTCCTGAACCAGTTTGTGCACGAGTTTCATCAGCTCGTGCGACAACGCAGTCATGCCAATGACCCGCGGAGCCGCTGCGCTGGGTAGAACGACATCCTGCTGAATCTGCTCGGCAACCATGTACACAAAGGGTCGGAGATCACCGGCCAATGCAGCCTTTTCCGCCGGAGAGAAAATGGGGCTGCGCGCCTCAAAGCTGGGACTAGCCGCGCCAAAGATGTTTTGCATGCTGGGCCAGACCATCTTGAAAAACCAGTGTCGCGAGAGCTGATGCTCGTAGCGTTCCGCCGAGGGTCCAGTACGATTGCTGAGCAGGCTGCTCATGAGTCTCTGCAGCAATTTCAAACCCAGATGCATCAGTATCACCGAGCAAAGCCTCTGTTGACACACCAACTTCAAGTTACCTGGAAGCGCATGTAAGCCATCAGCAGATGACCCTTGTCGCTCGCAAAATCAGTCATAACAGTGCGCTCTAGCACGGCGCGAACCTGCTTGAGATATGGCTGGACGGTGCGATCACCAAAGACAATCTGGACAAACGCCGAGTACAGCAATAGTTGCCAGTCGCACGCATTCCACGCCAGAAATTCGTCGATGTGCATGTGCATTTTGGGATGCATGCACTGCACGACCATCTCGATGCGCGAAATACAAACCGACAAGTCGACAAATGCGTTCAGTAGCACAACGAGAAATTCACAACTTGGGAATTGCATCGTCTTGTCGTACGGCCGATCAATATCTTGACTTTCCGCAATCTGAGAACAAGAAAAAGAATTTAGCATGATGAAAGGAGGAGGTGAGGGGGGGGGGGAACGAGCCAAAGAATGAACGCAAACACGAACGAAGAGTGAGTGCAAAAACGGTGGCCGAGCACGTTGGCGCTGTGCAAACTTCATACCACCATGCCCAACGCGTTGCGCCGATCCACCAAGAAGCGAGTCATCTCACGGAACATGCGTTGAAGCATGGTTTCGACGTCCGCAAAGCTGGCAGTCGCGGATTTATCTCGGAGCTCGGCGCAGTCAATGATGCCAAAGCCGAATGGATCGCCGTCCGGATCGGCAAAGATGACGCGCATGGCATCCGTCCAAGCTTGGTGCAAGCCAAGGCCTCGACGATCTCGCTGTCGCCCTGACGAGGCAGAAGAGGAGGAAGAAGAAGCAGATGGCGACGGCGCAGCAGAGGCTGAGGAAGTTTTGGTGGGTGTCTTGGAGGCAGCTGTCGCCGATGTCTGCGACGTCGGTTCTGCCATCATGGACTTTTTGAGGGCAGGCGTTGGTTCTTCACCAGCAGAGGCATTCGCGTGAGTTGGGACACTTGACGGAGCGTCTGCTGCCGCGTCGTCTCCGGACTTGTCTTCGCTTGCATCTCGTGCTCGCGATGTAGCGGACATGACTGCTTGCACGAGACTACCAGCAGCTGTTATGGCATTTGGCATGGATCCGCAATGTAGTCGGCGGCTGAAGGACAGATCGCTGTGGAAGAAAATGTCAAACAACTTTCGGCATGTGGCCATCTCGTTCTCCTCGTCGAGGTCTGGCGCTGCACCAACCGAATGCGCCAACTTGCCAGATCCCGAATGGTGCAATCGGTCGTGTGGTGAAGGAGCGGATGGCTTTTGGCCGGCTCCTTGCGACAGGGCTGCGCCACCGGAAACGACGGTTGTGGAGGTCGAGGCGGTGGATTGCACGCGCTTCTTGCGCATCGAGGCATCTGCCGGTGGCGGGAGAGGTTCGCTGGCTGGTCCACCAAACCTGGACGGTCGTTGTTTCAATTGCGACGTTGCCAGCAGCGCGGGGTCAGGTGGTGGGCTGGATGATTGTGTGCTTGCTAAACTTTCAGAGGTGGAAGCTTCTGGTTCCGCACCCTCCGACGGATTCCAGGTCAACGCCGTGTGAACCCAGTAGCGAGCGAGCGTCTGAGCACCATCGGCCGACCGACAAGGCAGGCAAAAATAAACGGGAAACTGTATCAAATCCCACGCCAAAACAACGCAAGCAGACGCTTTGCCAGGGAGGAGAGTCGGGGCCAGCAAGCACAGGGGCGACGCTGGAGGATGCGGGGCAACGCAATCCGGACCTGGGCCAAAAGCGCGTGCCCACGCATTCTGAGCAAACTGGTTGCTTTCGACGAGGGACGACTCGAGATTTTGCGTGCTGCACATGGCACACACAATTGGACCGTGCACAGTGTGAGTACGAGGCTGTCGTGCAGTGCGAGCCCGGTCTGCGTCTGCTGCTCGAGTTGTGTTGTCTTGCTGCTCGCGCCCGCGCTGGTCGCCTTCTTCCGGAGAAAGCGGAGCTTCAAAGGATGGAATGGTGGAGGTTGCTCGTGCTTGCGCGGGCGAGGGTGTGGCGCTGGTGGGAAGTGGTTTTCGCGCCAACGGCTCGGCGGACACCCCGCTAGCAAAGAGCGACTTTGCCGCAGCAGTGGACAGGCGTTGTGCTGATACAAGCGGCACCGTGGGGGGCTTGGGAATGCTGCTGGAAAGCGCAATCGGCACGGCACCCGGCGCGGGCACCGGCTGCAAAACAGAGCTCACGAGGGAGGCGGCGGACACGGCCGCGCTGGACATGGGTTGCACATCCTGCCGCAGCGTCTCCAAGCTCTGCAAGAAGCTGGTTGCAGGCTTGTACGAGCGATCGATTCGGCTGGGGGCGAAGGCAACTGCCGAGCTGACCGGCGTCGTCGAGATGGCTACCTTTCGGGATTCCGTGTCGAAGTCAATGTGAATCTGTACGTATGCGTTGGCCGGATCTGCCTGGACTGGGTGCGGAATATCCTTCAAGAAGGGAAAGAAATCCGTGTCCTTGCCGCTGACCACAAACGATGCCGAGGATCCTGTCCGGGAGGCAGCTGTGAGAGCAGCGAGTGCCTCAATGTGCTGCTGAAAGCTCGTAGCAGAGGCTCCCTTTGCGGAGCAGGTGCAAGCTGACGAGGGCGTCGCAGACGGAGGAGGGGTTGTTGCGGACGACGATCGCGAGGCCTGCGCGATCGTTCCGTGTTCAGCGCAGGCAGAATCGGGCTCCACTGCAGAAGCCAAACTAAACGTCAGCGTAAATCCACCATCTTCGTTGGGCACCGTCTCAATACCCAGTCGAGAGAGATCCGACGCAGTGATGTTTGCTGGGTCGCCGGGCTCTGAGGAGGTTTCCGTGCTCGGTTCGCCCATGTCTTCGTATGTCTCTTGATTAGCGTCATCGTCTGATAATAACGGCGAGGATGACGATGCTGCCACAGGGGCATGCTCTGTGGCAGCGGCGAGCCGTCCAGGCCCTGTCGACATTGTGCACTTTTGCCCTTGTTGAATTGTGTTCCCCTTCAGTCTGGGGTCTTTCGGAAGCAATCCAAGACGCGGGAGACCAACGACAATCTTGACGTTGATTGTGGATTCAAGCTAGCCAAACTTCCTGATGATTCAACGCCAGCACCACGAAATCGATCCGAGACAGGGGCGAGCAGAATCTGCAATGAACACGAAACCAGGTGAGTTGGAACAGCAGCAAAAACCAAATCAAAGCTTGTGGCATGTCAAGTACACCCCACGACGACTCATTGCAAGTGTGCAAAGTGAGCTTCGAAACTGAGAGAGAGAGAGAGAGACAGAGAAAGAGAGAGACAGAACGAAGGCGAATGGCAGAAGACGCATTCACGGCAGTAGCCACACCAACCACACACAGTCGCTTGCTTTGTGCATTGTAGTTGACATTGTGTGGCGCACAGGAGCACCAGAAGTGGGTCAGAGTCACCGTGCCCGCGCAATGCTTGCTCCCCCCAAGGTTCAGCGTGCCCCCGTCTCGCGAGACTGCCACCCCCAGCCACCATTCACAGCCCTTGTCACAGCTGCAACCAAGTGCGCACACAACCGGATGCGCGACACCCGATGGAGCAAAGTGGCTGGCTTTCCACTTCAGTCTCGACCATGAGGACTCCCACTCTCCGAGTCAGATCTGATTCCGACGAGGTGCACTCTTCGTCCAGTTGTCTAGAGCGCAAGTTGACAAGTGGCAGTGGTGGAGCCCGGCTGGCGGCGGCGGGGGTGCCCCGTGGCTCGATCTACCAACAAGCAAAGTCCTCATTTCGCAATGCAGTTACCTAGTGTGAGACTGTTCAACAAATGGACTGCCTATGCTCAGCCATCATCAGCAGGCAGCAGAATGAAATCACTGGATGCATTTTATACTGAAATAAGAAACGCAAAAAAACAAGCAAACTGCAACAACGTCCTCTTCCGCAAAACAATAATGGATCGCAAGCACAAAAGAAAATCAGAACGAAAGAAACTCAAACGCCCCCATGAAGCAGTCGTTCACAGGTTGGTGGACAGCGCGGAGGGCGGGCCAAACACCTTGAGCGCGGTCTTGTGTTGCGTGTCCGACAGGTCGTTGGCTCGAGTGGCGGCGACGACAGTTTGGCCAATCTCGCGTCGAACGTGGGCGCGGAAGCTGTTTCGGAGCGTGTCATCCGTGGATGCGGCATTGAGCACTGCCAACCAACGGAAGGTGGTGTCGAGAGCGAGAGAAACGTGAGTCTCGCACACAGATGCCGAAAACAAAAAGTCAGACGCTTCTTCAAGTCATTTACCTTGAGTTCGCGTTTCACTGGCAACACCAGCTGCTTCAAGCGAATGATCGAGGAGACCAGTCATCAGTTGATCAAAGTTCTGGGGAAGGGCGGGCTGTTTTGGTAGATGGACGTACGAAGTGAGCATAACCATCCTGTCACAAAAAGTGGGCCGTTCAACCACAAGAATCGTATTCGGTTGCGCTACCTTTGCAGCACGGCTAGCAGCAGAGCCTCCAGCCGCATATGCGTCGCTGAATGGCCGCTGTTTGGGCTGAGATTGCTGTCGCTGCACATCTTGGGCAATGGTTGAAGCCCAGAAGGCGCGATCAAACTACCGAGAGAAGAATGACTGAAAAAGTGAGCAGAGGCCAAAAGCCAATCGCAACAGCCGTGAACGAGCTCGTTCTCACCTCTGGAACGTGCGAGTGCCACGCTTCTGCAGGCACCGTAACGACAGGCGATGACGGTGCGGAAGATGCTTGAGCAGAGGCGACCGAGCTTGCTGCGGTGCGAAGGGGAGTGGTTGGCGCTGGAGCCGAGGACGACGACGCTGCGGTGGTGGTTGCCGCGGGTGCTGGAGCTGGTGCTGGTGCTGGAGCTGGAGCTGGAGCTGGAAGAGTCGAGCTCGAGCTGGCAGGTGCTGTAGCTACGGCGACAGGCTCCGGGGCACGCACTTGGGTACCAGCAGCGTTGATTGCCTCTACAGTCAACGGTGCGGTGGCAGAAGGCTGCTGGAAGGTGACACGAACAACGTGGGCTTGGGGATTGAAGCCATCCAGCAACCGGACCGCGTGACTGCGGAAGAGCTGAATGAGCTGCTGCGTGCCTCGAGCTGCGGCCGGCAAGTGACGCTACATTAACACCCAGAAAAGAGCGTTCCTCGGTGAGTCAACAGCGAAAAAAAAACCCCCCCAAACAATCCCACTAGCAACAAGATCAACAAGTGACACACCTGTCGCAAAAACAACTCGATCGCTGGCGCAAGATCTGCCACACCACCTGCCAAGCACAAGCTCGCGACAAGCATGAGGGACACAAGACCATCAACAACAATGGCCTTGAACTGCTCGATAAATGGCCCTTCCTCAAGCGGAGCAACCACAAGACGAATGGCTTGCTGCAAGTAGCCACGCAGCACGGAGGCCACAGAAGCGGCCAGATCCGTGCCAGGCACCAAGTGTGGCAGCATGTTCTGAACGAAAAGTGAAGAAGTATCGGGGCAAAGTCAGCAAGTGGAAAAAAAAAGCACGAGAATTGACGGCCTTACAGGATGAAGTGCAAATGACTGTAGAGCCGCGAGAACGACTTCCAAAAAGTCAGCCGTGACCAACTAAAGAGACCAACTAAAGAAGGGCGAAGAGAGACAGGAGTGCAAGTGAGCGTTGTCATCAAAAACTCTACAATGTACGCGCTTGCTCACGTACCGGAATCAGATCAGCAGTGATATCAGTCGTGTGTAGCAAATGCTCGGAAATGAATGTGCGGATAACTGGACGGGCTCGTGCAAGAGGAGCAAAGTTTCCTGCGGGTCCAGCGCAATGCAAGGTTAGCAAAGGCTCCGACAACAGAGAAAGCAGCATGGCACACTGCAGCCGTTTCTTTACCATTTGCAAGCTCACTCAGCTCAGTGATGGTCCATGACTGCAAGAGCGAATCAAAGAGAGGATCCAGCACCGATGCTATTGCGTGGGCAAAGCAAAAAAAAAAAAAATCACAAGATCAAAATTCCGAAAAAGTGAGGCAACGAGTGTCAGGTATCGAATGAAAATTCAGAGACGTCGGACTCACATTCAGTGGCAGCAGCATCGCCATTCGCGTTGGTCGGCACTGTTGTCAGCACGGCAGACGCAGACGCTCCTGGATTGGCAGCGAGAGCGGTGCGCAAGGTTGACTCCATGTGATCGCGCGACACGGCAGACGGATCTTCAGCTGGGGCAGGCCCAGTTGCTGGCGCGGCGGGCGCAGCACGCTGAGTCAACAGCTGGAGAAGCCCTGCGAGAGGGTTGAGGGCATCGCCGGCAGCGGCACCGGCACCAGCGGGAGCGGCCGGGTTGTTGACCGGGATGTGCTGAGGAGGGAAGTTGATTGTAAATGCTTGCTGTAATCGTGTGACCGCCACCAATCAAATGAAGCAAAACGGTGAGTACGAATCTTAACGTCGAGGCCAGTCAATCTGAGCCATCAAACCCAAAACCATGCAATGCGAGCAAAGACTCACCCCAAACGGCGTCGTGTGCACGTGCACGTCAGGTCGAGCCGGCTGACCCGGTTGGCCAGCAGCAGGCTGACCTGCAGCAGGTGAAGGGGAGCCGGGTTGCGCCGGCTGAGGAGCGGCTGCCGCAAATTGCGGGCCAAAGCGTTGGTGGACATGAACGTGTCCGTGTCCGTGCGGGTGCGGCACTTGTGGTGCCACAAACTGCGCAGCCCCAGCTGCCTGTCCAAAGTTCAACATGGCGAGGGGCTGTCCAAGGAGGGCCGTGCCATGCGCAGCGCTCTGCAGTGAGCGCTGGATTTGTCCTGCGATTTGTTGCACTTCCGCGCGGTGAAGAGGCTCCTGCGCAACACGCACGCGAGTTAGCATAGACATTCGTAACGTCATCAGCCACAAAAAACTAGATGATTGGAGAGCTTTGCGTTACCGTGATGGTTGCCTCTCCAGCGAGAGCGGATGCCAGTCGCTCTAGTTTGACCGACATCGTTGACTGCAGCTGAAGGGAAGCGCGCAGTGCCTCTGACAGAGCCTGTAGGGCTTGTGTGTCTAGATGGGTCACAAATGGAACAGAGTTGGCACGGACGTTTTCGCGAAAAACCACGACAAGCGAAAGCAACATGAAAATAAAAAGAAAGGGCGAAGACCCCACACAGTCCCTAGCAGCAACTTACTGGTCGCATTCGACACTGGGCTGTCAGTGGGCAAAACCACGGCTTCCGCAGGCGACCGGAGAACATTGGCGCCAGTCACAAAGGCGTCGCGAGCATGACGGCAGCGATTGACAATCATGGCTTCAGTCGAAGCGGGCTGAACATTCGGGTGGGGAGCGCCGGGGGCAGCACCTCCTGGCATGTTCATTGTGAAGATTTGTCCATGCACGTGCGGCATGCCCGGTTGAGGCTGAGGTTGAGGAGCAGCACCGGGAGCGGCAGTGCTAGGAGCAGGAGCAGCACCAGGAGCACCAGGAGCGGCAGCACCGGCAACACCAGCAGCAGCTCCAGGAGCAGCGGGATTCACGGTTTGAGCAATGGTGGTGAACAGAGCATTGACCATGCCAGGCAACATGGCGGGCAGAGTTCCAAACACCATATTTTGCAGACCCTGTCCAAACGAACGTCCGCACCAGCAATGCATGCACGTCAGACACACTGACACCCCCCCCCCTGACAACACTCGACAACACTTTGCAGTTGGCTGTTGGATTTTGCGTAGTGCTTACCTGCATGTCAATCTGAGGATTGGTCGGCTGGTTGCTTGGACTGGCAGCCGTTGTCTCGCCGCCGCCATTGTTTGCCGCGTTGTTGGCCTCAGCAACAGCAGCACCAATGTCTGGCGCACGCTCGACAAGGTGCAGGACGTGGCCGTCCTGGATCCCAAAGTCGGCAATCGTCTGCTCGTCGCGCAGCACTTTGCCGCGGAAGATGACGCGCTGCTGCGACGGCACCAAGCCGCTCGCCTCCTGGATCTGTGTGTGTGTCAAAAACAAGGCATTCCAGCAAACAATGAAGGAAAAAAAAAAGATGGAAAAAAAGTCAAAATGTTCAAACTTTGTTAGCGAAAACCAAAAAAAAAAAAAAAAAAACCAAAAAAAAAACAAAAAAAAAAAAAAAACAAAAAAAAAAAAAAGTTTTTTGTTTTTATTATTTATTTTGTTCCTTTTTTTTTTTTTTTTTTTTTTTTTTTTTTTTTTGGGTTTGAATCTTGTTCAGCAGCAAAACACACTTTTTTTTGTTGATGTTGTCCATCGTCGTCACCGTCACACACGCCGAGCGCAGACACACTTCGCTTCAACTGCAATTCAAAATGCTGAAAAAGCGAGCAAAAATGCGCGACTTTGAGCTGGTCTGGGTCTGCTTGCTTTGAGCGTTGTGAGTGATGGTCGCTTTGGATCTCGACCCCCTTCTGCTTCTCCTTATCCCGAACCAACTTCCCCTTTCTCAAGCATCACACACACACACTCTCTCTCTGCTTGTTCAGTCAGGATGGACCCGTTCTGACCCGATGATGCAAAAGGGGGAAAACGCCATCGACGCGCTCACTTTTCGTCCCTTTGCACAGCCATTAGCATTGTTGGGGAGCTCAAACCCCCCCCCCCAACCCCCCGCGAGTCATCTGCTGTACCTGAAGCTTGAGCTCAGTGACGCCACAGCGAGGAGCGACGCGGAACTTGTACTCGCGGTTCTCAAGCGTGCGGATGGTCAGCTGGATGAGACCATCGCCGCCACTACTGGTCGACGCTTCACTCATTGGGGAAAGAAATAAAATAAGAGAGGGAGACTGGCAACGACACACTGAATCATCATAAAATTAAAGTAAAATCAAAGAAAGGTCGATGCCGAACAAAGTCAAAGAATGGCTGAATTCTCAATCGCAACACGCTCGTCCGTCAACACGGGTCAAAGCGAGGTGGATCCGAATCGACAGGCTGGACGAGGAAGGTTTGCTCAAAGCAATAGCAGCTGCCGAAACATTTAGGGCCTTGCACAACTGTTGCAGTCACTCTTAATAACTATCGAACAAAGACGACAAAAATGTCCAGCTTCCACCTGGCTCTCGTCTCGTCACGACAAGGTGCATGATCAGATCAAGGTGTATTTGCAAGGAAAGAATAAGCACAAAGAGAACAGAATAAAAAAAAGAAAGAAACAAATGGCGGGACTTCACCCAAACGTCTTCACCAATCGAACAGCAGGTTGTTGACACATTGGACAATTGGTCAGCCCTCGTTGGCCGGCAGCTAGTATACACGCGGCGCAGATGCAGAAATGGCCACAGTCCAACACGGTAAACTGCCGGGGATTGACGAGGCACACGATGCAACGATCGAGCTCTTGCCGCTCCGTGTACAAATCGAGCAGAGTCGTTCCGAGCCAGCGAAGCAACACGTCGTTCGGAGAGCTCATGTGCTGAAGCACGGCGAGCTGGTCGTCCACAATGGCTGCAGCCTCCAGGCCAACGTGGGGTCCTGACGGGTCGATTCTTTGGACTGCGCTGGCGCCCAATGCGGAAGGCACATGCTGAAGCGCTTCAGCGACGCCCTTGAGGATTTCGCGCAATGGCTGGAGCGCCTCTTGAAGCAGTTGTAGGGTTTCGTTGGGCTCCACGACATAGTCGGAAGGATGGCGTGCAGGCGAGTGCACGGTGCGAGCGGTGCGATCGCTCAAGGGGGATATTGGCGTGACAGAGCCGGGGTGAGGGGTGAACAGCTCGTCGAGATCTTCGTCGTCGGTGGAATCAACGGAAGTGGCATCCGACCAATCATCCAGCGATTCGGGTTTCGCCCGATCGTCGTCGCTGTCGTCTGACTCGGCATCGAACAATGCCGCTCGCATTCCATATCCCTGCTCCATTTGCATTGTGACGAGGGCGCTGTGATTGCGTGTCTGCTGGGATTGATCAAAGTCGTCGTCACTGTCGCTGTCGTAGTCGTCCAAGAGAAGATCAATGGGGTGAACAACAGTGCCAAGGCGACTTGAAGTGGATGCCGCAGAGGACGAAGAGGAAGCCCCAGCAAAGCTCGCTGGAGTCGAGTGGACGATGGGACGCAGTGAATATCGGCCGCCAGCCGTGTTTCGTTGCCGAGAAGCAAGCGAACGGCTCCCTGAACGCACGAGCGAGCTGCCTCGGATCGGGGAGCCCGTAGGACCAACCATAACGGGAGCAACGCCGGGCATTGGCTCTTGTTGCTGCTGCTGAGGGAGTGCTTGGTTGCGGGGAGGTGGCATGTAGCCTGCCGCCAGCAGAAATCCTTCCACATGGTCAAAGTGCTCTGGCTGGTTGTCGTCCCCTGCAGGATTGCCATTCTGCTGATTGCCAAGAATGGGATGCTGCTGCTGCGGTTGCGGAGCGTGGTTGGCAACCACTGCTTGTCGCGCGAGTCCAAGCATTTGAGCCTGCAGGCGAGCCAGCATGTTGGGATCGGGCAGGTTGGCCTCATTCTGCGCGCGCACATTGTTGCCATCAAATGCCGCACCACCGTTCTGCTGCTGTTGGTGTTGCTGCGGCGCACCCGCTTGAAACAGGCGGGCCGCGTCGCCGAACGGGTCGGGTCGAAGGCCGAGCACATTCACGTTGACGACATCTTGCGTGAGAATATTCATCAAAAAGCTCGACGCGTGGATGACCACCGCAATCCAGATAAACTCGAGCGGACTCAGCTCCATGTCAAACATTGCAAAGGCATTCCGCAAGGACACAAAGAGAAAGAGCTTTGGGAATTGCGACAGGGAGAACGGAATGATGAAGGCGTGGCCAATCTCAGCCATCGTAGCCCAGCTCAGAATGTCCATCACCGAGACAAAATAGAGGGAATAGATTGCTTGGAACAGGAAGCCCAGCATGCCCAGCCACAGCGACACGACGAGGTAGGTGTGCTGCATTCCCAGCTGGTTGAAATCGTCCACCACGCACCGGCAGCTTTGGATCAACGCGAGGCCGCAGCGCAGCACGGCAAACCAAAGCACCATGGTCGAGTCGGCCGCAGGCAGGTAGAGAGTGCCAACGACGAGCGTGATGATTGTCTTGATAATCTTGACCTGCGAAAGCCGCGTCGCCGGTGCCAGGCTGATCGAGATGCACAGATTGATGATGAGCGCAATGACGATCGAGTAAAAGAGTCCCAGCGCGTTCTGGACGTTGGCGTCCTCGTTCAGAAACGCGCGCGAGATTGGATCTGCAGCGACCAGCGCGAACGGCAACCGGTCGTCGATCATGCCAATAAACATCTTGAACCAGTTGAGCGCCAGAATCCAGCACGCCACAGACTGGAGCATCAGGCGGGCGAGCGTCTGGAGCGTCTGGCCAAAGCGGACTGGGTCGGCGACAAACGCCGCCAGCCGTCGCATCACGGCGCGCAGCAGGAATCGCAGGCAGACGGTTGTAACGACAATGGCGAGCACAGAGTATGCGCCGACGCTCATCCACCCGTCGCGAAAGTAGCCAAAGACCTGCTCATGGAGCGTTGATGCCGTTGTTGTCGCAGTCATTGAGTTTATTTGGAACTTTGGCGTTTCAAACTCAGAATGACTGAGTCGACGTTAATGCTCGATTTGGAGCAGTCGGGCTTATTATTTGGGGCACGCAGTTTGTCTGATTGTGATGTGAATGGACTGCCGAGAAGCTGAGAGCTGAGAGCAGCCCAAACTCGGTCTCTCTCTCTCTCGCTCCTCCACTCCCACTTCAATCAGCCTCGTTTTCAAGTTCAATAGACGTTCTTCATCCCGTCTTCCAACTTGACACTTTCTCCAGGTTTGAGTTTCTCAGGTTTGAGTTTCTCAATGGAAATCCAGTCAATTTTTTTTTTTTTTTTTTTGGCTTTTTCATTCAAAGTCCTGAGTACGTCATTGCCGCCTCTGCTTTTCCTCTCTCTCTCTCTCTCTGCTTTCCCTCTGTCCTCAGACCCCCCTTTTCACTCTGCTTTGGTTATTCATCCATTGCTCGCTGTCTCTGTTCTCTGTTCTCTGTTCTCTGTTCTCTGTTGTCTCTCTGTCTCTCTGTTCTCTGTCTTGTGGGCTTCTTCGTTTCCTCGTCTATCGCTCCCTCTCCTCTTCACTCTGCCCCGCTCGCTCTACAAACAAAGTCGACTCAATGCGGTCACACTCAGACGCAGTGTCGCATCACCACCACCATCAACAGCAGCACTTTCACTCACTCACCATTCAAAGTCCAAAAAACGAGATCCCTGCTTTGGTTCGTTCTTCTCTCCTCATTCAAACCTCGAACTCAACCTCAAACTCAACCCTTCATCCCTCGAACTCACTCACTCGCTCACTTGGACTTGGTGGAGGTCGCGTTGGTCACTCTCTTTGCTTTGGCTGTCAAGCCCGACTTCACCCCATTCTCACTCTCTTCTTGATGCGAAATCCTATGGAACCTTGGCTCTCTCTCTCTCTCTGCCTTGGATCTTGTCATCACACTCACCCTCTGACATTTGTTTAATCTCTGACAATCTACACCCAATGCACAGGAACTACACCCCCCTCCCCACCCTCCTTGGTCTCAAAGAGCTGCCCAACATCTTGTAGAATCTGAATTCTACAGACCTCAAGAACCCCCCCCCCACTCTCCCAACCTAAAAACACACCAATCCCAAGACTTTTCAAAAACAAATGTCGGAAGACCCATTCTTCTTGGTCAAGGAGGACGTCCAGAAGGCCATGCGCAGCTCGGAGGCGCTGTTCAAGCGATGGACGGAACTCACACAGCTCCAGCAGACAAAGCCCCTGTCGCAGTCCATGCTCGAGGAGCTGCGGTGGACCACTGGCGAGCTCAACCAATCGCTCAAGGCGATCGACTGGGATATTGAGGACTTGGAAGAGACGGTGGGGATTGTCGAGGCCAACCCGGCCAAGTTCCAGATTCCCCAAAAGGAGCTGCAAGAGCGTCGCGCCTTCATCACCATGACCATCAAATTCGTGCGCGAAATGCGCACCACCATGCAGCAGGCAGACGCCGAGGCGCAGCGCGCGCAGCGTCGTGATCTTATGGCGCCCGCCCCAACGCGCGGCGGCTCGGGCGCCGCCCCGAGCGCCGCAGCTGGCAACGGCCTCGGTGGCAACGGTGCCACCCCCGCAGGCGCTGCCGCAGCCCTCAGCAGCAATGGCAAGCAGCCTGCCGGTGGCTACAACCGCTATGCCAAGCTGGAGGCCAGCATCACCCAGGACAATGCCGACTACATCCGTGGCGAGCAGGCCCGGCAGCAGCAGCTTGTGGCCGAGCAGGATGTGCAGATTGACATGATTTCGTCCCAGCTCAGGACCGTCAAGGAAATGTCGACCACCATTCACAACGAGCTCGATCGGCAAAACGACATGCTCGACACGCTCGGCAACGACATGGACAATACCGAAAACCGTCTCACCGCTGCCCTCAAGAAGGCCGACAAGGTGCTCGAGCTGTCAAAAGGTGCGTTTGTTGTTTGGTATTTGCAGTTGCTCGTCGAAGAGTGGATCGATGTTGCTCACTTTTGGTTTGCGATTTGCGATTTGGTTTTTTCTTTTTCTTTTGCTTTTTTTTCTTGTGGCACCTCACAGACAAGAAGCAAACATGCTGCATTGTTTTGTTGATTATTGCAATCATTGTTATGATGGTTGTGCTGTTTGTGTAACGAAAGCCGACGTGGACATGGCTGGATTGTTTGATTTTTTTTTTTTGTTTGGTTGTTTTGTTGTTTTGGTCTTTTGTTCGTTTTCACTCTCTGCTCTCTTTGTTTATTGTCTACTTTTTTCCAACAATACGAGTTTCTTTTCTCAAGTCTCAATGCCCATGCACTTTCATTGAAGCGGATCAGTTCTCTTAGTTTTCTCTCTTAACCCTTTCCGCTAAGAAAGAGATAGACCGTCTTCCAGTCCAATGCTGCCGCAGTCCGCTCGAGCGCTTGCCAAGTCATGCGCATCCACACCGTTGCTTGGCCTGAAGCAAGCATCCTTGTCCAGCTCCCACTCATCCAAGTCCATGCTCGGTGCCGTCTCTGTTGCTGCTGCTGCTTCGTTCACGACTACGACGACCGCTTCAAGGCCGCAGTTCTGGAGCTCGACTGCTGCTGCGACCGCCCCGATGTCGCTTCTGATGCATCGGGCATGCTCGTGCGCATTCACTGCACCAGTGTCCACACCGGCGATGCATGCGGTGGCTGCTGGAACACGCCGACTCGCGTCGTCGACCGCTCCTCCTCCGCCGCCGCCATCCTCGCCGACCAGCCAAGCGGCCGAACAAGCCGCTGCACACGGCGCCACCAGTGAATCCAAGCCAACCCCCGTTGGGTCCATCGACCCTTCCCAGGGCCGGTTTTTGATCGCCTTCACATGCAAGCCATGCTCGCACCGTAACTCGAAAACCATCTCCAAGCACTCGTATCAGAAGGGCGTTGTGCTCATCCGGTGCGATGGGTGCAAGCAAATACACTTGATTGCAGACAATCTCAACTGGTAAGCGAGCGGGGTTGGTTTGTGTTTTGTGTTGTTTTTGTTTTGGCTTCCGTTCTCCACTCCACTGACTAACTCCCCCGTCATGCCTTGGCTGGAAATGCGTATTGCTACCGAAAAACCCTCCAGGTTCCAAACTGGCCACCGGAATATCGAGGAAATTCTACGAGCGAAAGGGCAGACTGTGATTCGCAACCCGGAAACTATATTACGCGACCACGGGCTGGACCTGGCTGCGCTGTCTTCGTCGACCGTGGAAATCAACGGCAGTGCTGATTCGAAATAGCTCGTAGGCTGGACTGGACTGGACTTGGTGAGGATGTGCTGGCACTGACTGTGTACAAATAGACTGCGAGCCAAGTTTCTTGACAAACGCAAAAACGACGGATTCATAACCAGTATTTGTATTTAATAACCGACAGTGTGACAATGTAACAACAGCAGACGAAATAGAAATGGGACGGAGGGAGAGAGAAAGAGGGACAGAGGGGGAACTTCCAACACTGAAAAACAGGAGTACAATGAACAACCAAAACATACGTGTTGTCCAGAGTGTGGCAGCCCAGCTGCAGCTTTGCGCAAATTCAATTTGCCAAAAACACACTGCGTGAACACACAGCAGACAAGGTTTTTTTTTCTTGCAGAGCTCATGTACTCGAAAGAGCTAGGCAACAAAACGAAACGTCCTTCCCCGCCCCAAACAAAAAGATAAAAGTGCAGCGGAAAAAAAAGAGTGTGTACATGCGAAAAAAAAATGCGACGAGTAAAAGTGCAAGTGAAAAAAAGAAACGAAGACAAAGCACAAGGAGAGCGAGACTAAACGGGTTGGAAGGTGGTAATGGCTTGCTTGCGAGCAGCCTTGAAAAGCTGCGACTTGCGGAAGCGGGGGAAGACATCTTGGTTGAGATGGCGACGAACAGCGCGGTAGACAGTGTCAAGAAGCGTGCTGTAGCCGTCGTGAGCCTCGCTAATCTTCTTGAGGGTCGCGGTTTGCAGAGTCTGGGGAATGTTGATTTCGTTGGAGGCACCACGCTTGATGTACATTTCGCACATGCGGTCCAAGTCCTGGCGCGTGACAGCCTCGCCCTTGGCCTTGTACGCGACATAGTCGTCGTAAAAGTTAATGTTCTCGGCACACCACGACTGGACGCAGAACTTTTTGAAAGCATCCAGGTAGATGGCGTTGGTGAGGACAACGTCGAGCGTCTCGGTTATTATCGACGATGCAATGCTTGCAGACGTGCTGGGTCGTCGGCCCGCCTGGTTTTTGCCGTTGCGCGAGTTGACAGAGACAGCATCGGCCTCTGGTTTCTTGGGCGTGGCGGCGTGCTGCTGGTTTGCGCGCGGCAGCAGAGGCGAGGCCTTTGGCGAAGGGCGCACGGACGGAGCCTTCGTGTTGGCAACATTGTTGGACGACACGGACGAGCCAGAGCGGTTGGAGCGGACGGACTTGGCGTCGGCTTGCGGGTCATGCGCTGCAGGCACAGCAGCAACCACCACCTCGTTGCTGGCATGCGGTTCGGCGGCTGTCGCGGCAGCAGCGTGTTCGTGCTTGCTGTGGCTGTGGTCGTCGTGGGTGGTGGTGGTGGTGCTGCTGCTGCTGGCAGCGGCCGCGTTGCTGGAGTTGGCAAGGGCCATCAGGTTGCTGATGCTACCAAAGGCCGCAGTGGCGTCAATAATGTTCAGGGTATCCGATGCCGGCACTTCTGCCGACGAGGCGGGTGCTCGTTGCTGGCTGGCGAGCGAGTTGGTCTCGCCGTCGACGTCCTCGGTCGTGACGTGGATGACGCCCTCGGAAGCCTCATTCGCCTGGCCATCGTATGCATGGGCGCCGCTGTCGAACGCACCGCTGTCGCTGTCGTGCTGCTGCTCGTGCATTTGCAAGTCGTCCGAGTCTTCCAGCCCGGCGATATCGCCAAACGATTGCGACTTGGTGAACTCAGTGTCCGAGTCGAAAAAGGACATGATCAGCGGGAAGTAGATGGAAATTAAGAGCGTCAGCGTGTACGCAACCATCTGCAGCCAGGGAGCCTCAAAGTTGTCCGGCTTGGACACCAGGACGAGGAAGAAGCCAACAAACAATGGCACAATCCATGCAACCATCAATCCGAGCTCAAGCTTGATGTAGAAGGCATCGCTCACATGATTGAGGCGCAGCATGATGCCGATAAAGATGCCGACAACGCAATAGAGCACGATAATCGAGTTCTGCGCAAGCTGCTGCGGGTCGAGGTCGCAGGCCTCGTCGGCCACAGTAATGTTGGACGGCGGGAAGTGGTTGGGGAAGTTTGAGCTGACACCGACTTGCACAATGACGTGGAAGAAGATCAAGAGGCAAATCAAACCCACGCCAGAGTACCACCGAATCATCCATCGGTGTCTATGGAAGAAGGCTGTTTGGCGCTTGAGCTTTTCATTGTTCCACATAAACTTGAAGTAGACGACGCAGCAGCGCATAAAGTAGGGCTGCGAGAAGAAGGGAGTTGGTTTGGACAAGACACACACACACACACACAAAAAAAAAAGTGAGAATGCAAGCAGCAGCGCGACCCAGTGCAAGCGTTCACGACAAAAATTGCTTCCTACCGCGGCGAACGTGCAAGTGTTGAGGGCAGAGACCCACCACATGAAGCCACATTGAACAGACTCGGGATCGGACAGTTTGAAGGACTGTGCAATGAAGAAGAGCGAACCAAACCTGCCATGCAAAGCCAAGAACAAACACAAGACCACCAGTGCAATGTGTTCATAAAGTGAGTGAACGAGTTGAGAGTTTTGTTTTTTTAGCATTGCAATGCCAACAAACGTGTTCAGTGGAGAGCATAGAGTCTAAGTGAGTCTGCGCCAACAACGGCGATTCCGCACGAGCAATCCATAGATGCGTGCTGTGACACGAGCGATGCGATTGGCGCATCACCAATGGAGGATGACAGCTGGCTTTAAAAACCCCCTCCTTCAGATGAAGAAGATGATGAATCAAGATAAGCAGCGGAAAACGGCGCGCGTTTGTCCTCGCTTTTGAAGGATCCGTGACAACTGCCAAAAGTGATCACCTAGTTGACACATGCACACAATGCACAAGTGCACATTCACAAAGGAAAAGCACAAAAAACTGTGACAACACCCCCAGACCAAACCAAACCAATGGACAGGTCGGATAACGAAAAAAGGAAAAAGAAAAAAAAAGAAAAGAAAAAAAGAAAAAAAAAAAAAAAAAAAAAGAAAGAAAAAAAAAGAAAGAAAAAAAAAAGGAAAAAAAAAAAAAAAAAAGAGTCACTTTGCGGTTTCCCTGCTTTCATCCAAGCGTCCTCAGTCACCCTCCGACGAGTTTGTTGAGGAGTGAGAAGAGTGAAAAAGAACGATGGCCATGATGATGATGATGATGATGATGATGATCGGTTGACACAAAAGCGGGGAAAAACAACAACAATACAATAAAAAGCCATTGGTATTTTGTGGTTGTTTTGTTTTCGTTTGTTGTTGTTGTTGTTGTTGTTTGTTGAGGATAACGGTTCAAGCCGGAATCACAAACAACCGTAAAATCACCAAACATCAAAAAAGCAAAAGGAGCAAAGCAACAGCACAAAGGAACACAGAGAAGGAGAGAAGGAGGGACGGAGAGTAGAGTGATCAGAAAGTGGTCGATGGCAAAGCGTTTGAAAAAAACAAAGAAGAAAAAACCGTTCAAACAATCAACAAGATTAACAAAAAACAAAAAATAAAAATAAAAAAAATAATTATTCCAGCTGAGAGAGCTGGAAAAAAAGAAAAAAGAAGAAAAAGTTGATGGACGGATAAAAGTGGATGAAAAAAAGCACTTTGATCTCGCACTTCACTTCAGGCTGTGTTGTCAATCTCATCGCCATCGCCGTCGTTCAGCAATCACCAACAGCAACGAGCAGCAACAACAACAACAACAACAAATGATCAACTGTTTTTTTTTTTTTTTAAAAAAAAAGCAAAAGATAAAAATAACAAAAACACAAATCGACACAAACAATCGAGGGTTTGCAGCCGATCAACTGTGGCGAGGATGGCGGAAGACACGCGCGAAGGCCAAAGGGGGGCGGGGAGCAAGTAGACTGAGAGGAAGGCGATGTGTGGTGGCGGTGTGGGTCGGACGGAGACGAGAGAGTGGGGCAAACGCATCAACAGCGGGGGTGGTTTGAAAGGGGAAAAAAAAAAAAGCCATCAAAAAAAAGAAAAAAAGAAAAAAGAACAAAAAAAGCAACGATCGGGCACCAGCACCATGGATGACCAAGCCACACACACACAAGTCACTGGTCGGTCCAGCGTGAAAGGGGGGTTGCACGATGGACGTGGAAAGAGGGACGATTGGGCCAATCAAGCGTTTCTATCAAGTCGCACAGCAAGAAAACTCTTTGTCATCTTTTTTTTTTTTTTTTTTTGTGAGTGTGTGTGAGTGTGTGACACCGCACTGGTCTTCCAGTTTTGCACTTCATGTCAGCTCTGGGCCTGGTGACACCGCACGTCAAGGCTGTGCATGCTGTGAAGCGTTGAGGAGCGACCGAGAAGGGGGAGCGGACGGCGGCGTGTTGCGGTTGATCACGTTTGCAAAGACCGCAGCGACACACACCCGTCGGGCGCCCACATGTCTTCGCTTTTCTCGTGCATTTCGGGTGCTGGAACAACTGCAGATGACCGTACAGGACGTCCAACGAAAGCGTGGGGACTGTGGCAGGCGGAGAGGGGGTCAGGGAAGAGGGGAAAAAAACAACTTACATGGTTGATACAAGCGACAACACAATGCCGCGAGAGCGAATTGGCTCGTGATGGCGGCGGATGACAAAGCCGATAAAGCCAAACACGGCCAGGGCCAGGTAGAGGCCCACGAGCACGTAGTATGTCGTGTCAGACATGGACGACTGCACAACCGAGGCGAGGAAGAGAGAAGGAGAAAAAAAAAATAAAATGACCGCAAAAAAAAAAAAAAAAGGAGAAAAAAAAAAAGATAATAAATACAAATTGGTGACGAAAAAATAAGACTGGAAGTTCATGATTGAACAATTAAAAAACCAAACACACAACAACGTTAGTTATTTAAAAAAAAAAAGTAGCACAGCTTGAATCATCGAATGGGAAGCGACGGCGACATTGTTGTGGCTGCAGGGAAGAAGGGTTGAAAGGGCTTGAGGCATGGAGAAACGACGAATTCTGCACGCGCTCGGCCGATGCGCAGAACAAAGTGTCTCCACCCAAAAGTCCAAGCCCTGCTCGACCAAACTGTGCAGGCTATTCTGAACTGTCTCTCAGAGGCTGAGCCTGAGTGATTGTTTGGAACTGTCCACTGTCAATGTCAACTGTTCCGAGATTCAAATCCGGATTCAGGAGGGACCTGCGGGGCCAAATGAGCAGGCTGGAGCGTTCACAGTTCCTCTCGATACGGGAGCGGACGGCACCAAAGGTGGGGAGCTGGAGGGCGCCAAAGGAGGGAACGAGGACCCATTGCTCCGTGTCTTCCAAAATCAAGATAGAAACATTCAACAAGCTTTCTTCTTGCCTATCGCTGATTTCACCGCATGCAACTGAATTTTCAAGTACGCCGTTCGAGGGATGCCACTGATGGCAGTGTACATTGGTGGTTGGTCTGGTGAAAAGAGCTGCCTTTCCCCTTCGATATCGACCTTTTGATGAAACTGAGCGATGGTTTGAAAACACAACAGCCTGAAAATTATTAACAACATTATGGCCCATTTCCGTGCAACGCAGGCAAAAATGCAAGAAAACGAACTAACAACAAACGAATGAAAGAAAGCAAAGACTAATGACTTTTCGAAGAGACATCGGGGGCGCCCAAATGCGGCGATGAGGGAAAAAAAAAGAGGGGGGGGGGATGAAGCTGATCCTCAATGAGATCAGAAGCAATAAAATTCATAAAGACAGGACGCAATGTTGTTGTCGTCCGTAAGGTCTGGCGCAACTAGGCGGACCAAATCAAAGTGCGGGTCATTCAAGGTCTCGTCACTCACTTCAGAACCAACGGTCGAGGCGTGGTTGAGGAACGGGCGATCCAGTTCCACGTCGTTCTGAAACTGGCTCGGGTCAGAATGGGAAAAGTCCCTGACGTGAAGTTCCGCATCCGCAGCAAGCCTGAGCGTGGCCACGTCCCATTCCTTAGGTTCCCCAGAAAGTCCAGGGACAGTGAGGGTTGCAGTCGGCAAGGACTGCATTTCGTGGCACGGGGAGCGGACACGACGGTCATCGGCAGCGAGGACCGCCATGTCAGCCACCTCGGAGCCAACAATCGAGGCTGGGCTGTCGCACATAGGGACGTCCGACCCACCGATGCTGTCATCGTCCTCGGAATCCTCGATCTCGGACTCGGACTCGGTGACGGGAGTTGGCGGGCGCACAGGGGAAGCGCGCGAGTTGCGATCCGACGGACAAGCCTTGGGCGACGTGCGAGTCGCAGGCTTGGCAGCCAGCACGGTCGGCGTCTCCTTGGTGTAGCGCACAAGCACCTTGTCGTCGTCGATCTGGTAGAGTGTCTTGAACAATCCATTTGGATCAATCGGCGGGTAGACCATGCCACCGTCAGTGGAAGTGTTGTGCGCCTTCCTGTACTTGTATCCGTCACGCCAGCGAGCGCACTTCTTCTTGTTGTTGCAGTGAACAGCGCGCTTGTTTTTGCCTGTAGCCGTGTTTTTGCCTCCATTGAAGAAAAGGAAGACGGCTTCATCTTGAATCAGCACGCGCTCTTTCGGGGTCAGGTTGCACTCGTACACCTTTTTGATTCCTTGTGCGCATTGAGCGGCATTGAAACGCGCGGACTTGACCCACTTTGACTGCCGAGTGGCCGGCAGATCGACAGGCGATTGGGTAACTTGCACATCGACGAGCTGGTGGTTGGATTGGGCAATGCCGTTGACGGCTCCCTGCCTGTGGTCAAGGACCATCAGAGTTGCAGATGTGGTCGCCATGGTTGAAATTTGCAAGCTTGTTGTTTGTTTCCTATTTTGTAACCAAAACCCCAAAAACAGATTGACAGGGAACCAAATGAGACAAGATCGACAAAGATCGCTTTGGCTGTCTGGGTTGCTTTTTTTTTTTTTTCTCCAGCAAATTGTTTCTTTTTTTTTTTCCCCTATCGTTGTCATGGTTTTTGTCGCTCAGCCACTCTTGCGCTGCGTTCAACCCCAGCTCTGTCCTTTTTTTTGTTTTGCGAGTGAGGTGGCAGGACAAGTGTGACAGGAGCAGAGAGGAGAGCGAAGAAGGGAGGGAAAGGGAGGAAACCAAAAATGACCGATCGCCCTTTTTTTTTTTTTTTTTTTTTCCATTTCCGACACGTCTTGTTCCCGACCTCGTCTCTCTGCCGCGCTCACTGCCATGGACGCTCTCCACCGCCTCTCGCACTGCCACAGACACACTGCTTTCCAAGCCAGCCGCAAGAGCGTGCATTCGCTTTCGGGTTGTTGCTTGGAGGTCTGGAGCAGCTGAGGTTGCAATTCGCTTTTTTTTCCCTTTTTTTTTTTTCCCTTTTTTTCTTTTCTTCTGCAGCGCCGTTCAAGGCAGCAGCACCACACGACAGCAAACCAGCACAACTAGAACGCAGCTGGCAAAGTCGCCAACGAGTGGAAGAGAAGGAGTCGGAGTCGGGGGGTGGTGGGAATGGCGACTCGTGTTGCGGGTCATGCAAACTCACAGAAAAAATCCCTTTAAAAGTGTTGGACTGATTTAACCCAAATCAAGCCGAGTGACGTTGTGAATGATTTCGAATTTGGATTTTCCACTTTTTTTTCGGTCTTCCCTCCCCGTGACCCGCCGCTGTTGCGTTCCATTGGGTCATTGCTGGAGACAACCCAGTGAGCCAGGGAAGGCGGAGGGGGAGAGGCGAGCAGAGCCCACTGCAGGGTGGCTGGTTGATAAAAAACCAAACGCCAGCTGAGTTGCTATGACTGCGCTGAGACGACGCTGAGGCGTCCTCCTCCCCCCCTTGCTCCCTCCGAGTACACGAGCACGGCAACTTGCTCATGGCAGTCAGAGTGACCACACGTGCGTGGCCGAGAGGCCGGAGGTGTGGCTGTATGTGGCATCCGCGCTGAGCTTTGCTTTTTATGGGTTTTTCCAGCAGCGAATCAGCTTCCAGCAAAAGCCTCCTCCTTGTCGTCCTCCATCCCAGTCACGAACTCGACTGCCTGTGCTTCAAAAGCCAAGCCAGTTTGGTTGGTTTCTGTGTGGACGAGCCAACGGTTGAAGCGAACGCCGCCAGATTGCCATTTCGGCAACGCCATGCGCAGCCCACGGTCCAGCGCGCGCTGTCAACTCAAAAGGTCGATCAAAGACCTCGAACTTTGGAGCAATTATCTCCTGCAGTTGAACTAGTGAGATGACGGCAAGCAAAGCAAAGGCAGGAGACGGTCGCAATCGTGTTTCGTTCCGACTTGTCCGACAACACATCCTCGGACCCCCTCCCCCTTCCGACTTTGACTTTGACTGTGACTTTACCCCCTGCACGCTTGAGGGGTTTGGCATTCTCTGATTCTCAGACTCTGCGTCATTCTTCTCAGTCCAAAAATCGTGTCAATCGAACACACTCAAACCATGGCCACAGCAACGACGAGCTTTGAGCAGCGCGCGGCGGCGGCGACCAACCCGACCACCAAGCACCTGTTTGAGCTGATGGTGCGCAAGCAGACCAACCTGGCCGTGGCTGCGGACGTGACGACGGTCGCCGAGCTGCTCCACATTGCGGACGTGCTGGGACCGCACATCTGCGTGCTCAAGACGCATGTGGACATCCTGAGCGACTTCACCACGGCCGACGCGTTCGCGGCCAAGCTGCGCCCGCTTGCAGACAAGCATGGCTTTGTCGTGTTTGAGGACCGCAAGTTTGCCGACATTGGCAACACGGTCAAGCACCAGTACCGCGACGGCGTCCACCGAATCGTCGAGTGGGCCGACATTGTCGACGCGCACACAGTGCCCGGCCCAGGCATCGTCCAGGGTCTCAAAGAAGTCGGTCTGCCGCGTGGTCGTGGTCTGCTGCTGCTCGCTGAAATGAGCTCTGCCGGCTCGCTCGCCACGGTATACACGCGTTGATATTGGGTTGATTTTGTCAGAGTTCACTGTTGCTTGTTGCCCCATTCTAACACACCAACATTTTGTCGTCCCACACAGGGTGAATACACTCGCGCATCGATCGAGATGGCCAAGCAACATAAGGGTACGATTCTCTCCCTCTCTCTCTCCGCGAAAATGAACCGCATGATCGCTTCTTGAATCACTAACCAATCCACACACACCTGAGTAGATTTCGTGATTGGCTTTATCGCCCAGCGTGCACCAATCCCGGATGACGCGTCGTTCATCACCATGACGCCAGGAATCAATCTGACTGTGAGCGGCGACGCGACAGGCCAGCAATACCGCACTCCCGCACAAGCCGTCGAGACGGGCAGCGATGTGCTGATTGTGGGGCGTGGTGTCTACACTGCTGCCGATCCGGTGGCCTCGGCAATCGCCTACAAGCAAGCAGGCTGGGCAGCATACCTGGCTCGCGTTCAGGCCTTGTGAGAGGTGGGGGGGGGGGGCCAATAAATTGAATTGTAAAGTACTTTCCGTGTTCCAACCGTCCTCCCACAGCGATGAGAGCGAGTCAGCTACACGACGGGCAATAGATGCGCCTAGGCGGCAATTGTGGTCTTGGACTGGGCGTCGACGAAGCCGCGAACGCGGATTGTTGGTGCTTTCATTTACTGGCAATCCGTTTCTGACGATGCTACCCCAGTGCACCTCTATCGCGATATTCTGCGACCCTCCTCCAGGACCTTTTGTATGCTCCTTGGCATCTCACAACCCGCATAGATCTAGATCCTCGCAACAATGCGACAAACACGAGAGTACTGTACCTTTTGTCTGTCCCTTTCCTCAAACGGATGCTGGCAACACTGTAACCAATCGCGTTGTGTTGGGATCACACTATAAATCTACATCGATCTATTCTACACCATTCGCTCAAAAGTCACCATCATCACACACAGAACAGTCTTGGTTTTTTCTTTGATCCTTCGCTCCCAATTCTTTGGCTTTGAGCCCTTCCCTCCACCCATTCTTTTTGTCGCCTTTCACTCTTGCTCTACTTGTTCGTGCTCTTCCTCAGAAACCATGGGCGGTTCGTCGTCCAAGCACGGCGTCGAGCCCGGGCGCACGCTCGTCACTCAGGACGTTGCAGCGCGGCGGCTGTGGACCATCTCGGAGGCCTGCGCAGAGGGCGACGCCGCCTCGATCATTGTCTCGGGTGGCGCATCTCGCAGTCTTCATGACAGAGACGGCTCTGGCTCCGGGCTGTCGGACGCCGCAAAGCCGTCTCCGATCGGGTCGTCTTCCTCTGCTGTGATGACGACGACGAATCCTGCCTCGGCAGCGGCCAACGCGACGGATGTCGATCCCTCGTCAGCCGTGCCAGTGACGCTGTTTGTGCACAGCATCAACCCGCGCGATCCGCCTGCGATCAAGGCGGCCGTCCAAAACCACTTGCATGTATGCCAACAATCCTACTTCTGCAGCGCTTCCCTTGTCGACCCCCTGCGCGCGTGTGCATGAGAGTGCTTCAGTCTGCTGCAATGGATTCAGTGGATCTATGAGAGTTTTGATTTTTTTGCGTCGGGGATTTGGGCTGTGAGGACGATCGGAACATCACGCTCATCTTTTCGAGACTTCTCGTTCTTTTCCCCCGCGAAATCTTGACACAGAAACTGAAAATTCTAAGACACCCATCCATCATCAAATTTGTCCAGTCGGAAACCACCGACGACGAGATTCGGTTGGTGACGGAGCCCGTCGTGCCACTCGCCCAGGTTCTCGCGACGCTGTCCGTCGACGAGATTGTCGTTGGGCTGTATCGTGTCCTCAAGGCGCTGATTTTCCTGCACGATCAGTGCTCGATGGCGCATAACAACCTGTCTGAGAGTGCAATCTTTGTCAGCTCCATGGACGGCGGCTGGCGCCTCGGTAGCCTCGAGTTTGCAGTTCCCTTTCCGAGCGCTACCAAAGCCTATCTCGACAGCACGCGGCCGTTTCGTGCCAAACGCAGCGTTCCGCCAGAAGAGACGCAGGTAGAGTATCTTGATGGCCAGGAAAACTTCATCCCTCTTTGTTTGTGCTCACTTGCGGCAACGTTTGCAATTTTTTTGTTATGTCGCAGCCAAACTTTGAGGCGCCACTTTCAATACACGTGCCCTACGCTACAGACAGCTATGGATTTGCAACCCTTGTTGCTGAAGTGTTGTCCGTGACCTCATCATCCGACCACGGCGATTCCCTATCACCCTCGGCGGCACAAATGGTGGAGGACTGTGCAGCCGAGTTTACTGTCGCGGACGACTGCCGAAAGCCCCTCTCAGTGGCCGAGGAGTTCTCCTTCTTCCGTGAGAATAATCTGCTGGTGATGCTCAGAGTCCTAACCAACCTCGCCGTCGAGCCCCACGAGACCAAGCTCGAGTTTTTCGAGTACGAGACGCTTGTTTGTTGTTGTTGTTGTTGTTGTTGTTGTTGTTTGGTTTTTACGCTCCCGCATGAGTGCTTTCCAATTTATCACTCACGACTGCTTCTTTTTTCCGACACAGAACATTGCATCTCCGCGCTGCGCAGCTGGACGAGGGCATCTTTCTCAGGTTGATTTTGCCACACCTTGTTAGCCGTCGGACACTCATGGACCCCTGCGTGCTTTCATGCCTTCCGCATCTGTTAACGCCACGCAAGCCTGACTTCCGGGAAGAAGTGGCTGTTGTGGTGAATGGCAAGCAACTCACCGTGTCGCCATTGATTGACGAGCCGACCTTTGTGGCAAAGATTCTGCCCCGCATCACGCCTCTCTTTGCCCTTCGCGAAGTGGAAATCTGGGGCATGTTGATGGCACACTTGCATCTGTTTGCACATTTGATGGATGTTACTTCCCTGCAACAGGTCGTTTTGCCTCCGGTGAGTTCAACGGCCTTTTTGTTTGTTTGTTTGTTTGTTTGTTTGTTTGTTTGTTTGTTTTTGTAGTGGTGCTCGTCGGGTAGTAGCCAACAGGATCTCACGCGCGCATAAAATGCTTGGTGCTCTGGCAGATGGTGGCTGCGTTATCCGATTCAAGCGACAACGTCGTGAGCTCCACCCTTTCAGCCCTAGTTCATCTCGTGCCGCTCCTGAAGGGCCAGTCTGTGATTCCAGCACTTGGTCCGCGCTCTGCCATATTCCGACAGCGAGTATCACGGCCGAGCGACGGTCAGACGAAGGTATGCTGCGCGTTCTTCCATTCTGACTCGCACAAGTGACCATCTGAAACAACCTCACTTTGCTTTCTTTGGGCTCAACATTAGCCTCAAGGACACCTCTTTTTCGCCTCTCTCCCATCCGTCAAAGCTGCCAGAGAATCTCGCGAGAGCCAGCGAGCAAACCGGCCACCAGCTGCCGCAAGTGTCGCCGGCTGGGACGACTTTGAATCTGTCGCTTTTGATGACGATGACTCTACAAACCAAGCTGCCAGTAAGTTGAGTTGAGCTGGGCCCTCTTTTTTATTTGCTCATCTCCAGCTAATCCTCACCTGATGCTCTTTCTTGCTTTGTGCTCTTCAGGCACGCAAGTCCCGGCTCAGCCGACTCAAGTAGACCTCGAGATGGAAGAACAACGAGCTGCGCAGCTGGAAATCGAACGTGTGAAACGGAAGGAGCGAATGGCTGAGAAGCAGGCTCAAATGAAACTTCGAGCAGAATCAAGGCGGAAGGCGCGAGAAAGCGGGCATCATCCTGCTTCGCTCGACGAAGCCGAACCCGCGTCTGCACCATTGAATGGCCATCGCGTTGAGAATGGCTCGTCTGTTATTGTCAGCCCCACCATTGACCTCAGTCACACTGCGGGAGATGCACAGAGCGACGACGAAGTGTACGAAGACATGGACAGCGCGCCAGTCTCCTCGGTTGGTTTGTCCCCTTCACCTGGTGCTTCCGAAATGACAAGCTCCAAGACGCCCAGTCGACAATTGTCAGCCACACCGCAGGCCAGTCCGGTGCCGGTGGCTTCTCCCTCTGGCGGAATGCGCCTCGGCCGTAGCAGTGCCGAGCCACCTCGCAGCGCTGTCCCTGCCGAAGGCGTGCCGACAAATCCGCCTGGAGCGAGTGTGGCTCACTCGCATGGGAACAAGCTCGCGACTCACAATGGCTTGGATGGCTCTGCACCTGCAACCGGCACACCCTCCAAGCCAGAGCCGGCCAAGAAAGAGTTTGACTTTTTCGCTGACATGGAGCCCGTCTACACTGCGCCGGTTTTGGTGAACGCCACAGCCAAAGCGCTGCTCGGTAGTGGCACGTCGTCCTTCGTCTCGCAAAGTGTTCCGACGTCTTCGACATCTGTGCCGTTTTCTGGATCCTTCCTTGAGATGCAAACCAATCAAAATCCTGCGTCGAGTGTGAATGATGCTGCTGTATTGCAAACGTCGTTTGCAGTCCCGTCTCCATCGACAGCTGCTGTGGCTTCGAGCGACCATGGAAGCGAGCAATGGAGTTCATCATCGATTTCTGTTCAGTCCCGAGAGGACGATTTCGTGGCATCCCCATCGCCAACACTGATTTCGGCCGGCTCGTCCCTGCTAGTTGCCGCTCAAGATGATGCTGACGCGGTAAGACTTCTTTTTTTGCTCAACTTGCGATGTTGTGAACATGCTGGTTTCAGAGACTCACTTGTTGTTCCTCTCTGCTCTCCCGTCTGCGTCTGATTGTCGTGGGACTCCTTGCTCTCTCTTCTCTATGAACATTGTTTCGCATTTTCACCCTTCGACGTGCAGAGCGAGGACGGCTGGGGCTGGGAGTAGCCTTTATCTCCAAGATTCCCATTGTTCATTTTCGACCAAGTTTTCCACCTTTCGCCTTTTTTTTTTTTTTTTTTATTAAAGTCTTTATCTCAGTCTAGTTTCTCTCTCTTTGTTGTTTTCCTTGTCATTGTGTCGTTCGTTGTGATTGTTGACCTTTGAACGCAATCTCATTCGTGCGAAATCGCTCTCAAAAACATCACATGATTTTTTCAATCCGTCGTCGCTGCACCGCCGCCACCACGCCGACGACAATGACGACGACGACAATGACAGCGACAACCACGCCAACCCTGCTGCTCGCTGCCGTTGCAATGGTGATGGCTGCCGCTGTGATTGGAACAACGAGCGCGTTCGACCCGCCGACTTACAACTCGACCGTGTACGAGGCCTTCTTTGCCAAGGTGCTGCTCAACCCGCTGCCGCCGCTGACGAGCGACCCGTACAACGACCCGACCATCAACACGACGCTGCCGGACTTTGTGTGTGCCGCAAAGTACCCCGACCCGACCAACCGCACCAACTATGTGCTGCAGACGTACACCGACCCGACCGCCGCGAGCAACGACGGCGCCTACGTGACCCACCTGCACCCGTGCGGGTACTGCTCGAGCGCCCAGGACATGGCCGTCTACATGCAAGACCCAAACCTCACCGACCCCGTCCGCAAGTGCTGCGCGCTCACCTACATTTCGCAGGAAGAGTCGCTCAAGTGCCTCATCAAGATTGGCTTTACGGAGAACTGCGCGCGCATTTGGATGTACAACGGGATTAACACCCGCAAGCACTGCTCCGACCTCTGCCTCGCCGCGTGGATTGAGGGCACGCCAAGCAACGTCCCGCCAAATTCGACCACCCTCAACCCGTGTCTGCAATGCGACGAGGACCAGAGCGGACCCGTGTTCAAGCTGATTGCCGGTCGCACCCGCCGCGACTCTGGCCTCCTGTCCAGCATCAACCGCCCGCCGGACACGATCTACGCCGTCTACCAGTACTGGTATTGAGCGCGGGGAGGTGCGGTGATGCTTTCGTTTTGTCTTTGGATTCCGTTTGAGCTGTTGTTTGTTTCGAGTTTTTGTATTGTGAATAGCAAGCTTTTTCGTTTGCGCTTCTTGCCGAGCAGCATGTTGCAAAGCGCAGCCGACTCGCGTTGACAAGTACCGGTGTGCACGCCTCAGTTCTTCCGCGACAGAACCGGTTTTGACGAGCAGCTCTTGTTTGGCCGCTCAGAGTCTCGTTGATTTGGACAATGGCACCGAGTGCAATCAGACACGCTCAGACTCTGTCGCACACGATGCCAGCGATTGTCACACGCCGGACGCTATTGGAGGCTATTGCAATCCACCGATTGACAAAGTGAAAAATCGGCTTGGCTCTTTGAAAGTGGATTTATTCGTTGAACACGTTGGATGAAGCTGTTTGAAGATTGGGTTGTTACAAATGTAGATTTTCACACTGTTGGCGGTACGTACTTACCTGCGCACTTGATGCGGACCACTTTCGGTTTGAAGGTGCCATCAGCCTGCTGCACGCTGAAGCGAACATCGGCCTCTTGAAACGCCTCTCGAAAGACCACAGAAATGTAGTTCTTTTCAGCAATAGGTTGAGTCCCTTGTTCGCGAAAGTCGATCACTCGCCATTCGGCTGGACCAAGGAGAGCGTAAGGGCCCTCTTCTGCGAAACGGTTAATATGAGAACCCTTGGCCCTTCCTCCACACAAGAGTTCAACCGCCCACCGAGCTCAGAGTTGATCCAGAAGTCGATCGCTCTCGTGATAGGGTTCTTTCCAGCCTCGGCAGCACTTCCATACTTGAAAGGAAGGCAAAGACTGGCACCGCGCCAAAATTCATGCTGGAGCACCCCTTCCTTGGGAAAGCCATTGGTCCCGGAGGAGGAACTCAGGTCAGAGATAGCGTAAATTTTTTCGTAACTTTGTCCTTCGCGACTGGATAGGTCTTTTGCGCCGCTTCTTTTTGAAGTAGAGTTATCTGCTTCGTTTGTTCATAGATTAGAGTTGCAACAGCTGCGGCGTAGAGGCAGGTCTGGCTGAAAGCGGCTGAAACTACGACCAGCTCATCGGCTCACGAGAGTGGTTAGAACTCAAACACCAATCAACGAGTGTTCGCCAGTCACGCGCTGGGACTCCCAGAATGACGGCAAAATCCACTTGCGCTGAAGGCGCGAGAGACACGATAACATCAGGGACAAGGGTCAACTGGAGTCTCGGTGACAACCAAACAGCCCTCGCATTGGCACCGACGAACCTGACTTGTACCAATCCCGCATATTGCTTCTTTATCTATTTCTCAGTGTCTCTGAATCCAGTTCAAGTCTGAGCCGACACAGTTCAGTCCTTTATTTTTTGTTGCTGTTTTGCCAAAGCCAAAGCCATGAGCGATCTCCTGTCGTTTGCGTTGTTCGTCACCGCCAACATCATCCGGATGGTGGAGGAGTACGAGATGATTGAGCCCGAGTTCGAGAAGCTCTCCGCCCGGTAAACGCCATCAAAGCGATGATGATGATCCTGCAGTCCAAACGAAACACTGATTTTTTTTTTTTTTTTTTTTTTTTTTTTTTTTTTTTTTAACACTTGATTTTTTTTTTTTTTTTCTGTGTGACACAGCGTCCGCTCGCTCGAACGCCCGCTCGAGGGTAAGCCGCACACAGAGACACCCCCTTGCTCTTCCTTCTGTCTCTGTCTCTGTCCCTCCAAGTCGACCAGCTGAGCCCACTGCGCACTTTTGCTGGCGTGACGTTACTGCGTTCTGGAATGAACGAAGCGGGATTTTTTTTTTTTTTTTTTTTTTTGGTTGCCGATTCCAATAATGGAATTGTGTGCAAGAACCAAAAACCGCAATTTGTGATCAAAGACGAGTTTGTGTGGAGCCCAGTGTGACGATGGAGTGCGAACAGGCGTGGATGGAAGAGAGTTGGGGGTGGCGGAGGGGGTGGAGCGGAGTGGAAGGGTGCGGTGGTGGGAGGGGACGGGGGAAAACAGTGCGCTCTCAGGAATGGATTGCAACGTCAGTTCAACCACGTTGAGCAATCAACCCACTCACTTTCCCACGTCCACGTTGCACGATGAAAGACCAAAGAACAAAGAAAAATGCATGACATGAAACGTTGTCGCGTTTTTGGATCCGAAAAAAAGAAAAAGGCGAAAAAACGCTCGATGATGCTCACACAAATGAATGTGTTTGGCGCAGTGCTCAAGACATCGTGCGGAAACCTGCAAGTCTACGAAGACGTCTTGCGCCGCCTCAACCAGGTCCTCGACTCGGTCAACCGCTTCTTTGAAGCCCAGGCCAAGCAGCGCGCCAAGGGCGAGAAGAAGGACAAGATCCTCAAGTTTATCCGCGGCGAGTCCATCAATGTCACCGTTGCGCTCTTCCACGAGAACATTGACGTGTGCATCGTCGATCTCAACGCGGCCGTCCAAGCTGCCGAAGGTGCGTGCGTGCATGGTTGGGTTTGGGGATTTGGGTTTGGCAACAATTTGTTGGCTTATTTCTGAACGCGTTCTATCTTGTTTTCAGTGCTGAACGCCCAGCAGCGCGTTCAGGACACCGCCAAGACCACTGTCGAGATGCTCGAGCTCGAAAAGCGCCGTGCTGCGCTTGAGGAGGTTCATGAGTGCGTGCAGTGCGGCCAGGAGTTCAAGGAGTCCTCGAACGCCATGGGCACTTGCAAGTTCCATCCTACCCATTCGACCTACTCGAGTAAGTTTCAGTATTGCCGTGTCTGGTGTGCTTCTTTTTTTTGCGCGATCTACCAAAACGGTTGCTGGGTCTGTCAATTTCGGTTATTTGTTTTTTCAAAGTTGTTTCGATTTTTTTTTGTTTCAACTTCCCACCTAACTCAACTTGCGCGCTTGTGCAGACCGCGGTGTTCGCATGCGATGCTGCGACAAGGAATTCCGCGACACGACTGCTGCCAATGCGGAAGGCTGCCGTCGCGGTCGCCACATCAAGGACCATCACGTCTTCTTCCCGTACCTGAACTACTTTTCGTGGCTTTACAAGCAGAAGAGTCTCGAGTCGGAGATTTGGCTCAGCGGCCAGCAGGTCGATCTCGAGGATGGAATGACCAAGTGGGCCACGGTCGGCGTTCGTACCGATGGCCACCTGTTTGTTCGCATTGGCAAGGTTGGTTTTTCCTCTCTTTCGTTTGTTGTTTGCTCGAACATGTTTTCGACTGTTGTATGCGCTGAACTTGAGGAAACTCACGCTTTTTTGTCCTGGTGGCAGGGAAACTTCAACTTGATGATGATGACCATCGATCCCAACGCCGCGGCTTCCTTCAAGCTCAAGAACAACGCGACCGAAACGCTCATTTGCACACGCGGTACTTACGACTTCCCTGGTGAGCTCGACCAGAGCACCGAAAAGTTGTACTGGTACGTGCGCGCTGATTGGATTCTTCACCAAGAGTCCATTGCCGGCGTGCGTCTCCAGATCAAGTCCTGCACCTCGGATGGTCCGTTGGTCAAGGTAAACGCTTGCTTGTTTTGAACGGTCCTCCTTGGGCCCTTCCTTTTTTGTCTGACAATTTCTGCACATTCCCTCTGCTCGCTATTAAATGGCTGCCGACAGGAACTCTTCTTCAAGTCCCTGTCTCCCTTGGAAAAGGGCGAGACCAAGGCCTTCCTTCCGGCCGGCTCTGGTGCCAACATTGACACTTCGATCGTCAAGCCGCCACCCAAGGTCGCCAACTTTACTCCCTTCCCAGACTCCATCACCAAGGGTACGTTTTCTCCAATGCTGTTGTTGATTGAAAATCAAAAGGGCTGGCGAGTGGTGCTCATCTTCTTCCTGTCCGCCTCTCTCTCTCTCTGGCCACAGCTCCTCCGATTTTCGAGGACGAGAACACGACCAACTCGGGATCGACCAAGCTGCGTCTCAAGAACGTTGGACCGGCGCAAGCCAATCCCAACACGAGCGGCTTTTCGTAAGTGTCGCAGCAGCAGCAGCAGCACGAGAGTGCACGAGCCTGGTGCTGTTGGATCAACATCGTTGACTTTGCGAATTTTGATGCTCGTCTAGGTTTGATACCTTCGTCAACGAAATCATGGTCATGAATCTGGCAAAGGGCGAGGCTGCTGTTGGTTCGTCGTCGAGCGAGCGCATCATGATTCTGGCCATGGTTCAGACACACCAAATCAACGTGGAGGAGGCTTGCCGCCTGCTCACCGCTGTTGACACCAGCAAGACCGCTCCCGACGACCCAGTAACCATCATTGATTGCTACTGTGACTTTTTGGTCGACGGCGAGTGGGTCCGCAGCCGCAAGACGACGTGCCAAGTGACTGGCAAGGGCGAACTCCCTTTCACCGTCGAACCGAAGGGTGTTGTGAAGGTGACCATCTCTGGTCAGATGGAAGCTCCAGGCAAGAGCTCGTCCTGGCACGGCCGGTATGTGCTTGCTGCTTCGGGTTTTGTTGTTGTTTTGTCGTGCCTGTTTGCTTACAGTTCTTTTATCATCACCCTGTGCTCCTGTCGCCGCCCTCCGCACCTCCGCGCCAGTGCATATGTTGCTCGCTTGGCTCCAGTTACCATGCGCATCACTCTTGAAACGATGGAGGGTGCAAAGGCGTCCAAGAACGTTGTCTTCCACAACCCGGCGACTTCGTTCAACCAGCGCGAATCGACCGACATGTTCTTCTTGCACTGCGATGATCCGTTCCGCTGGGAGCGTGGCTATGTGTCGGTACGTTCATCAATGGCTGACAACTAAACTGCGAGTTGCTTTTTGTGTTTGCGTGTGCGTGTTGCTCATGTTCGTCTGGCTTCTCTGTTCGCAGGTCAGTCCTGCTGACCAAGACAGGAAGGATGCGCTGTTCAAGGTCAAGGTCAATGGCAGCACTACGTACAATGTGACTCTGGAAAATCTCCAGAGCTGGGCTTACACTGCGCTCAAAGAAACCCCGCACGCCACCGAGTGCGAGCTGAGCGATCTGTGCTCGGGTCCCGTCAAGACCCGCGGTTTCATCGATCACGCCACCAAGACGATCGTTGGCTTCCACTTTGAAGTGGAGTGGACTGCTGACAAGCAGAGCCCCGGCTACAAGGCGAGCGACTCGTACATTATTCCCTCGCACGTTCTCCGCGATGCTCTTGCCTCCGTTCCCACTGACCATGTCGAGTAGAGCGAGCGAGTGGCGCTCCTTTTTGAAAGTTTGGGATGAAGACTTTTGCTTGAATGATGTTTTTGAGATCATGTCCATTGCCGCTAAATACCAAACACCCAAACACAACAAAAACCCCACTCCAGCAATTTTCTCGGTTTGAGCATTTGAGGCTTTTTCTCAACCAAACCCTCGGATCCACACACACTCCGCCTCTTCTTTGTCTTTTCCTTCCTTCTAGCGTTTTTCCTTTGAGCTTGATTTAAATGGGCGACCCGTATGCCGTGGACGCGTCGTCGCTGCGGACCAACCTGCCTGCCGCTGTTGAGGACGAGCGCCTTGCGGTTCCCGTGATTGACATTGCCGCCCTCGCGCCCGGTGCTCCTGCGGCCGATCGCCAGCGCGTGATTGAGCAGCTGCGCTTTGCGTGCCGCGACGTCGGGTTCTTCTACTGCGCGGGCCACGGCGTGCCGCAGCAGCTGCTCGACGCGCTCTTCAGCACGACGCTCGACTTTCTCGCCAAGCCGACCGAGTACAAGCAACGCATCGCCATGTCCAATTCGCGCGTCTTCCGGGGCTGGTTTGCGCTCGGTGGCGAACTCACGTCCTACCGCGCCGACTGGAAGGAAGGGATTTACTTTGGCGAGGACCTCGCAGACAACCATCCAGATGTGCTCGCCAAGAAGCCAATGCACGGTGCAAACCAGTGGCCCGACGTGCAGGACTTTCCAGAGTACAAGCAGACAGTCACGACCTACATGTCCGTCATGACCGAGCTTGGCCACACCATCATGGAGGGCATTGCCGAATCCCTGGGACTTGCGGTAAAACAAAACAAACAAACAAACTGAATCGAAAAACAAAAACACGGAGCGGGACATTTTGGCCATTTCTGGTCGTGTGATGAGCTGGTTTCTCAGCAGAAATGTCGATGGTGGCTGAAAGACGAAACTCACTCACGCTGTACGGTACATGCAATGTGGTGTTTGTTTTGGCTTGTGACTTGCCTCTTTGACCAGCCCGACTTTTTCCGGAAAGCATTCACGGCCAACCCGTTCACGCCCTTCCGTCTGTTCCACTACCCTGCCGACCCTGTTGCCAAGCACGAGAACGGCGAGGAACGCTGGGGTAATTTGTAGTTTGGATTCGCTGCAGTCTTTTTTAGCCGACACCTATTTGTGTCAAATCTCACCAATGTTGAATCCCATGTCCTTGTCGGTCCTTGTTGGCTCCGTTCCATCTGCTTTTTGTCCTGACGTTTATGACGTGTAGGAGTCGGCGTCCACAGGTGAGCTTTGAATCATTGAACATTGTGTTGCCAACTTGGAACTGACTCTGCTCATTCTGTGACTGCTCGATCCTAAACGCAGAGACTACGGATGCTTGACTGTTCTGTCCTCGCCGAATATCATCGGCCTTGAGATTGAACTCAAGACTGGAGAATGGGTCAAAGCCCGCCAAATTCCTGGCACGTTTGTTGTCAACATTGGTATGTTCTGGAGCCCTGCGATTCACGCATTCTCTTCTCTTCTCTTCTCTCGTCAATAACTAACGGGTCTCGAATGCTGCCAGGCGACATGCTGGAAGTCTGGACGAAAGGGGTCGTTCGCGCCGCACCGCACCGCGTCAAGAACGTGTCCAACGTCAACCGCATCACTGCCCCGTTTTTCTTTGACCCCAACTTTGACTGCATGATCAACCCCCTGGACATTACATTTTCGGACGACGGCAAGACGGCCACTGCTGTAACAGCCAAGGACACGGACCTGTCCTCGCTTACAACCAACCCTAGCATCCGTTCTTTGACCTTCCCGCTCCGCTATGGCGACTATATTCTCAAAAAGGTCCAGAACAACTTTCCAGAGCTGGAGCAAATGTCTCTCAAGTAGTCAGCCACTCTTTTTGGCAGCATGACAATACAGTACATCGTTTTGATAGTTGCAAAGTGCATGCTCGTTTGAACACTTCAACTGGAGCAAGAACAAAAGAAAAAAAAAATCTTGTAACGCATCAAAAACTATCCTTCAACTAAATTGTATTCACATCGAAAAAAAAATTACAACACGATTTTAAAAACAAAAAATAAGAGCCGCAAATCATTCGCATTTTAACTTTCAGTGGCGCCCCAGTCGTCGTCCTCGCGCTCAATGAGACGAGAGGCGCGCTTGTCGCTCGAGTCGTCCGGGACGGCCGTCAGACCAGCTTTCTCGGTCGTCCCATCAGCACCGTCCTCATTTTCAGCGTCGTAGCGATCGCCGTCAAACACGGCCTGCTGCGTCGCTTCAATCCACTCGCCGTTCGCGTCTTCCACAAACATGACGCCATTGGCATCGAAAAAGTAAATGTTGCCGTCCTCATTGTAGTAGTAAGGCTGACCAGAGTCGTCGCGGTAGTACGGCACGCCGTTGCCGTCAATCCAGTACTGGTTGCCATCTTCGTCGCAAAGCGCCGTCTGCTCGACATTTTCTTGCTCCTCGTCAAAGCGGGCAAGCGCCTCGGCCAACACCTGCTCATTGTCCGGGTCGTCGGCAGCAGAATCTTGGACGAGTTGCTCGAGATGCTCCAACTGCTCGGCTTGCGCGTTTGCCTGCTCGGCTTGCTCGTCCATGCCCTCCTCCGAGAGGATGATGGCAGACAGACGCATGGCAAGGGATGGAGGGATGGATGTCGCAGGATCGAGGCTGCTGTTGCTTCCTGACGATGCCACACTCGTCTTGCGACCTTGACCGAGTTGCATCATCATTTCCTGGCTTGCACGAATGATATCCTCCATGTCGATCGAATCAGTGTCGCCGTCTTCGCCGCTCAGCTCAAAGGAGCCAGTCGACATGAGCCCAGACAGGCGTGCGCGCGGCAGCGGCTTGAAGTGGTACGAGTTGAGCTCAGGGATGAGCATCGAGCCGAGCTCTTCTTCGCTGATGCGTCGAGACGACCGCTTGGACGAGGAGCCAAACGATTGACGCAAGGCAACAGCGGGGGCAACGACGGGTGCCACGACGAACGGCGCAGCCACGGCGGGGACGGCGGCGACGGCCACGACTGGCTCGACCACAATCGCAGGCACAGTCGTTGAACCAGCGGCAGCAGCAGCAGCAGCATCGGCTTTCGATTGCTCGAAAACACGTTCCGTGCTCAGTGTTGGAGTGACTGGCGTCGCGGGTAAGACGGGATTTCGTGGAGCGGGCGTGGGCTTGTTGCTCGCCACTTGAGGTAGAGCATCGTATGACGTGGCCGAGCTCGTGTCCGTCGAAGCACCCAGACTGCTGGTCGATGACTGGGCCTGCAGGCTGGAGTGCGGCTTTTGGGAATCCGGCTCTGGTGCTCGTGGAGCTGGCATGGGTGGCAGAGGCTTGATTGGGCGCCGAATGAGGGCTTCGTTGGAGCCAGAGTTGCGGCCAGACAGGGCGGCTGCGTTTCGGCCATTGACAACGTTGCCGTCGCCGTCAAACTGAGGTTGCCCTTGGACGGAGTCTCCGCTTCGACTTCGTTGGCGAGTGTGTCGCCGGAGATGAGGCGGGATGCTGTTCGGCTGCTCTTCTGCGGACGCCGCGGCATCGAGCTCTTCCAGCGTGAACAAGTCGCGCGACAGGCGATGCAAGAGGGGTGATGACATGGAGCGAACGCGGGTTTCGCTGGCGATCACCTGGACAGCGGCAGGTTGTGCAGCCGTGGCAGACTGTGCGGCCACGTCGGGTTGTGCGGCCGCTGCAATCGGCTGCACCTGGTTAATGTCCACGCTGGCACGAGGCGACGGAATTTTCGGAGACTGAGATCGAGGTGCCACAGGAGGCTTGCCCGTGGGGGCACCAGGCGCACCAGGCGCACCAGGCGCACCAGGCGCACCAGGCGCAGAGTCGCTGCCAGATTTGGTCGCGCGCCGAGCAGCTGGAGGGGACGCGTCTCCATTGGCCTTCAAGTGAGCTACAGAGTTGAACAGCGCACTCAGCGTGGCTACGGACGGTGTCGAGTAGTCCTGGGCCGAGCCCGGTGGAATCGAGGGGCCGCCTGGGCTGGGCTCGACGGCGTGACTCACAGGAGGTGCCGGCGGTGGTTTCTTTGGAACGGTGACAGGCGGCTGGGGCGCGGGTCGACGCACGGCTTGCGGCGATGTTGTAGAACGGTCGCGAAGCGAGGGAGGTTGCTCTGGAATGGCTGCAGGCGGTGGGGAAGGCGAGGATGGATTGACCGGACTGCCGCCTTGCGATAGCGAAAGGAGTCCCGCCAGTTTGGTTGGAACATTGTGGGCAGCCCGAGGCGGAGGCAGCATCATGGGTCTCGCTGGCGTCGGCACGCCTGGAGTCGAACCAATGATCGGCGTGCCGCCTGGGGGATGCAGGTCGATGGCTGTCTGAATCAAGTTGGACGTCGACGCAGAAAGGTGTGAGCTGTCGGGAAGGAGGATTGGATTGGAGATGAAAGGACGCGACAAGTCCTCCTCAGACACTGCACGTCTCGAAATCCGTTGTCCTGGTGCGGCCAGACCCGCTGCGGCACCACTGGAGGCTGCGGCGGGCAATACATTGCTGTCCTGATGCTGTGCAGACGGTCCCCACTCCAGTAGCGCAGACTCGCGACTCATCCGAACACCGCCAGGTCCGTTGCTGCCCATTGACGCAGACTTGCCGCGCGGGAAGACGACGATACCCGTCGACAGCCGCCGCTTCTGGGCAATGGCAGTGTTGAGAACGGCGTCCTCGTCGACGTCATTGTCGGCCACCTGGCGTGCAGCTGGCTCTGTGGTGAGGGTGATTGCAACAGGCGAAACGGCTCGCTGCGAGGGGTCTTCGGCAGACTTGTTGGAATCGGCAAGAGTCTCGGTTATAGTGCTGGCTGCTGCGGAGGTAGTTGCCGCCGCCGCCGGAGGGACGAGATTTTGCGGTGGCGGACGAGGCGGGGCTGCGCGCACAGGCTTCAGCGGCCTGGTGGACGAGAAGGATGAAGAACGACGGTCGGGATCGCTGCCGGCATCGCTCTGTGGAGGCAAAATGGCAGACTTGGACAGAATGGCCGTGATTGGGGGCGGTGGTGCAACACGGCGACGCCCCACGGTGCTCGTTTTGTTGGCGCGAAAGGAGCTTCGCAACGCAGAGGGTCCCAGACTGTTAGCCATAATCACTGGAGCAAAGGTGGCCGTTGCAACAGCGCTGTTGCGATGCTGTTGCTTTTCCTTGGCCAGACGTTCCGCCTCGTCTTCCTCGTCCTTTTCGCGCGGAGACAAGAGCTCGGCGGGCTGTTCGCCGAAAAAGGCGGTAAAGTCATTGATGAGCAGCTCCGCCACAGCCGCTTGCTCTTTGGATTGAACCACCACCAGGGACAGGTCTTGCTTGAGCGGGCGGATGATGTTGGGTCCCCACACGATGGCGAGGTTGGCGGCGGTCATGTTGGTCGACTCGCTAAAACCTGCGAGCCGCACCAAATGGGCAATCAAAAAGCGCAGGGTCGAGTAGTGCAGCGGAGGCATCTTGCCAAGCACCTCCAACAGAAGCGTTCGCTGGACGGCCGCGTCTTCGGTATTGGCAACCTTGACCAAGTCGTCGTACAGGGAAAATGTCATCAAGGGGTTTGGGAGCTCGCGAAAGAAGAGCTTGAGAACGTTCGAAATGCAGTGAATTTCGCTCGCCGTGTTGCGGGTGGTCAAGTCAACAGCATCCTCGTTGTCGTTGAATTCGGATCGCAGCTTCTGAACGTTGGATGCAACGCCAGACAATCGGTAGATTCCCTTGATGATGCCCTGTGCTTCGAGCTGCCGAACACACTTTTCCACTAACAACGGTACAGATCGGCCGCTCCGTTGCAACAGCTCCGATAGGTCGGCTCCAAATCTGGACACAATTCATTAGAAAATCAGTAAATCAATACATGGGAGGGCGGCCCGGGGGGGGGTGCATTCGTCCCTCAAGAAAGCAAACTCTACTTACACGGCGTCTTGGAAAATGCCGGTCGATCGCAACGTCACAAGAGATTGAGGGTACAGACCCTTTTCCTTGCGGCGCTCCTGGAAGAATGTGCGCAGAAAAGAAACGAGCTTTTGGTTGCGCGTGATGACGTGCGCATTCATGGCCGACCCGGGCGCGAATGTGCCTGCAGGAAGATCGAGGTTGAGCGGCGTTTTCCCGAGGACGGTCGAACTCTGCGATTTTTGCAACTGAGGCAATTGCTTCCGCAGACGGTCGACAGCCTGAGGGAAGCTTGTAATGACATCTTCTGGCGCCACCGTGCTCGTTGCCGGAGCTGCTGCGGGCATGATGGTCTCGGACTTGGAAACCGAGGACGACAGCGGTGATGCAGAGGAGGCGTCGGCGGATTCGGCGACGACAGATGCTGGCGAGGCCGCAACAGCAGCAACGGGATCTGCCGCTGGGGCTTTACGCGCAACGGAAATCACACGCACGCACTGAGACGGGAAAAAGCCGCTGGCAAAGCCCTTGTTCCCTCGCCACCAGGGCGATTCTTCGGGAGAGGGCATGTCAATGATGGAAACCATCTCGCCCACGGCAAGACTCAATTCGTCGCTCTGTTGAGCAGTGTAGTTGATGATGACCACGCCCAAGGCAAGAGCGCGCACGCGCACGAACGTCCCGGAGCTGTTCATCGAGTTGGAGCCGCTGCCGGGCTCGGAACCGGTGCTGGCAGTCGCCGCACTCGCAGCTGCCACGCCCAGCGCCTTTGAAGGCTGAGCGTGCTCACCGCTGGCATCCAGTTCGAGCCATTCGAGCACAGTGCCGCATGTGACCGATCCTGGCAAAATGGACGCAAGTCTCGTCACATACGCCGCCAGCTGGGCGCGGCGCTCATCCAGAGCGGCCAGACCAAGAAACTTGCCATTGTCCTTATCCGTCTGCAGCTTGGGCAGCTTGCTGTACCGCCGATGGAATGTGCAGCGATGGAGCTGCCGATCGAGATCCCGGAAGTCAGTGTACGTGCGCCGCACAAACCACGATCCCGATCCGCTGACAACTTGCAAGCGATAGACCTGGTTGACCGAGCGTCGCTTCGTCGAGTCAGATGACCCGGCTGTGATCGCGGACGAAGGAAGGACGAGCGCAAACTTTTCAGGGAGATTCACAAACTCGTAGTGGTAATGCTTTCCTGTGATGGGAGTGGACGGGAAGTTGATCATGCCTCCAGAGTCCATGGCGCCCAGAGGGTTGCTGCGACCTGCCGTTTTGGGTTTTCCGAACAAGTCCGGGGAGGACTTTGCGCTGAGTGCGCCAATGGTTTTGGGCGAACCACCTCCTGCCAGCAACCGCCGAGTGGGAGGCGCCACTTTCTGTGGTACGATTGTCGCATTGACGGAAGCTGAGCCAAACGAAGGGGCGGATGACGCCGCCAAGGCCGACGACGACGACGACGACGACGACGACGACGACGCTGCGGCAGTCTGTGAGGAGGCCAAAGAGGTTGGACCTGCAGTCGCTGATGCATGGGACGGCGAATCGAACGCAGTGGCGCTGCTCGTGGAGCTCGGCGAGGAGAGGGGAGAATCGTTCAAGTTGCCGCTGCTGCTGTGACTTGTCGCGGCGGCGGCTGGTGGTGGTGGCTGGTGGTGATTGTCAATCTCGAGCCTCCGCAGCTTTTGACCCTTTCTTACATCTTGAAGATTTTGCGCAGACAGGTGGGAAACGCTGTCCGACTCACGCAGGGAATCGAGCCCTTCGTGCGATCGCGGCGAGGTGCCGAAAACCGCCGCGGACGACGACGACGACGACGGAGACGACGACAGCGTGCCATCACTCGAGGCATCGTTGTGCGGTTGACCGCGAATTGTCTGAGGTGACGATTGGCGACCAAGCAGCATCGCGGCTGACGGATCGAGGTCGCTCCTGCTCGCCATTTAGAAACTGTTAGAGAATAGAACTGTCTCTCGCTCCGTATAAAATCGGCGAATCACTGAGAGCCAGTCAGTCAGTCAGCCTTGTCAGTCAGCCTTGTCAGTCAGCCTTGTCGGTCAGCCTGTCGGTCGGTCACACGACAAGTAGGTGATGAAGAGCCGAGAAGTAGCGGTCGACAAAGTATCCGCAAGATGCGAAAAAGAGAGAAACGGAGGGGGACCTAAACTAAAAATCGGAAAAGTCTCGGGTCAAAGAACTAAAAAAACAAAAACACACACCTGTCACAGACAAGAAGAAGCGCGAAATGGTGAGACAAGGCAAGGCGAGAGGTCAGTTCGCAGGCAAACACACTGATGAAAAAAAAAAAAAAAAAAAAAAAAAAAAAAAAAAAAAAAAAAAAAGGACAGTGGTTTGCAGTGGCATCTTTGTCGCTGGTGGTTGATGAGGGGGGTGTGTCAAGCGCGGCCCATTCGCTGCAAGCTCTCTTGTTTGCTTGCGTACTTCGTGAATCTCGTTCTGTGGCTCGCGCAAAAAGCCAATTTGACAGGAAAGCCTTCACAAAAAAAAAAAAAAAAAAAATGCTTGACAGGAAAGCCTTCACAAAAAAAAAAAAAAAAAAAAAATGCATTCCATCAAAGAGCTTTTTTTTATTTTTTTTATTTTTTTTTTTTTTTGGATTAGGTTTTGTTTGAGGATTTTTTTTTTTTTTTTTTTTTCGTGTTTGTGTGTGTTGCCTTTGACAGGGCGCCTGGTGTGGGAACCAACAGGAGCGCAAGATGAGCTGCGGGCATGGCCCCTTGCAACAGACGCAACTGGCTCGACACTGTCCCCTCCTCCCCCGGTCGTTCGCTGCTGCACAGGGGTTAGCCGCTTTTGCGTTTTTGTGGTTGAGCCAGCTGCAATCTTGAACACGACGCTCGGCCCCCCCCCCTCCCCCGCCTCCACGACGCACGCGCAAATGAGCGACAAAGAGGAGCAGAGGAGCGTGGGCACAGAGCGACCCAGGTCGACCTGTCCAGGGTGGCAGGCGCTCTGAGCCCGCGGCTTTGGGAACCGCGAACGGGTGAGCGGCAAAACCGCATCGCGTCCGCTCCCGCTTTCTCCCCGCGCCACCACTGCCACCTCGGGCTCCAGCACAAGCTCAATCGGATGTCTATCGATGTTGGTTTGTCGCAGGCTGCCCGCAACACCTGCCCTTCCGCGACGTCAGAAGAAGGGAGAGAACAAAACGAGAAGGCAAATTAGCTCAACAGACATACAAACAAAACGAGGAAAAAAGAAAAGGAAAAAAAAAAAAAAAAAAAAAAAAAAAAAAAAAAAAAAGACAACAAGAATAACAAACAAGTGAAGAAAGAAAAAAAGACTACACGATCTGAATCAGAGTGAACACGAGAGATGTGCGTGGCTGGCGGTCTGAGAGCGATTAGAGAAACACAGGGGACGGTGTATCAGCGGGGACGGGGTGGAAATAACAAGTCTGCTCGCTTTGTTGTGATCCAAGATTGCGCGACCTCACACCTCTCGCGCCGTATCCCCCGCAAAGCATGACTGAACAGCAATGTTTGCCACTGAATTTTGTAGGATTGCATACCACGACCGAGGCTTGTGAGTCTTGAGTGCTTGAAGCAGTCTTTGATTTTTTGAGCAACACAACAACAAAACCATAAAAAACCTCGCGCATCAACGGAAATTCGACCCGTGTGAAACCAATTCACTTGGTTCGTGTCCCGTGCAAAGGTTACCCGAGCATCGGTAACGGCATCTTTGACTTGATTGTCTGTTCGATACAACGTTGCTGTGAAAGCGACTTTAGTCGACTCGATCATTCCGCTCACGACACTCTCGCCAGCAAGTCATCCCAACATCCGAGAAATGCGCGAGGGTTGGCAAGTTCAGGTTCAACCCGACAAGCATCCCTACAGTGTGTACTTTGGTTCCCTTCATGTCGGCTAAGTCTAATGACACTCGTTGGAGTCTTTTGCGGATGTAAAATGGTCCTCTTGTCTCCAGTACTGTACATTGCATGATCTGTCGCTCGGTTTCATTCCGGTCATCGTCGTTATGCCAAACGCACTACACCATCCATCAGCGCGAGTCCAATCCTCGCCAGCAGGGAGTCGCTTTCATTTTCGCTCTCTCGCCTTTTCCCTCCCTCTTCGCTCCTCCAGAAACGCAAGTTGGGTCAATGATTCACTCTCGATGATACAAAGGTTTGTCCGGAGAAACAAGCAGAATTTCATTCACAGTGCAGTATTCCTCATTTTTTTTTTTCGTTTCAAACACAAAGTTACGTCGAGCGGGTGTGCTGGTACTTAAGGCAGCTCATCGAGGCTCTTCTTGCGAGCAATGCCAACTGGCTTGGGCTTTTCCTTGTTCATCTCCTCGAACATGAGAATCCTAGAGTCAGAACGCAGAGTCAGTTGGTTTTGTGTTTCGGGCAAGACGCATCAGATCAAAAGTGCGCAACGCTCTTACTTTTGCAAAATCGACGACTTCTTGCCAAGCATCATTGTGAGGAAGGAACGGTACGAGATGGTGCCTGTGGGCGTGCGGCTGGTCAGTTTCCTGCTCGTCTCCATCAATCATCAAAAGCAAGTGCCCGCCCCCTCCCCCCTGGCCTCCACGGCGGTTACCTTGGCCCTCAAGATCAACCTCGGCAATCATCTTCTTGAGTTCAAGGTGGGTCTTGGCCTGGCCCAGCTTCTCCATCATCTGCTTGAGCTCCATCAAGTCAATGTCGCCAGAGTGGTCGAGATCGTACTCCATGAACTTGGTGCGGTACTCGACCAGGCGCTCCTCGGTCAAGTCCTCGTACGTGCCACTGCTGAGGAACTCCTGTGCAAGTGTTCAACCAGCGTATTGTTGTTGTTTTGAGTTTGCAACGTCGAGTGAAAATGTGCGTCTTTGTTCAACAATTTGGCTCAAATTTCACTTTTCACACAGTCGTGTTTGGGGAGTGTTTTGTTGAAGATTGTGCGCTTTTTTGGCGTCTGCTTTTGTCAACCCCTCTTCTGTCTAAGCGTGTGTGTGACGCAGTGTGTGACGCAGTGTGTGAGGTAGTGTGTGGGTTGAATGGCTGGCGTTGCTAAACCAGCCACAGTTGCGAATTCAAAAAATTGAAAAAAAAAAATAAATAAATAAATAAAAAAAAGAGCTGCAACACGTCCATCCGCTCGGAGCTCTGCTTTTTTCCTTGCAACCAAAGTTGCCGCGTTTTCTCATCTTCTTGCACACCGTGTCATTGTGCGTCGCTGCGACACTGCGTTTCGCTCACTTTTTTTCCCTTTAATTCTTACTTTGATGTTCAAAAAATGAATAAAATAATACAAAATAACAAAATCCTTTCCATTTCAAGTAAGCCTTTTTTTTATTTTTTTTTTTTTTTTTTTTTTTTTTTTTGCTTTGTTCGACTGCGTTAGTGGGCTGCCGTGACCCAAGTGCGTATTGGCATGTCAGCACTATAGAAGAGAACATCAATGTGGAAAACGCACAGCGTTGATGCCGTCGAGATCGGTCGCTTGCTTGGCCTTCAGCTGGCCGAACGCTTTGCCGCCCTGGTGTGCCATTTTGGTCGTTGACGTGTTATGTGAGAATGGAAGACTGGTCCCCTTGAAGCCTTTCCAAAGAAGCGAGTGCTCTTAGTATGCAATCAATCCATGTCTACTGTGTACAGTATCAAAACAACAAGCGGCAACAGGTTGAAACAACGCGATTTTTTCGCGCAAGGATTTGGCGGTTCCCGTCAATCGTCAACAGCATTAAACAAGGCCAGAACGCGACTTTTGCGCAAGGATTTGACTGGCACTCGAGAGAAACAACGGCCCAAGAAGCTGCCATTCCGCCGCATAGCTGGGTCGCCGATCGTCGAGACCAGTGGCAAACAACGCAACAGTCTTGTTGGTGGTGGACGAGCTCTGCTCCCAGATGATGCTTGACAGCAGGGCGGGATCCCTTGTCAGCACACCCGCCAGGTAGCGTGCGTACTGCGATTGCGGATGTGCGGAATTGGACGCGATTCCTTCCAGACGCTGCAGCATCAAGTTCCCCACATTGGACACGTGAAAATCGACCGCCGCCAAATCCCACTCGGCGTACGACAGCCGTGCTTGGTCCAATTTCGCCACCGGAAGCGGAAAGTTCATGGCAACCGACCGGTCGGCGCAAGATTGCAGCCATGTTGACTCTGCTATGGTGGATTGAGGCGCACCCTGCGGCGGAAGAGTCGATTGCTGGAATCGCTCCAGAAACGCCAATGTGAATGCATCGAGCAGGCGCATGTCGCCGGCCATCCCACCAAAGGCCTTTCGAAACTGCAGGCTGTAGAGGATTGCTCGATGGTGCGGATTTTCCAGCTTGGCGATCGCCCCAAAGTTCACTACCACCTCCGAGTCCGCAGGTGCCATGACGTCCCGGATGGGACACGCGGCCACTGCAGCGGCAATGCTCACAACAAATGCTTGGATTTCGGGAGCAGGCCGGTAACCTTTCGAGTACGCGGCCATCAGCCAGACCAGCGGAACAATGCTGCTGTGTAGAATTGAGTCCTCAATCATGATAATGGGCAGACGGCGGAGTAGCTGGTTCATGTCAATCTCGGAGATGAGACGCGCAGATCTGCCGGCAAGGTCGGCCTTGCCTCTTCGAACGCACTTTTGCAAGTGACTCTTGAGCAGCGGAATGTTTTGCCCGGCAGCTAGCGAGCCATGTGCGTTGTCGTCCGCGTCGGTTTGAGCGCTTGTTGTGCCACCTTGTGCGTTCAATCTTGCGAGGGATGGCACATCTGTCGTGAGCACAAGACAGGACTGACGCCCACGCCAGGATGTTTCCACTCGCCAAGCAACGCTGGCCGCAGCTGGCGCTTTCCGCTGAAAGACGCCGATCGGCACCGGCCACGTCGACGATGGTGTTGCGGGTCGCTTGACAACATCGGCGAACGAGCAATGAAAGTAATTTGGCACGGTCGGATCCTCGCCTCCAAAGAAGGAATAGAGGGATTGTTGGATCTTGCTGGGGTGGTGGCTCACTTGACGAGGTGTCGCTGCAGCAGCAGCAACAGTATTATTCAGTGGATTTGTCAATAATTCTTGTTTCGGAGGTGCTGCGATGACGGGCCTGACTGGCGGCTCTTTGCGACGGATCACTGTGAAAAATGCATCCGCAGCAGCCTTTGGCTCAACGTCTACCAAACACAAGAGCTCGTCCGCGCTGTTCGACAGGTCAAAATCGAGATCTGTCATCGGAGGAGCCATTCGGAGCCCCGCAGCACCTGCCAAGCAGCCGGCAGTCTCGTCGAGCTCGGCCTTCCTTTTGGCGGGAAGTCTGCTGCTTTGGTTCAAACCGACCTCGGCCGCGGCCTGAGCCTCACTGTCTGCTGCGTTCGCCACGCTGCCAAAGCGACGGGCGCAGTCGAGATCCAGATGGATGTTGATGAGATGGAGCCTGAGGTTGCGCTTGCCACAGCCCATCGGGCATTCGACGACCACCATTGCAGTGGCATGATTTAGCGGGAAAGCTGCGTCGTCGCGCTCCTCTGCTTTCCGCCGCTTGACCTTGCGCTGCTCTGCAAACAAGGCATCGAATGCGCTCATTGAGAAACACAGCAAATACGAGAGAAGAAATGGGTGAACAAGTCAATGGGTGAAAAAGTCAAGGACTGAAAGAAGACAAAACAGGAAACTGTCAGTCTTTTGTTTACATTTTCTGAGCGCTTGAGAGCGTTCTGTTTCCCCTCCCCCCTCGCCAATTAACAATGACCCGGCAGAAATCCAACAAGACCAATCCGGTCTTCACGTACCACGAGCGGCAGATGCTGACGTACGGCACGCAGCGCGCGCGTGTTGGTCGAGACTCGTGCCGGGTGAGTTGAGTGACGAAGACGGCAAACATTATTGAACAAGAAGAATAGCTGCGAGTGTTAGGATGCTTTTTTAATGCTCCATGCCTTCATGCTAGTGAATAGCAAAGGAAGACGAGTGAGGTTGGTTTCATGCATGGATGTGCATTGACTTGACTGGCGTTGTGCATTACCAGGACTTTGATGCGTGCTTCCTGTGCCTCGCCCCAGCTCAGGATCCCGTGTGCTGCCCCGAAGGTACTTGTTGCTGTGCTCTCCAGCCAAGATTTGCGTTTGGCAGCCCCACGCTGATCCACCCGGAGCATAGCGGGGCTGCGATGCTCACTTTACTACCACATCGACGCCTGTTGCTTTTTGGTCATCCACAGGCCACATTGCTTGCAAGGAGTGCATGTACTCGTCACTGCTCTCGCAGAAGCAGGATATCGCCATGAAGGAGCGGCGGTTTGAGCAGCAGTGCGCTGAGGAGGCGGCCAAGGAGATCAAGCAACGCGCGGCCGCGATGCAGGCGCTCGTGGACGACCTGTACCGGAATCAGTCCATGATTGTCCCGCAAAAGCGGGCAGTGTATTCGGCGGCAGATGCGCAGGCGGCAGGCATCCAGCCAGTGACCTTTGCGAACGGACCCAGCCGCCCGGCAGCCAGCGACCCCGCGCCGTCTTCCAATACGACCTCCTCGCCCGCTAGCTCGGCAAGTGGAGCTGTAAGCAACGTTGGAGCGGCTGCTGCGCTCGCGGCGGAAGGCAACGGACCGAACTTTGTCAGCTTCACGGCTTCCAACGGACTGGAGTTTGTGCTCGATGCGAATGCAGTCGAGGCCAAACGCAAGCAACAGCAGGAACAAGCGCTAGTGCAGTTGCAGAATAACGCGGTCTCGGTCCACGCCAAGCCCGGTGATGCCAAGTACCTCCCTAGTTTCTGGATTCCCGCGCTCACGCCCGACGCACAGCCCGTCAAGCTCGAGCGCCCTTCCACCGACACGCTGTGCTTAGCCGGCGCGCATCACCACCCCATCAAGCTCAAGCAACTCATTCCCGTGAACTTTTCACCTGCCACTGCCAAGGTCCAGCTGCAAGACGACCCCAATTCCACGGCTGCATCTGCAGGAAGTGTCACGCGAGGGGTGAAGCGGACGGCTGCAGAGGCCAAGGACTCTTGGATGTGCTCTGGCTGCATCAAAACTCTGACCAACAGCCAACGGCTGTGTGTCTTGCGCCCTTGTGGCCATGTGTTTTGCCGAACATGCGTTGACATGTTCATTGCTCCTGCCTCAGCAGCCAGCAGCACTTCATCGGCGTCATCTTCGTCGGCGTCAGTGTCAGGGCCATCGTCAGTGCCCGGTGCCTGTGTTGTATGCAATGCAAAGGTGCGAAAACAAGACGTGATTGACGTGCGCTCTGAAGGCACAGGCTTCGCTGGGCACGGCGAGGGCTTGGTTGCCGTCCGACACGATGTGGCATTCCAAGGCTTCTGAGTTCTATGGCGTAGTGCGGCTTGTTGTGGATTTGGCGTGTTGTATTGGAAGATCAAGTGCACTTGCCGCATTTTCAGATTCAAAGTTTGCAAGGGATGGGTGATTGAGGGGAGACATTTTTTTTCATTCGCGGAATTTCACCTTGTGAACGCTCTCAACACCTTGGAGTGGCTCAATCCACGCGAAACCGAGAGATCAACACTGCACTGTACTCATACTAGTAAGTTTACTATACGAGAAACACACACAAACACACACATGCAAAGAAAAAAAGACAAAAAAAAAAAGAAAAACAAGAAGAGAAAAATGAATTCGGGGAAAACAAAGAGTTGATGGTCGATTGGACATGCAGCTCGCCTTCTTGTCAATGAGATGCAAGACGAGATAGCTCCTGCGCAATCCGGTCGTGCTTGTCAGTGCCAAGAAGAAAAGCTGCGCCAATCCATCGAGAAATAGTCAATTGATCAATCCATGATTTAAAAAAATGCGATTTGTTGTTGGAGGGCGGACGAAGCGAACGAACAAAAGCCAAAGGGAACAGTACGTGTGCACACTTGGAGCTTGTGCCGAAAAAATGAATCACGTCGCAAATGCGGACGTCCATTCTCTGGACACGAGCTGCGTTGCAAGTGTGATCACGCGTTGCTCTCGTTGACTTCGAGGGGTATCGGTCGCTCCAACCATATTCATGATAGTGGTACGGATTGCCTCGTTGAGCCACGCAAGCTGGCGCGCGGTGGCCTGGGAGCGCACAAGAAAACGCGGCAGCGGGAAGCTCAGATGAATTTCGCCGATGTTGGAAGAAGATTGGTGGGATCCTGCAGCGGAGTGCTGCGCAGCTGTGGAGCGGCGATAGATCGAGGGAAGCTGGGCGGATCGTTGAGGAGCGGATGAAGAGTCCGAGGGTGAGGATTCGAAATGGGAGTGCTGGACGTCAGGGGGCAACGCACACTGCTGCACAGCCGTCACTTTGCCGAAAAGAATGAGGGCCAAGGGCGAAACCATGGTCGTGGAGCGGATGCTGGTGACTCCATCCGAAGCCTCGTCAGCAGCACGCACTTGCTCCTCAAACATGAAAAACGGAAACATTGGCCCGCTGGCGGCGGGATCGCGATGGTACGAGACACAGGACGGGTGGAAGATGGCATTGCGGGCATGTCGCGTAATACAGTTCTTCTTTTTGCGATACACGGCCACATTGGGGAACAGCGCTGCACAAAGAAGCGCGCTGAGGATGGCGGCACTGTTCAAACGATCCGAAGTCGACACCGCCTCCGAAAGTTCGCCAAACTTGACACCCGAGGTGCCGCTGGGCCGATTCGCCACCGCTGGTTGACGAACGTTGAGATTGGTGAGTGCCTCCGAAACCTGCTGAACAGTCTTGCGCATGGAGTGGAGAACGTCACTCGATACCAAGGCAAAGTCCAGCGGGTCGGACGCGGTGTCGACCGCCGACGCGTCCATGGCGTCAATTGGCTCGGTTTTGACAGAGGGCGCTGACGAGCTCGAGCTTGGCTTTGCGGAGGTGGTTGCCAAGTAGCGCTGGTACACTGCGGCGATCGCAACAGTATCCGACGAGGTGCGGAAGGCGAGTGCTTGCTTGAGGGCAATCGCTCGCGCCTTGGCAGTTTCGCTCGAGGACATGGTCAAGAATGGGTCGCGGGTATTGGCGCTGGCAGCGACAGGCAGAGCAAAGTCCAGTGCGTTGAATGCAGACGCATAAATAAGCAGCTTGCCATAGCGCGGATCGATTGGCAGCTGAGCCAGTGTCTTGCCAAGCGGAGTGAGAATTTCTCCAGGTTGCTCGAGAGCGCCCATGTCTGACAGAGCAACCCCCCCCCCCCAAAAAAAAAAGAGTTTCGTTGAAGTGAGCACTTTCATGGACACCATACAAATTGTGCACAGCACGCACGCAGGGCTTACCAACAAGCGTTTCCAGTGCCAAACTGACTTGCACGGATTCCGGCGGATCTGGTGTTTGCGAGAGAAATGTGCGGATAGAGCCCAATTCGAGTAGCTTGATGTACAGGCAAGTGTCGTACAGTGGCGAGCGCAGAATCTCGGGTCGCGCAAACTCGTCAAGCGTTGACGCCTTGTGACTTGAATACATGTGGTAGCAGATGCCTGGACGAGTACGACCAGCGCGTCCTTTGCGTTGCATCATGCTGGCTTTGGAGATCCAGCGCGTGGTCAAACTGCCCAATGCCGAAAACCCAGCGTGGCTCTTTTCACGCACCCGGCCAGTGTCAATAACAGCCTCCACGTTGTCGATGGTGATACTCGTTTCAGCAATGTTGGTGGCCAGAATGACACGAATAAATCCTGCTGGGACGGGGCTGAAGACCAATTGCTGCTCCTGCATGCTTAGAGTAGAGTGAAGTGGCAAAAACTGCGTGCGCGACCACCCTGCAGCCCCAAAGGTACAAAGATACACGACACATTCAAAAAAAAAAAATAAGAAAAATTTGCACACAAGAGTCGCAACCACCCTCGAGAGAAAGCACTCTTACCCTGGGTCATGGAGAGAAGTGTCCGAATGTCATCCCAGGAAGGCAGGAAGACCAAAACAACACCAGAAACGGTGCGTATGGCAAACCGAATCACATCGACCAACGCAGCATAGTTGGCACTCAGAGGCTGGTCTTCAAACTGCTGGGTGAACGACTCGCGACTCGAATGTGCGAGCAGACTCGAGTTGGCTTGAGCTCGGACAGTGTCAAACAAATCGTGCCAGTAGAAGGAGCGAACGGGGAAGGACTGGCCCTCGACCGTGATGCCGCCGCAGCGCAGGCCAGCGCTTTTAAAGTACTCCAGAAAACGCTCTGCATGAACAGTTGCGGACATTAGGATGACCTTGAGCTGAGACCCGTTGCTGGAAAAAGAGTGACGATGGTCAAAGATAAAAACAAGAACCAAGAAAAAGAAACAAAAAAAAAAAAAAAACGACGGTGAGTTTGCAAAGCATGAATGAACGCATAGCGCCAAGAAGGGGAGCACGACAGAAGGAGATGACGCAAACACCACAACGGACTGCCGGACTTACCGCTTTCCGGAAGTCAACAAGGTGCGAATGAGCGTCAAAGTGAAATCGGAAGCAATGTCCCGCTCATGGACTTCATCCAGAATCAGGTGAGTGACGCCGACGAGCGTTGGATCCACGGCCAAGCGACGCAACAAGGCGCCTGAAGTGCAAAACACGATCGTTCCTGCAATGGACGGAGGAAGTTGTGAATCGTGCCGAACAAAGTAACCAACAGACTGCCCCAGCGTTTCTCCTCGCTCCTCGGCAACGCGCGCAGCAGCTCCCTAGCGCAATGAACGCCCCAACGAGAGCGTGCAGTGAGCAATCAGAGCAAACACATGGGTTTACAGCAAGTCCCAAAACTCTGCTTACAATCGCCGCAATCCGCCTTGGCTCAGTGACGAGGATGTGGCAACGACCTCCGTTGCCGTCCTGGGTGTACTTGTCGAGGATGAGCTGTGGAACTTGGGTTGTTTTTCCAGAGCCTGTTGCGCCGGTAACGATGGTGACATCATTCTGCACAGCCAAGATGACAGAGCAGAGAATGAGAGGCAAGGAAGAGAGGCAGGAGGTCGTTGGCAGAGAGTTGAACGAGGCAAGCAGCCAGAAGAGAAGCAGGCAAACGCTTCAAAAACACACGTACCTGTTCGACAATTTTGGTGATTTCGTCGGCACGGAGCATGGTCGGCAATGAAAACCTTGGAGGCAGGTCGCCGCCCGCGTCCAATTGTTGGATCAAGTTGTCCAGCTGGCATTCCAGTCTGCTTTGGGCTCGGACCTGGTCTAATTCGGTGGGAGGCGACACGACACGCGTGTCCCAGGCACGACCCCCGCGCCCTTGTGTGACAGAGCCCGCAGCGTCGCCAAACAGCTCGTCCTCGTCAACTGCAGTGTCAATGCCGGGCGTGCCAGTGTTCTAAGCAGAGCGACAATGCGACGGAAACAAAACCAAATGTGTCAATACACGCACTCGTTGCTGGACCCTGCAACATGCAAGGAAGACGCTTGCATTTACCCGCGTGTAAGTAGCTGGCAGAGGCTGGAAGTCGCCAGCCAGAGCTGCAAGCTCTCGCTCAAGATGATCAGGGAGGCGAATCAGCACGGGTTCGTTCTGCCAGGCACGGTGATAGTGTGTGGGCGGGTCAGTCACTCGCTCTTTCGCTCTCCAACAGAACCTCCCCACCTCGAAACAAACAAGTGAGGTCGCTTACTGGATCGCGCTCTTGAGGCGCAGTCTGCGAAGGCGGAAAGACGCGCAGAGGAGCGAGCAGATCGGCTTGTTGCAGCTGCTCGAGCAAATTCATCGCTGCAAGGTTTTCTGCTGCGCTCTTGCGAGACGCTTCGGCGACACCCGTAAACGCTGTTCAAACGAAAAAGGAAGGCACAGAAAACAAACAACAAAATTGAGTCGTACAAGCCCAAAAAAAAAAACCCGCGTCCATCAATCGCACGCTCTCACGTACTTTTGCCTTCAAAATCCTCGCCGTGGCCTGGTACGCTCACTTTGGACACAAACACGCCAGCGACGCCAGGATAGATTTGTTTACGATAGCTCTGAAACTCTGCTGGTCGAGCTTTGACACGAGTGCAGTACAACAAGAGCGTTGCTTTGGCAGTGTTGGACACGAATCCACTGGGAGACGTGATGGATTGTGACGTCTCATCGGCGCCAGATTCGCTGGGGAAAACTGCTTCGTTTGATTGCAGGTCAGGCTCCAGGAACGGCGCACCGCTCGCAGCCTGCGGGGTGAAGGCAGCCTGTGGCGTCAAGTCGTGGCGATATGCAGGGTTACTACTGTGGTAGGTGTTCGGAGTGTTGCCAGCAGGCCGGGGAGGTGGTGCGGCATAGTTGCCTGGATGCCCACTGTGGTGACTGTCATTGTATCCATCGTAGCCGCTGGTGCTGTCGTTGTTGTAGTGGTAAGGGCTCCTGGTATTGCTGTTGCTGTTGCTGTTGCTGTAGGGATCGCTGCTGGAAGACCTCTGCCAGCCACCTTGATAGACTGGGGATTGACTGGGCTGAAAGCCGCCGCCTTGAGCATAAACTACGTTGTCATAGGACTGCGCATGCATATCATGGCTGCCGTATCCTCGTGGGTCGTTGAAACCAGCATGGTACCGGTCCTGGCCGTAGCTCCGAGTCTCATGACCGCCACCGTAACTTCCATCATCGTAACCGCCCCCGTAGTTCCGAGCGTCGTAGCCACCGTGGTGTCGGGGTGGAGCGTTTGTCTGGGCGTCCGTGTTCTGGACGTGCGCGTTGGTGTTGAAAGCATGGGTGTTGTAGGACGAGGTCGGTGGTGGCGGTGCGCCGCTGGCATATCCATCAGGAGTCGCACGCTGGGTGGGAGGAGCGGAAGATGCAGCCTGAAAGTCTGGCTCGCGCTTGACCTGCCCCCTCCCATTCTCTCTTGCAAAGGCTTGCTCGATTTGGACGAGCACTGACTCGTAGCACAGATTGTCCGCATCTGGAACAAGACAACAGGCGACAGCAACGACATAATGAAGGACAAAACGTCGATGAAGGTTAAAAAAAAAAAAAACTCTCAGAGAATGAGAAAAAAAAAACACTTACCCTTGGCGCGCGCTTGCGTATATGCTGCAACAAGCGGGAGTTCTCCGCTCGGTAGCATGATCTTCCCAGTCAGCCGGCTCGTGTGGGCAGGCATGTGCGGCGGGCCCGATGCGCGACGCTCAAATTCGTTCACCACAAGACGCGAGCCCCAGATGCGTTGCAGCTCGATGAGTGTCTGCCGATGGCTGTCCAGGCGGCGAAGAGTCAGGGAAGGCCAATTGCCACTGGCGGTTCGAGGAAATGAGGCATACTCGGGGGCGTTGTGTGGTGGCGCAAATGGCGGCGTACTTCGCTGGCTCGGGTTGTAAGGTGGCTGAGGACCGGGGGTGTTGAAGTTAGAGTAGGATGAAGATGCTGGGCTTTGCGGATGGGAGCTGGGAGCATAGTACACGTGGTCTGCGTGTGGCGTTGTTGCCGCTGGAGAGACTGGAAGTGTTCGTGCAATGGGAGGCGACGGAACGGACGGCGAAGGAGCAAAAGAGTGATTGGGAGCGTCTGTACTCGACACGGTCGAGTGTGATGGCACCGTGTACCTTGCGGCCATGAACGAGCTTTCATTGATAGATCGACCTTCCATGCGCTGGCGGAGTTCGACGGCCGTGAGCTCGAAAAGATCGGCGTTGTACAAGAGCGACGCCATCTCGCCAGCGCACTCGGCCTGAGCCTCTTGCTTGTTTCGGCCCATCCCCGTTGCACGGAAGTTGCCTGCCCGTTTCAAGTCCAAGTCGAGCTGTTGTGTGATGCAATCGAGAGTAGAATCGAGAGTCAGAAAACAGGAAGACGCGGCAAAGGACAAAAGTCACAAAAGTACTCCAATTGCCAAACTGAGGAACTGAGGGATGCGGGGGGGGGGCGGGCAAGAGAAAACTGGAGTATTTGTTAGAGTATGTTGGTTTCACCGGAAATGGTATAAAGTGGCTTGCCAGATTGTTCATCAAAGTTGAGTTCCCCGAAAAAGCAATGTTGGTTTTGTGGAAGTCTTCCACTCTGTACTCCAAAGATGCCCCAGCCAATACCAGAAACATTCATCTTTCTTGTGGATGTTTCGGGAGACGCTTTTTTGTGTTCTGTAAGCATTGCGCAACACAAAACGCAAGCTCGCATGCGATGGCTTTTTCTCAACCACCATCAATGTCGGGAATGCCTCAAAATCCACGAATCGGCCATCCACAAGAAAACATACCGTGCATTGGAACACGGGCATATGCGCCGGGCCCGAGCTGCTGTATTTGTACTCTTCAATGATGTATCCGCGCTGGCAAAATTCGTGTACGGCTTCCTTGATGCCTGGCATGCCTTGTCCGAAAGAAAACTTGAGTTGGTGCGTGGAAGTGATGTAAGGAAGCAAAATGAAAAAAAAAAAAAAAAAAAAAAAAAAAAAAAAAAACTTGGAGAAGAAGGGACAAAAAGCCATACAAGAAACGCAAAGCTCAGGCGCGCCGCCCTGCACCTGCCACGACGGCTGCTGTTGCTGCTGCACCACCAACCTCAACCTCAGGCGTGGGGGTGGTTCCAGAAGCAGAAGCAGCGGAGTTGGCGGCAATGGCGAGCGCGCGCTGAGCTTTCAGAGCCTCGATACGACGGTTTGAAATGTCTTGGTTGACCCAGTAGAGTGTACCCGCGCCAGCAGCAATCACGCCAACCCTGCGCCATCACGAAGTCAAACGAATCGGGATGAGTGTTGTTGAAACGAGATGATAATCGTGTGAGTGCTGACTGGATCCATTGGAGTAGGACAAGGTCGTACTCGCAACAACATGGAACAAGTACTCCACACACGCAACTTACCAGCCAAGTGCAACAATAAGGGGGCCTCTAGGATTGTACACGCTTTTGTTCATTCGGGAGTTCGGGGAAGGGGCGGGGGCGGGGGGCGGAAGGGAGGGCAGGCAAAAGCGCGGTTCAATGAGAAGGACCACGCGTTTTGTTGGTGTTGGCTTTTTGGGAACAGCGCAACAGTCGAGAGTGAGTGTGAGCAATAGAAGGAGTGGGAGTACCTGAAGGATGCAATGGAGAAAACAATGGACACGAGACGAGCGAGCTCAATGCTCAACTGAGCTCAATGGAACGAGCAGCACGCAATGGGTGAGTGATGGGCGTTTACTGTCATGCTGCATTGCTTCATTGGCAATAGGGTTTCGTATGGAAGAACGCAGTGAATAGAAACGCAGCGGAAATTATCAAGTTTGGACTTGGTCTCAGCAATCAAGACAGCTCGCTGACCTCACTTTATTATTTGTATTTTAGAATCATGTTCAAGCGATACCAGAACTGGTCGGGCTTGCAGGGCTCGCATTCGTCGGACGAGGACGACTCGAGCGACGACGAGATCGAGCAGCAGCAGCAGCAGCAGCAAACCAAGACCACTGCCAAGCGTGCACACGAGAGTGCTGCTGAAGCAAAGGCGGCAGTCGGCATGGGCAGCGGCAGCGGCACGGCGGCTGGGCGGCGATCCTTGACACATGGAGCAGCAGCGATCCATGCGGACAAGAAGACCAAGCTGAGCGACGATCAGGACAATCAAGAAGATGACGACGAAGATGACGATGAAGACGAAGATGAAGACGAAGATGAAGACGAGGAGGAGGACGAGGACGAAGACGAGAACGAGGACGAGGACGATGATGATGAACACGAGGACCAAGATGGCGAGGATGATGACTTGGACTCGGACGACATGGACGAAGATGGCAGCGACATTGCAAGCGATCTGGACGAGGACGAGGACGACGGTGACGAGGAAGACGGTGACGACGACGACGACGATGAACAGCAGGAGGAAATCTCGCTCTGGCCACCACGCATGAGCAAGGAACGGGAACAACGCAGGGAAGCGTTCGCAGCCCGCCAATGCCCGACATGTCCGCATAAGGTGCTTGTCTCGCAGCGACAGTACGACTCGCACATTGCTGGAAAGGTAAGGGGGGGGGGGCAGGA